AGATTAATACAAAGGACCCCGCTCAATTCTTATGGAAAGTGACTTCTAGAAGGTTTTAATTTTCGTTTAAAAAAGTTGCTTTAAACTGTCGGTTAATTGTGTCGAACTACACTCTGTCGGTGTCAGAAAGACTAAAAGTCACTAAAACCACATTGTAATAATATAGAAAAACTATTGACATTGTATCATCTACTGATGATACAGAAGACGACACTTTTGAGAAGGAACATGTCACGTATAGGGTGCTATTGGATGATCCGGAGGAAGCAAGCTTGATGGAAAAAATAAGCTTGAAGTTCAGAGAAAGGAGTGATAGAGTTCATAGGGTAATTTTTTTTCATACTACTTGTTATTGCTTTCAATTAAATAGTTATAGTCACTGTGAAGAAAATGTATGTTAAAATTTACTTCTACTTAAATAACATTCAGAGTAAGATTAAAAAAAAGAACATTCACTTTTATTCGAAATTAAGGCACCAACTATTTGAATTGTTCTTATTTTTACTTAAGAAATATCCACTTACAGTTTGTGTACTTCTTTAAACCTCAATTATTTATTATTTCAAAAATTGTACTTTCATTTAAAACTTTTTAAACAGATATATTCAATATTACAAAATTCGTTTAAACTATCATCAACATTTCATAACAGTCCAATAGAAGGAAGGTAATTGTCCATAAACCCCTGACTTTAATTGTTCTGATTTTATTCGTTGGATTGCGTATAATTTTCACAGCCATCTACGTCAACGAGCAACTGAAGACTTAAAAAAAAGCTGCAGTTTTCCCATTTTTCAAAATAACAATACCGAATATTATATCGTTGAAAAGCATAAAAAAGACAATTTTTTCTAGCTCATAACTAACAATGGTTTACATTTAAAAAACCATAAAGTGTTCACGAACAATTTGATCACATTATCTTATTGACACTGCAAAAGCCTGAAACTGTAATTTAAATTTTTTTGGTAAAATAAATAGCAACGGAGCCACACGCACCTGAAGAAATTGGCCGAATTCGGATTTTTTCAAATATCTAGTCAGCCATGACTTTTTTCCAAAAAATAAAAGTAACATTTAATAAGGATCATAAAACTGCACATCTTTCCTCATTTCAGCATTTTTGTATCTCTGCTACTTTGCCAGATCCCTACACTAAACATCGAAAAAAACTCACCCTGTATATTTCAAAAAGTAAAATGTATGTTTTTATCAGGTGTGTCAAACCTTAAACAAATCAAATAATACATGTGTGTTCTGTGATTATAAATGTAGGTGTCACGTTAAGATTACTGTTATTTATCTCTGGAAGTTAAAAAAAAGCAGTGCCTATATGTTCACGTAGACAATTCAATAAAAGTTGTCAACAAGACAAATGTTCCACATGTAAAACATTGTATGTATAACACCGATCCTGAACTTCAGGACATGAAGTACAGACAAAAGGAGGAAACAGAAAAAGTAAAACAGAATGCTATTTGACAAACAAATTGACATGAATCGAAATAGACAAGTAGAAACTCTGTATCTTATATTTAGTTTTATTTGAGAATATATCTTTATGTTAACATCCATCACGATATCATTCGCCGAGCAATTGGATTAAATACGGTGCGAGGAATTAAATTAATTAAATTAATTATTAAATAAAAATTAATTGGATTAATTAAATACGGTGCGTATTTAAGAGAAAAATGTTTTCAGTTTTTCTAAGCTACAGCTTGAAGTCGAAGAACAAATGCAAACACAGCGATCCTCTTTATTTTCTTATGAAGAAAACTAAAGAGTAATTGATAGTAAAGACCAAAGGAAAAATTGATTATTATTAGTATCTTGATACATCAGTCAACACCATAGTTTTGTGAGTTGATCTGATCAATTTTTTTACCCATCAGGTTGAGTAAGAAGTTGTTGCTAAATTTAATAATTTTTTTTAACGATTCACTCCATAATGATCTTTTATATTGAACCTTGACTTTATATTAAAATCTTTTTACTTCGAGGAATTTATTTAACTTCCTATTGATGTATAATGATAATTTTAAATAGTGTTTAAACAAACATAATAAAAGTCTAATCTATTTCCACCTTAAACCTTAAAGAAGCTGTTCTAAAAATATATTTGTTAGGACAAGATTAATTGGGATTATAAAGTTTTTAGATAATTAATATTTGTTTTATGATAATATTTTATGTGACTTGCAATAAAATTTGATGTCTCATGAGAAATGTGTATTATAGATAAAAATTGTTAAGTTTCAAGGTACATTAATATATTAGAGCCTCAAAAGAACAACCGTAATGCCAAAAAAATATGTTACAACACTTTTAGGTCAATGAGCCAACTGAATAAAAGAAAACAAATACTTTTACTACAAATTTTGGAAGCAAAGCCTTCACTCACTATGATCGATGTTTTGAAGTAGTTCGGTCATACTTAAAAGTACTTGAATTTGTACAAAAATTTCAGTTAATATAAATAAAACTAGTATCTAGTACTAAAACTCAAAAAGTGGGAAACGCGGTTTTTTTTAAATCAAACAAGTCAAAAAATGTTATAAAACAGAGTAGAGACAGTCAGAGTTATAGCTATCTTTTTCAGTTTTCAGGAAAATGATGGCAATTTTTCATTTTTTACTATCATAGCAAACATGTCGAGCTCAACTTTCAAGTAACACGAACAACAAGCAAAGTTTTGTGAGTTTTGTGAGTGAAAAACAAATAAATTAAATCAATTACTCGAAGTGTCCATCTCCAAACTCAATGCACTCTTAGCATCTTTTGGTTAGAGAATTCACAGCAGCTCTGATTAAAACTAGATTTTGTTTCAAATTAGTGCAGGCCCTATTTAGCCTTTGCACTAACCGGTCTCTATTTGCTATAGGAACGCCATAAACGTCATTTTCTAGGTTACCCCCACATAAAATAATCTAAAATATGCTGGCGCCCTGTCAGTTTGAAAATAGGTGCCGATTCGTTGGTCCGAAAGTATATCGTCCATTAACTGGAAGAGGCTGTTGTCCAAAAAATTTAAAATCAGATCGGAATTTAGTCTAGGTAGCAAGATGTTTACTTGGATAATATGTTTCATAATTCGTAAACCATTCACTTTTCGACAAAAATAAAAGAATGTTTTTCCATCCGGAATNTACCTACCTGTGAAAAGAGCGATTGCCTCCACTTTTAAAGCGAAATCTACATATAACACAATATTTTCCCATTGTCTATTCACAAAAACAATAAATTCTGCCAAAGAAACTAATAATCCACGGTAAACACAACGTTAAACTCAGTAAGCATGCAAAGAATTAATGGCGGCCGACAGTCTTAAACAATAATAAACATCTAGCATAGAGCAGGTACTGCGCGCGCACCTTACCACATGTCTTTAGCCAATGGGAGGCTGAGTTCTCAAAATATTTACAGTAGAACAAAACAAACCAAGACAATGCACTGTCTATCCCTTCTGAGGTCGTTGGTAGAGACAGTCAGAGTTATAGCTATATTTTTCAGTTTTCAGGAAAATGATGGCAATTTTTCATTTTTTACTATCATAGCAAACATGTCGAGCTCAACTTTCAAGTAACACGAACAACAAGCAAAGTTTTGTGAGTTTTGTGAGTGAAAAACAAATAAATTAAATCAATTACTCGAAGTGTCCATCTCCAAACTCAATGCACTCTTAGCATCTTTTGGTTAGAGAATTCACAGCAGCTCTGATTAAAACTAGATTTTGTTTCAAATTAGTGCAGGCCCTATTTAGCCTTTGCACTAACCGGTCTCTATTTGCTATAGGAACGCCATAAACGTCATTTTCTAGGTTACCCCCACATAAAATAATCTAAAATATGCTGGCGCCCTGTCAGTTTGAAAATAGGTGCCGATTCGTTGGTCCGAAAGTATATCGTCCATTAACTGGAAGAGGCTGTTGTCCAAAAAATTTAAAATCAGATCGGAATTTAGTCTAGGTAGCAAGATGTTTACTTGGATAATATGTTTCATAATTCGTAAACCATTCACTTTTCGACAAAAATAAAAGAATGTTTTTCCATCCGGAATGTTTCAGATCGTTATAAAATATACTCAAATTACCAATTAATTCGGTAGCGTAGAAGTTTTACTTTAAATAGTGAAACGATTTCCTTGTTTCTCCGCCACTGGTTTTTGAATTTGGAGTGTATGCATACAGAACTAGAAGAATTATTTAAAAAAATGTGTACCAAATTTGGATAAATTAAAGTGGTTTTCCAGATATTTAAAAAAATTGTTTTTTTTTTTTTTTTAATTTCAATGCCCTGTATCTCATTAACGGTGGCTTTTTGCGCCTATGTTCATAGAGCAATGTGATGTTAATTTTTGCTGTTTAGTACTTTCCCGAAGTTTGTCTATTAAAATCTGGACTACCCTGTATATATTTTATCAAACTGTAGCTATAAAAATGTGGGTTCAAAGCAAATCTTAAATTTTTATTACTGTCATCAATAACAAATATGTACTACAATGTACATAAAAAGATTGTCAGCAGGTCATCTTCAAGATGGTAACCTATAACAAAATCAATATTCTGTATAGGATTTATATTGCAAAAGATAATAGCAAATTCTCGGTCATTTCATTTTTAAAATACTATTGAAGTTTAAATGTACTCTATATAAAATATTGGCCGAATTATCCTAATGTATTAATTTTTTACTGGAAATAATTTTTTTCAAGGTTAGCTAGAAGAAAAATTGACACCTCTAGATATAAATTTAGTTTTATTACTAGTATAGTATTTAGCATATGCTCATGTATTTACTTGTGTTATAAAAATAAAATGAATGTGCTACAAATATATGAAGTAGCAAAAAGCATCAAATTATTTCCAGTGCTGTCACAGCCTAAAAAATACTTGATAGAAGACATTTTATATTTGAGTGTATTGTTGTTGTAATCATAATTTGATATCTACCGTGATGATCTCGTATTCCCGAGGTAATATGATTTTCCTTTTGTTACAGTATTTCCAGAAGAACAGCAGATTGCAAGACGTAAATAAAAGACTAAAATCTCAGATATGGAGCTCGGTAGTAACAATAGTACTAGTCGAAGGGAAAAATCTGTTAGCCTGTGACCCAGAAACGAGTACATCTGATCCTTATGTGAAATTCAGGTGAGCAAAGACACCATAATTAAAATACTTATATGCAGTCCGTACGTTATTCATTGAGGTAGAAACTGAAATTTTCCGTATTATTTTCAGAATATTGAAATATACTTCAACTGAGAATTAAATTAATTTCTTTTATTTTTCGCCTGCATTGATTTATTTTAATAAGATTGAAAATACACAGGATAATAAAACAAACACGCTTTCGTAACTTCAAAACACAGTTATACACTGCAAGCTGCTACGGTGAACGCCACGCCGCCAATGTCTTTCCATCTCGGGAGTCGAATGCGGTTAATTCCAAGAAAGTGACGCGGGGGTCTTCTTGGAATTCTTCTCAACAAATATCGTACGGACTGTATATAACGTTAATAAGGAAAGCAGTTGTGTGAAAATTTATTATCTCTCTTACATTTATCCAAGGTATACATCAGATCACTTTTAAGGACAGCAATTGTTCATGCTAGATTTCAATATTTAATATACCGAGAATATACAGCGTGATTGAAATTTGAACGTGGATAAATTATGTGTTCAACAATTAAGTTCGATTTTGAGAAAAACTCAAATTTGTTTCACAGTTTTGGTAATCGGCTCTTTCCAATAACAGCACTTATCAATTAATTAGTTTTTCGTGTTACATTGCAGAGGATTGAATATACTGAAAATATGGATGGTGGTTTAGTTATAAATAAACAAACAACGAATGTGGATAGATTATTATCATTTATTTTTAAATTCAGATCATGTACTTAAAAAAATAATTTCAATTTTCATAATAATTAAAATTGTTTTCTATATAACTATAAAAATTCGTACGATTTTGTCTTTGAACATATCGAAAAAGTAAAATATGATTTATGCACACAATTTTAGTGAATAAGTTCAAATTATTCCAAAGCCTCTATGGCTTTCTTTCTAATGTATGTTTTTACACATTCTGTTGTATTTGGTAAGATCACTGATATAAGAATTTAGTTTGTAGCCCAGTCATTATAGACATGCAACAGCCTGTTTCGGGAAAAAAATATTATTAGAAGTTTATCTGCGGAATATTGTTCGGAAACCTGTTATAAACAAAATATAAAAAAATCAACTCGAGACTAGTTGGGAAATTTTGTTTAAACAATGGTCAAAGTTATGGAAAAACGTTTTTTAACTCATGTAAAAAAACTATTATTCATAGCTCTTGCGCATAAACAAATCATTGTAATTTAATCGGACTTGTCTCATTTTATAGGCTTATTTAATACCTACCTTTTTTGTATAAACTTTTTTTCTCTATGAATAATAGTTTTTTTATGCGAGTCAAAAAACCACTTTTCCATAACTTTGACCATTGTTTTAACAAAGTTTCCCATCTAGTCTCGAGTTGATTTTTTGATATTTTGTTTATAACACGTTTCTAAACAATATTCCGCAGAGAAACTTCCGATAGTATTTTTTTCCCCGAAAAAAAGCTATAATTACTGGCCTATTGGTTGGAATATTAGGAGAGATATGGCCAAAGAAACGAGCAATAAACGTAATGTGTTATAGGCTCTCTTTTAAGCATTTCTTTTGTTCTATTAGTGTCATAACCTTATACAGGGTGAGTCAGAAAGAATGGGTCAACAGTAAACTGGAGATACTAGACACCAAAATATTATGTTTGAACTCATCATGCATTATACGAATGTCGCTGGTTTAAGAAATACAGGGTGTTTAAGATTTAAATTTTATTTTGAAATTTCTCAATAATTGGGAAAGTTTTAATAGCATGACTCTGAAAATTGGTACTATTGGGTTTTTTGGTGTGAGAATTATGAATTTGAAGCTTATTTTGACGTTGCTCCTAGAGGGCGCTAGTTTCGCCATATTATTTAGGTAAATCAAAACATATTTTTTTTATCTGTTGACCTATGCTTCAGAAAAGTTAAAAATCTAAAAGAACGTTCAATTCTACATAAAAAGTGTACTTTTGTTTAGGTCACCTAACTTTATCGGTTTCTGAGTTATTTGCATTTAAAAGTTTCAATGTATTTTGTGGTGATTTTCTTTCAAGCGTCGATATTGCTATTTCTTTTCTAAGTAGGCTTGTGTCAAATTTTCATGTCAATAAATATTAGCGTATTTTGCATGCGTGTGATTTTATTATTCGTTCAAAATTGTTAGTTAGTGCTCAAAAAATGCCACGACATAATAATTTTTCAAACAGTGAGATGCGTGATATGATTTGTGTTTTTGCCCAGGCTAATTTTAATGGACATGCGGCGGCCCGAAGATATGAACACATGTACCCAAATAGATTGCAACCTAATTATAAACTATTTAGAAATCTTTACAACCGCTTAGGCGAATCTGGATCTTTTCGACCAAAAAGTAACCATGGTACTCCAAAATCGATCACAGTCGATGAAGAAGAGGAAATTTTAATTCGTGTTTCAGAAAACTCCGGTATGAGTACTCGTCGGTTAAGTGCGGCAACGGGGGTAAGCCAATCGTCCATTTGTAGAATTTTGAAAAAAGAAATGCTCCATCCATATCATTATACTCCGGTTCAGCAGTTATTGCCTCAAGATTTACCAGCTCGCCTACAATTTGCTCAGTTTGTACAAAATATGCAAATGGAAAACCCAGATTTCCTCAATAGGATTCTATTTACCGATGAGGCGACATTTACTAGACGGGGAGTTTTCAATTGGAAGAACAATCATTTGTGGGATTCCGAAAATCCGCATGCTGTAAAAGAAAAACATTTTCAGCATGAGTTTAAGGTGAATATTTGGTGTGGTTTAATTTCTGGTTTTTTCATAGGACCTTTTGAATTATCACCCAATCTAACTGGACCTCATTATTTAAACTTTCTTCAACATAATTTAAACGAGCTTCTAGATGATGTACCACTCGCTTTAAGAGAAAGTATGTGGTTTATGCACGACGGTGCGCCACCACATTTTGCCTTGCCGGTACGCCAGTATTTAAATGAACATTTTCCTCATCGGTGGATTGGCCGTGGGAGTGAATTTTGTTGGCCACCGAGAAGTCCAGACTTAAACCCTCTGGACTTCTCAGTATGGTCAAACTTGAAGGATGTGGTGTATCGGGAAGAAATTAATTCTGTTGAGGAGTTGCGGCAGAAAATACAAGTAGCCGCGAATGCATTTAAAAATAATAGGGACATTTTGTTTAATATTCAGAGACATTTAAGAGAGTGTATAGTAAAATGTATTGAGGTAGGTGGTGGACACATCCAGCATTTGATTTAAGGTTTGTTATTATTACTATTGTCAATAATTGAGAATAAAAAATCACCACAAAATACATACATTGAAACTTTTAAATGCAAATAACTTAGAAACCGATAAAGTTAGGCGACCTAAACAAGAGTATATTTTTTATGTAGAATTGGACGTTCTTTTAGATTTTTAACTTTTCTTAAGCATAGGTCAACAGATAAAAAAAATATGTTTTGATTTACCTAAATAATATGGCGGAACTAGCGCCCTCTAGGAGCAACGTCAAAATAAGCTTCAAATTCATAATTCTCACACCAAAAAACCCATTAGTACCAATTTTCAGAGTCATGCTATTAAAACTTTCCCAATTATTGAGAAATTTCAAAATAAAATTTAAACCTTAAACACCCTGTATTTCTTAAACCAGCGACATTCTTATAAGGCATGATGAGCTCAAACATAATATTTTGGTGTCTAGTATCTCCAGCTTATTGTTGACCCATTCTTTCTGACTCACCCTGTATTATTGTAACCCTGAGAAAACGATTAAACAAAATATATAAAATTGTTTTCTGATGACATGAAAAGAGAATTCCTATTGAAAAAAATAGTAAATAGCGTATTTCTGCAGACAGTTTTTTTTTATTATAAAAGTATTAAACTAATCCAAACAAATTAAATTAAAATAATTTTGAAGTCTGCGATACAGAAAATGTAGGACTTGTTTTAATTAATTTAATCAGATTTTTTAAAAATTATTTATTTTTATTAGCTTTTCAACCGAATAACTACCACATTCATGAACAAAGAAATTTCGTTGCTATTAGAAAATGCAAGCAATTTTTTTCTACTTAAATGTAATTTTATGTTCAATCTAATTTAAAATTAGCTATTACAGAAGCTTTAATTTTTTTTAGTTGTTTCCATGAATGTATTCAAATTATCATTAAATTCATAGAAAATAATAGTTAGCTAGTAAAACGATACTATTTTATTTTAGTTTTACAATATTTTTAAATACAAAAAAATGTTTCACATGAACTAAATTAATCAATGCAGATTTAGTTAGTGCAGTGCTCGTTGTAGTGTTTTAATCAATTTAAAATCAATGAAGAAATGTAACTGTGATATAGTCGTGAGTAAATCCCCAAGTTAACTTATGCGAACAAAAAAAGGATTTTTGTTCATTTTCCGATATTATCTCTAAAGATAAGAAAGCTGCGGTCGAATTTTTATGAATGGAAATTTTCGCGTGACAACCTTGTATATTGTAATTGATAGATACCTACACAATAATTAATCTCATTTATCTATTTTCCTAAAACGCAAATTAAATATTATTTAAGCACCGTGAATTCATCGATTAGATATTTAAATTACTTTCACTTTCAGATTGGGCAATGAAAAGTACAAAAGTCGGGTAGTCTGGAGGTCATTAAATCCCAGATGGTTGGAGCAACTAGACCTACATTTGTACGATGACGGCGATCAACAACTGGAAATTACAGTTTGGGACAAGGATCGATCGAGGGACGACTTCATGGGAAGGTATTTTCAAGGGGTGTTACCCAATTTTTTAACTACATCACGAAATGGAAATGGGTTAAAAAATATAGGACCCGTATGTCTTATTTTTTTCATTCGAACCTCATTTAAGGCCTATAAAAGACTCAAATATACTTTGTAACGTCATCAAGTGAAAATTTCAAATCTGGCGCCAAATTTTTAGAATATTTTAGTCTACTGCAGGGGCAACATGCGCGCGTCAGCATAACTGCTTCAATTCACAATGTTGTAATTCCGTCAATGTTGCCAGACTGATCTATTAAACTGACAGACATAAACACAAACAAGTTTATATATAAAAAAACATTTTAAAAAAACGAGCTTTTAGTGCCTCCATGCATCATTCAAACTAAATGTGTATGCAAAATTTCATCGCAATCGGTTGGAGATAACTGTTTTAAAATTCAGTTGCAAGATTTGACCCATACTAAAAAGCTTGTAATAACTATAATCTGTTACAATCAATATAAGTTTAAGAAGATATAAAATTTAAGAATGTAGCAAAAACATGCAAATAAACAATGAAATCGAAGTCGGTTGAATCTGTATTATAGACCAAGTACATTTTTTCTGGATTACCTTCAGTATAACTCACATAATAAAAGTGTAGATCGCTAGATCTGGGCGAGGTCTGGAACATTTTCAAAATTGCAAAAATGTTTAAAAATTTTTTAAAAATACCAATTTTAGCTGAGTTTTTACTTATATCTTGGCACCTATGCATTTTGGAAGAATATTGAAAAGGAAAAAAAGATTTAGAATTGAATTTTGCATATTATACTGCAACTTAAATTTAATTTAATTAAAATAATTGATGACATAAAACGCAAAATAATCAAGTTTTTTGGATAATTTTTTTGAAATATTTTAATTGCTCCGAGGGCATTCTAATTTTGGTAAAAAAAAACTATAGAGTATAATAAAAGAACACACCAAATTTCATTAAAATCGGTTCAATAATTTTCGTAAAATAATTTAAAAATTTTCGAATTTTCAAAATGTTGCACAACCTCAAATATATCATCTAGAACTTGAAAATTTTTTCATATAGAAAAGACCGCTCAACCTTTCAAATGGTTTTTGAAAATTTGAAATAGGTTGATTAGGACGTCCTCAGTAAATTTTTAAAGTTAATATATTTTTTTTATTTTTAAATAATTAGATTACATTTATCAATTCGCATTTTAGTTTTTTTTTTTAATTATAATTTTAAAGTACCTACGTTAAATTCCGTTTATTGGTTCTCGAGATATAAGCGGTCAAACTTTATCGGCATTTACCGTTATTTTACAAACAATTTAGCAATAATCTTTGATCCAGTGGCTTCGTTTTTCCGAGTTCTAAGCTGAAAAAAAATTTCATATCCATAAGTTATCGGCAACATAGATAAATCAGGGGAAAAGCTGTCGCTCGCACGCGCGAAAAGTGACTCAAAACACGAAAATTGCGGGGAGGGCGCTTTCGCTCCGAGACTGAATTCGCAGGTCCAAAATGCTAAAGTGTGAAAATATTGCATTATCTCTGCTTCTAATGGACCAATCTCGATTTTTTTTAATCCGGTGTCTCGCGAGCCAAGAAATTCGAATATCGTAATGCCAATTGTCTAATTTGCACATATTTTGTTATAAACAAAAAATTTACCGTATGCTATTGCATTTTTTCAATGAAAAAATTTATTTACGTATATATTTCAACACTCGGAATATGAATGTATTTAGCTATAATTTTTATAATTATTTAAATAATTTTTGTTTAAATAAATTAAAAAAAATATTTTATTTGGAAATGAATTTTTTTGTTAAATACAGATAAAATTAAGAGAAAATAGTACTTTAAAATTACAATTCTTGAAAGAAACTAAATTGCAAATTGATAACTGTAATCTAATTGTTTAAAAATTAAAAAAAGTGTTAACTTTAAAAATTTACTGTGGCCGCCCTAATTAACCGATTTCAATTTTTCAAAAGACATTTGAAAGATTGAGCGGTCTTTTCTATGTGAAATAATTTTCAAGTATCTAGATGCTTTCTTTGAGGATGTGCAACATTTGGAAATTTGGAAAAAATTTTTAAGTTTTTTTCAAAAAATTATTTTGCGAAAACTATCGAACCGATTTTAATGAAATTTGGTGTGTAGTTTTATTATACTCTAAAGTTTTTTTTACCAAAATTAGAATACCCTCGGAGCAATTAAAATATTTTAAAAAATTATCCAAGAAACTTGATTATTTTACATTTTTTCATCAGTTATTGCTATTTTTCAACATCGGTAATAAATTTAAACATTTTTAACTTGCAGAATATGCAAAATTCAATTCTAAAACTTTTTTTCCTCTTCAATATTCTTCCAAAATGCATATGTTCCAAGATATAAGTAAAAAACTAGGATAAAATAGGTATTTTTTAAAATTGTTTAAACATTTTTGCAATTTTGGAAAATGTTCCGGACCTCGCCCAGATTTAGGAATCTACACATTTATTATGTGGCTCAGTAAACATGATTTTAGACCATGCAAATCGCTGTATTGGGTCTGAAGGGAACTACCTACCTATTTTTGCCAAAAAAAATTTTTGTTCTTATTTTTAAAAAGTCCTGTGTACTTTGGAAAATATTTTTATTAAAATCAACAACACGAGTAAGTATATTAATTTTCAAAGCAAAAACGACTACGTATATTTTGAATATCTAAACATTTCCAATTTGCCTAATGTAGAAGATGTAAGAGTTTGAAGTAACGGCATGAACAGCGCAATGCCTGAGGGTGAAAATGACATGATAGATATAATAAATTTCGCACCCCTCTACATTGACTTACCACCTAAATTTTCATGTATAACTCAATGAAGAGAGATGTTACAGTAAATCTACATTATTAATATCATTTAGCTATAGATGTTACCTTCACAGCTTAATCCTCATTTTTTTTGTGTTACACTTTGTTTTCCCTCATGTAACCAGCAAACGCATACTTGTCAGTGGTAAATAAAGTAATTTGTGCAGTTAATATCTAATATCTCAACGTCTTCGGCTCAAAAAATTTAAGAAACGGTTGTCTAAATTTTGGTCCAATTTTTTTTTAATATTTTCAAAACTACAAAGATATCTTAAGTAAATTCACATGTAATTCTGCTTTATGCTTCATATAATCTGATTTACTAATATATGCATAAAACATGTACAAATATTAAGGAGTGTTTTCATTAAAAATGTTTGTAATCGATAAAATATTTGTTATCTAATCATATCAAACAAAACATATTCATCTCATAATAGCTAACGATTATTTTACTACGAAAAAAATACAGATTTAAATACTGAGATTGCAGTTGGTTTTGGAAAACCCATTCTCCAAAAATCGTATATTTTTAAAGAATTGTGATAAGTAAATATAAATCTGGAATTTTATCATTATTATTAATCAAATAATTCTTTGCTATTTATTTCCAAAACTATAATTCGTTTAATTTAATTGTATTTTATAATTTTTTTTAGTTTTAATCTATAATTTCTATAGTAATTTTTATGATATTTGCAATTATATTTTAATACATTAGTTTCAATTTTCTTTTGCATTATTTAAGTACACAAGATAATTAACAACAAAATTTGTATAATTCAGAATAGTAAAAAATTATTAAACAAAGTAAGCTACAGCCCATTCGATATCCAAACTAAAGTATAATGAATCTTTCTGGTGAATTTCAAAAATATCGATTTTGAATAGAGTAGTATAGACAAACAAGACAACGTTGTAATTTGGCTTTGCTGAAGTGTCAGAAATTTGATATTAAATGCTATTTGCAATTAAAATATAGAAAAGATTTAAGTTTATTTATTAATAAATATTGAACAATTTTGTCTATCTAGTGAAATATTGGCAATACCTACTATCTCCAATTTTATTTTTCAACAATTCTACATTATTTTCGAAATTATAAATTAAAATTCATAATAGTCAAATCGGGATTCCAGTTTCTCTATTGTTAAAGGTATGATGTACCCAATTACGAGTCACAGGTGTTGAAAGGGATGGGCAACATTATATTAAAAATAAATTTGTGTCCTTCCACCTAATAATCTTGTGAAAAAATATTTTTAACATCAAGGTGCCCTTGGCCATTTTTCTTGGAATTGTGTGCTGTTGAAACTTGTTGCTATTTTTTAGCTGTAAGTAACTTTTTAATATAAAAATAAAGCCATTTCGCTCTATAATTGTTTCACATCTTTTTGTTTTTTTGAACACCTTGTACATCAAAATTTTATTTTCTCTATTTATTCGATTATTTCGACAAGCAAAACTTTTTATGAAGAACGACTTCTCTCAAAAAAATCTTTAGAGTTAAATGAAAAATCCGCATTATGTGGTTATCTGTGGTATAGACAACAAATTTCCGGTCCTGAATGTTCAACGGCGTTTAGAATCCAGTACGTCGTAGAGGATGTGAATAATTAAAGTAATTCCGTGTTTATTATTCTTGTTACGAATTATAAAGGGAAAATACTCATTTTCCAGTTATTAAGCTGTCTGCGAAAGAAGTGATAATAGCAAAAATGTTTAAATTAAGCATGCTTTAATACTCCATTTATATTCTTTCTGAGATTACGAAAATGTGATAGATACATTATTCATTCGAAAATGAACATAAGAATAAAGGTGAATTTGTACCGTAACAATCACGGTTGATGAAAATCTGACTTTATGGAATTTAACATATCAATCGGGGGATCAGGCCCCCTGTCGAGTTTTCGGCACTCCTGGGCCAGGAAAGATCCCTCATGTTTTAGTTTTGATATTTAATAATATGTAGCTTACGTTAATAACTTGCAACTGTTCAAAATTACAAAAATTTTGTTGCCTTTTTAATTATTTTGTATACTTAAATGATGCAAAAGGAAATAGAAAGTTACAGATTTATCCACTTATACAAAAAATAAACTAAATATGTAAATTTCGGGATCAAAGACTGTGGAGCGATAGAAATTGTGAATTTAAATATAAAAAATTTCGTATGCTCCAAAATCCGATGTGAAATATTTGTATAGTTTTAGAAAATTATATTTGTTATACAGGGTGATTCATTAAGAACGGAAAAACTGCAATCTGGAGATACTCTAGACGAAAATATGACGATTGGGTCAAACGTGCCTTAAACAATATTGACAGTATAAGAGATATGTATTATAGAAAATTATTTTCAAATTTCTAATAATTTTGAAAGCTGTTGCAGTACCATCTTAAAACTTTTCAGTTTTACTATTTTTGGAATAGGTAATAATTGCCCACTAATATTGGCGTAGCCAATAGAGGAGACTAGTTAGACTCTGCGGCTTAGGTGAATAAGTGAAATGTTTTTCCCCCACACAATTGTTGTAAAAACAAGTGGTAACTGGTAAGTCCGAAAGAGAATTACTTTTTATCTTAAAAATGAACTTTTTTTAATTTCGATATTAGAGCCGGTTTTTCTAGCTGCCAAATAAATGTATATTGTCAATTAAATATACAGTGTGTATCAGCCAATTGGAATAAATTCAATAATAAATAAATGGGGGCGTGTTCGAAAAAACGCTTGGACACGTCGATTGGTATTTTTAGTTGAGCATTTTTTTCAACAAAAACTTTGTATACAGGGTGTGTCATGTAACAGTGGTCAACACAACCTTTCTTATTTTAAATGCAACGCCCTGTATATTATTCAATTTTTGGATTCTTTAGAAAATTCTAGACATATTTCAAGTACAATGTCCTATACCTATCTTCAACTGTTTCAGAAATATTAAGTGTTTTCAGATTTATTGCGAAAATTAACATTAAAAAACGAAAATTATTTGATTACAGAAATTCACTACAACACACTCACAAATTAATAAGTAATACTGTTTATTTATTGATAATGTAAAAAAGCAAAAAAAAAACATTAATGTCAATGTAGATGTTCAAAATTCTCACCGTGAACGTCTTGGCAACATCCTAATCTTAAATAGAAATTTCTTCTAACGCTACTCAACATCTCAGACGGGACCGATCGCAAGAGTTATTCGTCTTCTTAAATCAGCGAGGTCGAGGAGTTTAGTTTTGTATACTTTTGACATATGCTTATAAGTAAGTCTAATGGTGTCAGATCAGGGGATCGTGCTGGCCATTCCATCATCTGTGGAATTGTTATTTTGTGCATTTTTGTTAAATGAACCATTTTTCTGATATCCAGTTGACAACTACTGTCATGCGGGCAGACAACATGTTGCTAAGTCCAGGCGTTTTAAGCAAAAGTAAACAAAACTATTTATAGTTATTTTTTATTTCATATCAGTAAAAAGGAACTCTCAAATGGTTTTTGCTTACTTTCTCATTATCAAGAGCTAAATGGGAAATAACTATTGAGTGTGTTGTAGTGAATTTCTGTAATCAAATAATTTTCCTATTTTAATGTTAATTTTTGCAATAAATCTGATAACACTTAATATTTCGAATACAGTTGAAGATAGGTATAGGACATTGTACATGAAATATATCTAGAATTTTCTGAAGAATCCTAAAATTGAATAATATACAGGGTGTTGTATTTAAAATAAGAAAGTTGGTATTGACCAGTGTTACATGACACAGCCGGTATAAAAAATTTTATTGAAAAAAATGCGCAACTAAAAATACCAATCGACGTGTCCGAGCGTTTTTTCAAACACGCCTCCATTTATTTGTTATTGAATTCATTCCATTTGGCTGACAAATACTGTATCTGTCACTAGGATGTGTAAAAATAAGTTCATCATAAAACGAATGCAAATGTATTTCTGCGAATTTGCAATAATAGTGTGCGTATGAAATTTTATTGTCCATATAAAAACAAAGTATTACAAAAAAATTCAGTTAAGTTTTATTCTTGTTTTCTTGTATTATCCTGCGTCATAAATTACGTCAAATGTAGTACAAGCTTCATTTTACATTTAGTTTTATAACTAATATTTAAAAGTTATTTATTGTTAACTGCAAGTTGTAACAAAAATAATAATAAACTCGATAGTTTATGGAATAATTCTTTATTTTGAAGTTCAAGGAATGCTATGACATGTAACCCCACTAATTGGTGTCCGTCAACTTTTTTGTCATAAAAACTGGAAATTTCGTTTTAAAACGACCCATCCTTCTATTCTATTATTTTCTAATCCTTAAAATAGAAGGTGTGCGTAAAGCAATAAAACTTGTTAGTCATTTATCTAAAGGTAAAAATCTGCTGGATTCGCATATAAATACGTCAAGTGGTGGTTCAGATCAGATACGAAGAGTAACTGCCCAGAAATTCGGGGCCATTGGAAATTCGGGAAATTCGATCACTACTTTTAATTCCTAGTAGAATTTCTGAGAGAACAAGTACTCTGTTATGTACTTCTATTTTTAAAATAAACCACTCTCGACTTTTTTATTTATATTATTATCAAGCACTTTAATTGAATTTAAAATAGAAATGCGATTTTAACTGAAATGTATTACAGATAAAACTAAAAAAATCATTTAACTACGAAATTTCGAAATTCATGCGAACAAAATATTTTTGGGGTACCCCAAAACGCATAATTTCTGCGCCAATGATAATTTATTATAAAAAAAGATAACCCAGTCGGAGATTGTGGAGGGGGCCCAATTTAAATTTTACCGGGTGGATCTATTTAGAAACTTTTAGAAACTCATAGTCCAGTGCTTAAGCCTTCAAAAATGTAAAAAGTGAAAAAAAATTATAGTAGGATGAAACCCATTGGGAAATTGGAAATTTTCTCAGAAAATGCAAAGAAACGAAAAAAACTAGAATCCGAAAATTTTTTCTAATCATTATGTACAATTTTGAGCTATTTATTAAAATTTACACTTTAATTACCCGAGAAACGTAAGATTCCATGTCACTTTGATAAACAATAAAATTACAAGTCGAAATATACTATTATAATTAACAACCAAATAAGTAATAAAGTTAATATTTAATAAGACATCTACAATATTTTGAGAAAGTTGTAGAATCGTTTCTTTGCATTTCCTGAGAAAACTTACCATAATAATGTATAGTTTTTTTTACACCATCAGAAAATAGAGATTTCAACGAAGAAAAAGCCCACCGACGTTTTCAAAAAAGCAGATATTTTGACGTGAGAATTTTCGATTGAAAATTAGGGTGCTTTTTCGATATTAAGTAAAAATAAGGTGAAAAAATAAATATTTCAAATCAAAAAAATTACAGCGTGTTTGGGACATAAATAGGTAAGTTTTCACCAAATTTCGTGAAAAAAAAAATTGTAAAAGATAAAAATAAAAAAACAAAAACTTGGTTATTTGAATTTTTCACATAAATTTTGAGGTTATGTGAAAAAAGTGTAAATACAAAAGTTGTAGATCTTTTTATTACCTACAACTTTGCTATTTAACTGTTTTCCATAAGACTTGTAGTTTTTCCGGAAATCAAGGGAAACCGTTTTTTACCTCTAAAAACTCACCCTCTTCCCCTTCCCGACCTCAAATCGCCCGTAAATTATTTTTCCTTTAATTTCTGTTATATTCTCTTTCTTTTCCAATGGATTTCATCCTACTATAATTCTTTTTTGTTTCAAAAATTATCGACCCTGGTCTATCAGCCATATAATTCAGTTCATAATTAATCTATTTCAGATGTGTTATTAACCTAACGGCATTAGAAAGAGAAAAAACGCATAACATATGGCAAGAACTGGAAGAAGGAGCTGGTTCTCTGCATCTTCTACTAACTATTAGTGGAACCACCGCTTCCGAAACTATATCCGATTTAACAACTTACGAGGAAAATGCTAGAGAGAAGCAAGCCGTCGAAGATCGATATGTATGTATAAATTATTAGTTTCAGAGTTAACTAAAATAACGTACAGAGAAAGTGGTAGTTTTTGACAACAAAACATCTAGAAGTGTAGGAATTATACTTAAACTGCTTTTGTGAGTATCATTTATATTTCTCATATGTTTTCCCCAAAACAAAAACAATACATTTTTGTCTACAATAAAAAACAAACACGTTTAGATTATGACTTCATGGTTTCTGTGTCAATTTTATCAAATAGTGTAAGATACTTCGAAAATACACATTCAAATTTTCTCCATCTAAACTGTAAATAGCTAAATCAAATTGAAATAAGAAAAATTGTTTGAAACAAAAGTACTCTCTTTCTTTCTATTAGTTTCTTTGTGTTGGATAGAAGAGTTGAAAGTAATAAAACTTTAAGCATTACCAATTTTTTTGTAGAAGCTCTATTTTTAGCCAAGAATAATGGTTGGAAAACTTTTCTTACCCAATAATGTCGCTAAAATAAATTGAACAGTTCAATGAATATTTACAGACAGCAACTCAAAAGCTGATATTGATTTTTAATAGCAATTTGTCAGATGTCTGGTCCTTATAAAAACTTTCATTTGCAGTTGAACTTTTGTCCTAGATTTTAAATTCGTGATTAATATCCCTTTTTAAACTGCAATTAACATAAGATGATAAATAGCCGAACTTGTCTGGCCCGCATCATTTATAATATATAAATAGTAAATTTTGCGTGAAAAAGTATAAAACGGTACTTTGATCCTTTATACCCTCATTATGTAAAAACATTTTGGAAGAAAAAGTAATTTGGAGGAGAATGGATTGCTCGATGAGTTGTGTGAAAGTATTAAAATTGAAAGTTCCGTACAAAAACCGTTTAAGTATACAAGAGAAGGCGCGAGAAACGAAGTTCTTCACTTTTTGCAATTAAGTCTTTCCTAGAATCCCCACCCATTTCTTGAAGTCTGTATACCTACTGGCATTGACTAAACACGTACAAGACTTAGCAAACATTTAGTAGAAATTTATATATTTATTTACTTCTATATTTCAACTTTAATGGGCTATAAGTCGTTAGGGGTGCATTTTGGTACTTAAATAAATTAGGCCCAAACAGTCCTTGACTTTTTTCAGAATCACCCTGTATGTAGTACACTAACCTGTAACGAGTAATCACTTTGTATTTACGCAGATATGGCATCGAACATTCCACAATATAAAAGATGTCGGCCACCTGACAGTCAAAGTGTTCAAAGCCAGCGGATTAGCCGCTGCAGATCTAGGCGGAAAAAGCGACCCTTTCTGCGTTGTCGAACTTGGAAATTCTCGACTTCAAACTCAGACGGAATACAAAACTTTGGCACCCTCATGGAACAAGATCTTCACCTTCAACGTGAAAGACATCAACAACATCTTGGAGATCACGGTGTTCGATGAGGACCGAGACCATAAAGTAGAGTTTTTAGGTGCGTAGAACTAACATATGCCTCTAATCAGTTTTTATTTGAACTTGAAAATTATGCTTATCTTCAGGAAAAGTTGCTATACCGTTACTACGAATAAGGAACGGAGAAAAGAGATGGTATGCTTTGAAGGACAAAAAATTAAGGAGCAGGGCCAAAGGTAGCAATCCTCAGATCCTTCTAGAAATGACGATAATATGGAACCCCATCCGAGCTTGTATAAGGACTTTAAATCCGAAAGAAGAGAAGTATATGCAAACCGAAGTTAAATTTAAGAGACAAGTTTTTGTTAAGAACGTTTTGAGACTGAAAGCTTTTATTATATACTTTTACGAAATTGGGAAACTCCTTCAGTAAGTAGTTGTACGTTTATGGCTCCTTATTTATTACTTATTGTACATACAAACAATGCAAACATGTTACACTCAGATAATTATTCCTTTATGAGCATACAGAAAAATGTATACAAAAAATGAACACATAAGTAAAGAAGAATTAGAGAGAAAATAAGAAAAAAATTACAAATTAAATAATAATAAAGATAAAAACATCTAAACAGCCACAAAAAATAGGTACCTAAAAATAATTTAGACTTCAGATAACTGAAATATTTTTTTCAAGGCCTTATCTAAGGAATATATTGAGACAAAAAATATCTTTAACGCCAGTTACTTACGTTGTACTTGTTTAGTGTTAATTAGAAATCTTTGACTTGCTTTTATTGTCCTCAGGATTGTTTTTTATGAGATAAACCCGCTATGAATTTTATAGCGGCGGTGTCGTTATGTATACAGAGTGTCTCATAGTGACGGCCCATTAGAATTAATGGGGGTCATATTGAACACTTATGACTTTTTTAAGTCATTTTTTTAATATCTTAGTGCATTATTATTATCAACATACATAATTAAAATTGTGTATTACTATGTATGAAGTTGATTTTTTAGAATTCTTCTTAACTTTATTCTGCTCATTGGTGGAAAATTGGGATATGTCTCATTAAAAACTGTAAATGTTCTGCTTAGAATCCCATTACAACATCTGTTAATAAATAATAATAAATAACTGTTGACAGACAAACATGAAGGTTTGAAGTTAACTAAACTCGGCATTAAATTTCTTGCACCCTGTATGCAATTAAGCCACTTTGAAAATATGGATGGGAAGCTTAGGGGTCTATCTCCCCTATAAATATTGTTGCTTTATCTTTATTACTACAAAATTTACATGGTTTGAAGCTAGTCACTGTTTCTCTCCATTTTTTTTTTTTGAAAAAAATTAAATATCTCGAAAACGGTTAATTTTAATAATAGGGAAACTCCATAGAAGTCCACCACAATCCAAAATTGCAATAATATATAGGGTGTTCCATTTAAAATAAGCAAGTTGATGGTGACTTCCGATATAACTGGAAGTGGTTCGTGGACGCCATTATTTTAGTTGAGAAGGGCATGCCCGAAAACCCGGTATCCCAAATTTTCAAAATTCAAATCGAAGTAGTCTCTGAAATAATTGTAATGGGTCGTCACCGTGAGACACCCTGTATATCTAGGTCTGTACAACACAATAGTGGGAGTGAGGATGGAGTGTGAGCCTGTACGTTCACGTCCTTGGCTCCGCTGAGCCGCTGAGCGTGCATTTAGGCCTCCGCAATCATAGATAAAATTCCGCAATAGTGGGAGTTGGGTGGGAGTTCCCGCTTACGTATCCGATAACGTCATTGTGGAGTGGGGTAGAAGGCGGGACCTCGGGTATGTCCCCCACACCGCTGCGCGCGACTCGTCATATGCTCAGAAGGATGGTGGGTGTGGTCTTTATTCATTGCGGTATCGCGAGTGTCGTTGCCGCAGATCTGCGCAGTTGTATATCACGCATTCTCCTCTCACACCGTTGCTTGTTGTTTAAATGAAGTAACTAGTATTTACGAATTTGAAAGCGTTGTTCACGATTCATATAATTTGGATGTTGTCCGATTTCCAATGATCCCCGTCTTACCAGGTTGTAAAAATCTGACCTTCTCACAAGTATCTCATATGTTCTTCATTTTACGTATATTGAGCGATGGCTAATTTTTCTAGCTGGTTGAGCCTTAAGACCGTTTCATTTTTCTTCCTTCTAATAACCGATCTACATGAACGGGTCTGCCCTTACAGAGACTAACCCGAAGACAACAAATGCAGGTCAAAAATTCCTAGCTAAGGGTAAGGAAGAGCATCGTACTTAAAAATGGGACGTGGAAGAATTAAAACCACTAGAAAAAATATCAATAGAGGTGTTATAAAAAATCTTATTAACGTAAAATACATAAATAAAAACGAAATAAAGTCGGATTCTTCAACAGCTGGAAATCGATAGAAAATATTTTATATAAACTGTCAGCCATTAAAAAAATAAATACATATAGCAAATATTGGTTAGACAAAAAAACAATTCATATTAATCTATACATTTTGTCAAAACTTTTGACATTGTCTTCAAAATTTCATATTTTTTACGTTTTTTTTTATTGAAATATTATTTTGTTCTATTACTATTCATTCATTTCATTTACAAGAAGCCCAATTGATAAAGTTATCCTTAAAATGCGAAAATAGTTGTTACGTATCTATAGTGGCTCATTTAGGTGGTCTTTCTCAGAGGTGATGTTAGAACAAGAATAAGATATAATACGTTACTATTATTTAATGATTTCAATATATTAAGTTTTGTTTTACAGAAACTGCTTTGAGTGGGAATCGAAACTACAGAGTTTTGGCGCACTGGTGGTGTGGCTGATCCTTTGCTACTACTTCGAACCCTGGATGATGCCAGTGGCGGGTTTATTATTTTTTTTAAAGCAATATATTATCAGAACCTTAGCGGGACCCACCCCTGTGCCTTGGGACGAGACAGCAGAATCAGATTTAGACGACGACGACGAAGAAGAAAAAGAGAAGGAGGAAAAGAAAAGCTTGAAAGAAAGGTTGCAGGCTATACAGGAAGTCACACAAGGGGTTCAAAACGCGATAGGAAAAATTGCGTCTCTCTTAGAAAGCATAAAGAAGTAAGTGAATAAATATGCTCTTTTTTTAGTTTTTCTTTTAATACGATATAAGTAACTTAAATTAAAACACATTTTTGAAAATAAAAAATTTACCTAGATAAATCCGGTGTGTCCCGCAAGGAAGTGCGCATATTTTAAGAGGGCATTCCTTTGGTAAAAATAAGCAAAAAGATTTTTTTTTTTTAATTTTGGTCCGTAATCGCACCATTTTCGAGATAGGCACCTTAATTTTTTTTTACACATTTAGTACTTACAAAACCATGCCAGTAATTCTACATTTCAATTTTCAGTGAAGTAGATATGGGGGGCTAGCCCTTTTCTTGAAGCATAATTTCTACGCCCATGGCTTCCTTGTAAATATTTACTTTGTTAAAGCGTAAAATTTATATGAAAATAATAATAATTTTGAAATTGTTCATATTTTCTTAGATTTTGGTGTAAATTGCACAATAATAAAACTATTTTTTTACAACAGAAACTAGTTTTTCCAAAAAAAAGACTTAAGTAGTAGGGTTAACACATAGAGAAACCAAATCTAAACAAAGCCGATAGGAAAAATTGTAACAAACAAACGACAACGACTCAATTGTATGTAAACGTAATTTAATATTGTTATATCAAAAATAAGTAAAAAATTATGTTTAAATGAGTTGCAAATTAAATTGGAAATAATAAATTTAATTGGGAAAAACTTCAGTTTCCTTAAGAAAAATAGTACAGTTATGTTTAGTCTGATTGTAGATACTTCGAAAACCAACACTAACACAAAGTTTTGTAAAAAGTGAAAAACTTGCTTAAGTTTTTGAGTTCTGTCAGGTTAAAAGGAAAACCCTCAACTTGTAACCCTGTAACAAACAAATATTTGTATCAATTTCAGCACCTTCAACTTCACCGTTCCGTATTTATCTTGGATAGCGATCATTCTCTTAATATTAGCTGCAATAGTCTTGTATATCCTACCAATTCGTTACCTACTTATGCTCTGGGGTACCAACAAGTTCTTCAGGAGAATACTTCGTCCTCATGCCGTCGTTAATAACGAATTATTCGATCTTTTGTCTAGGATACCAGATGACGAGATGTTGGTAAGTAGAAAAATATTTGTATTTCCTTCATTGGTGCTCATGTAACTAATAATGGAAATCTGCTGGTGTCGCCGTGGTATTTGTGTTAACACAAGGGTTGCAACCAAGGATATCGTGTTGTGTTAACTTGGGTTTGGACATATTCTGGTAGGTACAGACTCCAGGAAGAATGGAATAAAGGACAATTTCAGGTTAAGAATCATAAAGTATGGTATTTCTGTGGTAATGTCTTTTTTAAATGTTACCAATGCCAAAGACCATGTTTTCAATTTTATCAAAAATAAAAGATAATTCACGACTTCTCTTACAAGTATAGATTGTAAATGTAATATGGATTTGAATTGGTTGTTATTATGGAGATTAAAAACTTAATTTAATGAATTTTAATTTTTTTCTATATAATCAAAATTTGCAATGATTAGTTTGAAGTAGTTACCTAGAAACACTAGTAGTTCATTTGTACCATATCTGTAAACTGCATGTCCAATTGTTTTTTATTAACATTTTTCTTTTTTAATAAAAACTAAAACTAGGTTTTGCACATCAAACCAATATTAAAAAATTTGGCTGCACCTTGGTAATTTTTAAGTATGGATAAAACAAACATATGGAGTGATTTACATAGTGATTCAGTCATAATGTCATTAATTTTAGGGGAAGATGGGGAAAATGAGTAGAATATGAATAAGTGATAAACAAATTTTAAAATTCATATTTTCGCCGAAATATCAAATCATTATTTAAACCCCTTTTCCAACCGCTCATGACCGCTGGCGGCACTGTTACATTCACGGCTCCCAAGACAACTCGATGTCAGCGTGAAGCGACGTTGCCAAATTTAAACATTTTTCTAGTAACAATAATAATAATCTAGGTATAAATAAACCGTTGATTGACTATTTTATAAACTCATGTTTTTTCTTGCTCACTTCAGCCAATAATAATTTAAAATGTCAAAATATGTAGGTAATATAAATTATTTTTTAAAAGTATGCAATTAAGATATTAAATTGCCATTGTTGCCCAGCAGGACCTCGAGGAACTATGAGCATGCCTTGCCAAAAAACACTTTTCTCGTAATATTCTCCAGACCATGCTTTGGGATGTCCCCATCCGCCTTGTCGAAATATTAGGTTGCTCCTCAACTAAATTTAAAACAGCATCCAGTCATTTGGCGGATGCCCTGCAAATTCTAGTCGCGGTATCAAAGACCCGGTATCGCGAAGACGTTAAAGAACTCGCACGAAGGTCCGCGGACTCGGAAAATGTTGTCTATGAGGGAAACGCCTTCGATATTCTGCTACAGCATTTCATTTCGTAAACATTCCCCATATAAAACCATCATTTCCGCATATTCAAAATTCGCAAAATTAACCATTACGACTGACACGCGAAACAATCCGAAATAAACTGAGCATTTTGCATACTTTCTTTGTATCTCCTTCCCATATTTATGACGTGATCTCCAAATTTGCGGGAAAACAATGCGCAAGATGCGATTAACAGTAGTAGATTTAAATAGTTTATTATTATTTATGTGGTTCTGGCGCTGTTTCGCTTCAATGTTTGAACGCTTTGTGTTCCGTTAGCGCGTCCCGGTCAGAAAATGTGAGAGCGTCGAATTAGCGGGAGTAAAAGGGTAATTTGCTTATCTTTTAAAAGATCGAGAACAAAATTTTTTGATTTTCTGTCTTCCGAGTATGTGGTTAAAATTAATGATATTGTGACTTAATCACTCTGTATAAAATTTACAAACTTTGTGGTCTGATTCATCAAGCCAAAAGAACTTCATCACTAATTTAAAATTATACAGTCCGTTCGATATTTGGTGAGATAGAATTCCAAGAAAATCACTGCGTCACTTTCTTGGTATTAACCGCATTCGACACCCGGAGTAGAAAGACATTTGCGGAAAATTTCAGGGCACGCTCCCGCCGCGGTAAATATTTGCAGTAGTTCCGATAACAGAACTTTATTGGCTTATTCTTTTCTAGGAAATCTGTCTCAACAAACATTGTATGAACTGTATGCTGATTGGTAATTTGTTATTTTATATCTTTAATGACCCAAAGAATGGGGCAGTTTATAAATATCACAATAAATAATGAGTATTTATGTTAAATTTTCATTTTTTTCTTAATTTCTTCGCTTGACATGCGCAAACCAAAAAGAGTTCCAGGTAGAAAATAACCCACGCATAGCCCTCACTCCGCTACTTTGCCACTGCGCCAGAGCTCAAATGAAATTGGTTTGCCTTTACTCTGAAGATTCACCTTGTATAAAAAAAATATTGGACTTTTTATCTTTAACGGAACGAAGTTCTTTTGGCTATAAAAGTCAGTCCACAAATTTGTATATTCTGGATGTAAGTCACCCCATTCAATGAAGGAAAGGTGGAAGGGCAGTACCAAAAAACCAATAATGGTTAATAAAAGTGACACCTGCAGACGTACATTAAGTTATTGGGCGCCGGCTTGTCCACGGACCTGGGCCGCCTCACAGTGATTCGGTGGTACTTGCAGTTGGATTACAAAGACCTCAAGCTGCTGATGAACAACGAGCCCGACAGGCGGAGGGATCCGAAGAAGAAACACAAGACGTCCTAGTGGAACGGAAAATTTTTGTTGGGCGTCCGGGACAAGTGGAAGGTACGCTTCGACAAAATTAGCGAAAAGTCTGACTGATTAGCATTTTTACATCCTCGACGTTCGCCAGGTTGAGCAGGGGAGGTTTTTTGAAAAGTTTTTGTATTATTCTATTATTCCAGATTATTTTATTTTGTATTATTAGATATAGAATTAAATATGTTGAAAAAACTACCTATTCTACATTCTCATTTCGGATCATAACACTTGTTCTCTTTCCATGCCGGCATATACCGGACGTTGAGGAGATTTGATCCTTTCTGGAACAAATCTACATAAAATTTCACCGATGTGTGAATAGGTTCTAGTTGAAAGTTAAGTCTGTGGAATCAGTTACGAAGACCTTTGAATTTTATCCGACGATTCTAATTCGATGATTACCAGTTATCTACTCTAGTACCAAAGAATGAGGCGAATGTGATTCCATGGACGTATCATTTTAGAAGGTTCCTGAAATTGTTAAATCTAGAACAAATAAATTTTGATAAAAATTTTGATTTTTCTTAAACATTTTCGCTCATCTTGGTACTTACAGATATCTAATAGATAGGTAAGTACTTTTTTTATTTATAAACTGTATATTCAACAATTCTGACTTGGTAAGAAGTTTTTGAATTTGAATTCAAATATTTTATTAAATAAGTTACTTTCACTAATATTTCTAAATTTTGAAAAATACAGAAGTAAACAGTTTAATAACTGTAAATAATTTATTTAATTAGGAAACAATTCACTATAAAACTTCCAATTTCATTTAAAAAACCTCCCCAAACAACACGTAATAAACTGAATAAATTGTTAACTTGTCAGCTTATTCAATACTAGATGTGAGATAATTCATTAAGTTAAAAATTTCCACGAATTATATTTAAGTATAAAGTATAGTGAGAGAACAAGGTGCCCCAAATATATTATGAATTTGAAACTTGAAACTGATGGTACCAGATTTTGATATGGAGAGCAATTAAAACAAAAAATTACCACGACATAAGGTATTTTATTTTATGTAAAGGAGTATTGATTGTTTAGCACCTTAATGACATTGACGATGATGGTATATTCTCATCAATATTTCTAAGCCCTTTAGCCAGTTATCATAATTAAGAGTGGGTATCTAAAACTTATTTTACAAATACAGGTCAACAAATTTAAAAACTTATATTTGTTTAAAAAGAACTCGATAAATATAGGTCACTCAATATACAGTATAAAGATATGGAGGGTACTTTATAAAAAAAAGATACAAAATCTGGTACCATCAGTCCCGTTATTAGTCAATTTAGCAAGATTAATAACTTCAATAAATTGAGTTGTCTTACCTTTGTAACTAAATAATACTTTCTTTCGGACAAAAGTTTATGTTTTCATTGAATTTCTAATTATATTGCTATATAAACAAATGAGCATTGGACCAGAATTGTCAAGTCTCTGTTTTTTTTACAACCATTGCTCTAATTGGTGAATTTAAATAAAAAGCATTCAAACAGTTTGTTTTAAATATGTTTGTAGCATTTTTAAGTTATATCTGGCTTACTATTAAAGACACAGTCCTAGACAAACAATAGCGTTCGGTATTGACATCTGGGTGCTCCGAATGTGTTTTGTCCTTTTTTAATAGTAACAGATGAAAAGACAAAGAGACGTATTCTAGACCGAACGCTACTAATATACAAAACCTTCATAAGTGATTACTAGCCACATGACCAGAAATTTTATTTGGAGTAGTAATTTTATTTCCTTCATATTGGCAATCAAATTTCGGTAAAATTACTAATACAATAACATCAAGATTATATTAAAATACAACATTTTGTTTCACCGGCTGTGATTGGTGTAATTTTTCATGAGATTCTATCCAACCAATCAGCGATCGCAGTTTGTCATTGTTCATTGTAAAAGGAATCATTGGAGCTGCCAAGATTTAGGGATTTTTCGTTACCAGTACCAGTTGTGCATTGTTGGGTTGCCTAAGCTCAGCAGTCACGTAGCTTGTAATCATTTATGAAGGCTCTGTACAGGCTGGTCCATTTTCGATGGGATTTCAGGGTATCTCAGAAACTACTAAAGGTATGATAAATCTGACACCACGTTCTCGAGCTCGATTTTCATGGCAAACTCGACTGTCAAATCAGAAATTTGCTATCTTCATTTGTTTCTGAGTTACAGGGCGTTTCTCGTTATTGTGACACTTTTGAACATGTCTGTATCTCAGCTGTTAAATAAGTTAGAGTTAAAGTGAAAACTGCTCAAGACTAATTCTTTGGCGTAGAATTGAATGCCGGTATTAGATTTTTAGTAGGTCTTAAGATTCCGGAGTTATGACCCAAAGTTATAATTTTTTAAATGGAAATCGTAGCTGGTTATGACCTAAAAAAATGGAGATTTTTTTTTGCTTTTCAGCAATATACCACATGCTATAGTTATTTTTCCAAACACAGAAGATACGGGGTGTTTTATATATAAATTCGATCCTTTTTTACATTTTAATATGGCTGGCTATGAAAATACATACAAAACTATAATTCTTACTTTTACAAAACTCATATCTGTTGTAAAAATATGACGTTTATTTAAAATATATATTACAGATAAGAAAAGACAGAGTTTTCAAATTTTTATTCCACTTCAACTGAAGTTACAATATTAAACGTAAATTAAACAATAGTAAGTACCTACATCAATAAAAACTTTCAAAAATGATAGCTAAATGTTCAAATTGCCGTCCCTCAACTGTCACACATTTCACGCATCTTCTGGCAACGCTTCGGGTAGCATTCATTAAATGTATAGGTATTTGAAATATTATTAAAAGGAATTTTAAATATAATGTCTTTTAGAAAACCTCAAAGGAAAAAGTCCAACGGACTCAAATCAGGTAACCTAGCTGGCCATCTGATCGGTCCGTTTGTTCCTATCCACCTATCTCCTAAAATTTCGTTAGTATTATATTATCACACGAGTATATGTTGTGCATTTAAAATAAATGTCATATTTTTACAACAGATATGACTTTTGTAAAAGTAAGAATTATAGTTTTATCTGTATTTTCATAGCCGGTCATATTAAAAAGGAAAAAAAATATAATTTATATATAAAACACCCCGTATCTCCCGTGTTTGTAAAAATAACTATAGCATGTGATATATTGCTGAAAAGCGGAAAAAAATCTCTATTTTTTTAGGCCATGGTCAGCTACGATTTCCATTTAAAAAAATATAACTTTGGGTCATAACTCCGAAATCTTAAGATCTACTAAAAATCTAATACCGGCATTCAATTCTACGCCAAAGAATTAGTCTTGAGCAGTTTTCACTTTAACTCTAACTTATTTAACAGCTGAGATACAGACATGTTAAAAAGTGTCACAATAACGAGAAACGCCCTGTAACTCAGAAACAAATGAAGATAGCAAATTTCCGATCTGACAGTCGAGTTTGCCATGAAAATCGAGCTCGAGAACGTGGTGTCACATTTATCATATCTTTAGTAGTTTCTGAAATACCCTGAATTCCCATCGAAAATGGACGAGCCTGTACAGCAGTCTGTATTAAACAAGTTTGTAGATCCTATAGCTTCCTTACTATTAAATATAATTCTGCATTTATCCTTACGATAGATCAGAATGGTATACCAGAATAATGTACCTAAAATTACAACATTTTTGAAAATAAAGTTGATATCTGTATCTCTGGAATGAAATGCTCAATTGTTTTCTTTTTGTTTTTAACAAAAAAATATTGAATCGAATGGAATGTGAATATTTTTTAAATTAATATCAAGTATATTTTCAAATAATGAGATATTTAATAGAATAAGAAATAAAATGTTGGTTCAACTTTAAATTTGCATGATCTTTGCAGTGTTGAGAAAAGAAATAAATAGTGGAAACATTATAAAGAAAATTATATTGTATTTATACAAGTGCAGTGGTAAAACAACTCTTCGGTATCGTTAAAATCCAGGAATTGTATCATTGATTAGTTACATAGACGTAGTGATTATTAAATTGATGAGCACGAAAAAACAATATTAGATTTGTTTCGAAAATGTCTTTCCGCCGATAATATTAAATTTTAAGATTTTATATTTTTGTACCCCATTTTGTACTTAGTTAGAGTGTCACCATTACCAAATAGAGGTGTACTTTAAAATTCTCCAGTTCATTTAATTCGAGTCGTATTCCGCATCGTAATTTTAAAGTACATGTAACATACACATAATATGTCAGTCCAAAGATTCTAGAAACGTTGATTCTTCCATAAACCAATGTATTTAAAACTAGATCAGTTTAGATTTTTTACATTTTACAAATAAGGGAATTTGTTAGGGAGTTTATTCAGAAATGCAATAGTTACCAAAAAATAGGTACATTTTCAAAGCAGACATTTATGTTGTGTGCAAACTGCAGAGTGGTTCAATTGATCAGTTGAATGCGAAAATCTTGTAACAGCTGATAAAAAAATAATGAAATTAAGAGATAAATATTCAAAATTAATTTGGTTTGCTAGTGACTCTAATAAATTTGATTTAAAATGATTTAGATGATCTTTTTAATTAAGAGAAAATTAAGTTTTTCTTTATTTTAACAATCTACCGAATTGTTTTACTCATTAAAAAAAGTCACAATTATGGGAAATGTGTAGGTATTTATTGGTTAAAATTAAAATAGTTTTTTCATAGGCAGACGTCTTTGTTTTTTTAAAATGGCCTTAGCCCATTTACTCTTGCCATTTTCTTTCTCCGATTAATTGATGAATCAATTTTACAGTGACTATTGTATTTCTGATGAAACTTTCAAACCTTTTCTTTTGTAGCATCTTAGGCCTAGTCCCTTAGCTATAAATTTAGTCGAATTCTTAAAAATTTGTTCACGAGTTACATTGATATGGTGCTTAAAGTTATTGTGACGTAACATAAGAATTTACAAGTTTGCAAAATTTGTTTAAACAAATAATGCTTTATGTGATTTTGTGATAAGATTCTAATAATATACATGTTAAATTATAAAAAAAGTTTGTGAGTGTTAAAACATATAGTTTTAACTATCGACGCATTGCATACGTAAAAGCTAGAGAATACAATAAATTTTATTTTACGTACGCACCTTGATTGTGATTTTGTAAAATTTTTATTACATTATTTAAATGTGTTCTGCACTTTATATTTAATTGCACAGCACAATATGGTTCCTGTTTCGCCATTCTTTATGTAGGTATTATACAAGATATATTAAATAAATTTATTATATGTTTTCATAAATAAAATCTCGAAACATTTTATGTAGTCATTTTTTTTAACCAATAGAAAAATTACAAAAGTTACTAATACCACATATCTAACTAATACATTAAAGTTAACAGTGTAATTACTTTTTTATTTATGTTTTGTTGTGATTATTCAAAATAGTACAAACTAAGGGAATGATAGAATATTGTATTGACAGACATAAAATTAGGAATTTTCATTAAATTCTATAGTGTATTCCTCTACTGAGATCTAAGTATATGCTGGAATGCCAACAACAACAAATTAAAGTCTCTAGACACTAAGAAAATACCGCAATCAACTGCTATATTAGGGTATAATTCCTATTATCAATCTTGAAATATAAATTAGAATTTTCAAAAATCACATATTTTGAACAAGATCTATAATACTGCAACAAGTAAATTTTAATTGTTTTTTTATATATAAATGGCACAAATACCTATATAGGTACTACAAATTGCCATTTTGGAGTAAACAAAACAAGGTCAATGATTACTGTGGTTGAATGATTTCCAGGCTGGTTGCCACGTCGTCGATTTACGACTCTTGATTTGTAAATCGACGACGTGGCAACCAGCCCGGAAATCATTCAACAACCATTAACGACAGCCACGGAAGCCTAAACAAAACTAATGATTGCTGTATTTGGTTAAGTCTTAATTTAATTATACTATACTGAATTTGCGACTGCAAGGGAATGCTGACTCAAATATCTCACTTTATGATAACAAACATTAGCTAGAAATGTATGTGAATCAATATCATAAATATGTGTATATTTTTTACAAAATGACAAGAATAAAAATTGAAGTAGATCTTTAAGTGTTATAAAAAATGACATCTAAATAAATATAATTCGCAAGCCGCGTCTTTGGTATAATAACAGAGTGTCCAATATATGCAAACGCAGAAGAAGAAGTAGATGATTGAAACTGTCAAGTTTAAACTATATTATCTTTTACAGTGACAGTTTTTGACAGGTATAAATATAAATAAAATGTAGAGGTTAAGCAAAAATCTGAAAGTTCAGAACGATATAAACCCAATAAATTAAACGGAAATCTGTATGTTTAATTAGTTTATGAGGACTTTTCTTTAGCAGGATAATAGCAATGTATTCTTTTTTAAACCGTTCCTTGTACCGATATTTAAGAGTTAGTACTGAAATCCCTAGACAGTGTAAGCAAAAATTTCACGAAAAGGCAATTACTTTTGACGATACTTTAGATGAATTTACTTCACAACTTACACAGAAAAAAGCAAATAAATGGAATATACAGAAAGACCCCAAAAAGCCAATGAATGACTGTTTATCGAATACAGAAATAAATAATACCTTGAGTGAGTTAAAAGATTATTCTATAGAGAAAATAAACCTACTTTTCAAGGACTGCATAGAACTAGGTAACAATTTGGATTTAGTAAACTTAACAAGACAGTGTATAGAATATCGGAAATGCCCATCCTTATCAAATCTTACGCATATACTTACACTATGTGCACAGGAAGGAGATAAAAATTTGATAATTTTACTCGACGAACTCTGTGAAGAATTTCACCCAGATATTGCGAAAGCCAATTCAAACTTTAGGCACTATTTAGCAGAAGCAATTTGGGTCAAAGGAAATATACTGGAATCACTAAAAATGTTTAAAGAGGTGTATAGCGAAAATGCTTTTTTGAGAAGACGAATAAGACTAGTATTTAAGTTTTTGACACAAGACATTATCTCTACTCGAAGCGAAGCAGCTTTAATAAATATTGTTAAATTTGCCGAAGAACTTCTAAGAGAATACAAAGATTTCTTTCCATTGGCTTGTGTTTGGCAATCATGTTTTTTAAGTGAGTGGTTTACAGATCAGTGCCTTGCTTTACAATTACTAGAAATGAATGAAGGATTGTGTAAAGCTGTAGTTAATAGGGTTCCATATGTAGTAACGATTTCTTTAAGTAGTCACAGAACTGATGTTGTATATAGGCTATTGGAACTATTACTTAAATATGAAATGAAACTGCAGTACAGTAGTGTACTTTCAGCTCTTTTAGATTATCAAAGTAAGTACTTAATGTAAGCAAATATTTTAAACCGTAAGTTGTAAACTTGCGATATCTCAATATTTCGTAAATATTTGCGTGTGTGTAGAGTTATGGGGTTACCCTTGTCAATATTGCAAACATGTCTGAATTAATGCTTTTGCGAGATATTGTGTTATTGCAATATTACAAGTATGTATCTTGTATCATGCCTGTTTATTGTAAAAATGCACTATTCCATTCAAAATATGCACACAGAAATGAAATAAGAATACATACGTTAATATTAAAAATATTTTTAGTTTCCCGAGGGGATCTCAGAAGTAGTTCTGAAATAATACAATGGTCTATAAATAATAATGTTCAACTACCAGCATATCAGAATAAACGGTTTTTGGATTTGTTTCTTCATAAAAACAAAGAAAGTTCTAAGTTGTTGGAACTGGTGAATACAATCAAATCGGATAAGGTCAAAAGAGATCTTAAATTTTAAATAAAAATCTTTTCTATTACTTAATTTTTGTTTAAAATATCAACTAAAAAAAAGTATACAGTTTTTTTAATAGATCTATATTTATTACCACAGTACAACTAGTACAACAAAAAATGTACAAAACTTAATAAAAATTATAAATCACAGATGTATCGTTTCAATAATGTCCTCACAATTATTTTTGGTTGAGTCAGCTTGGGCAAGTCTTTTAAATTCTTTATAGTACATCCACCTAAAATTATTTCATGATAAATTATTAAAATATTGCAATACTAAATTATTTTTATGTTTTAAATCTGATCATTCTTTCTTACAAGTTCGGAAAATGTATGGAGTTAAACACAGCAATATGTCAGTATCTAGTGAAGATATATTTTGCTCATCCAAAGTCGAGAATATTATTCTTGAGTTTGTATTTGGAAATTAAAAAATATGAGCATTTGCCCTCATTTTTGAGATACACTGTTAAAGTTTAAAAATTAGATCTCTAAACACCTGCTGCGCAAATGAAGAAATTGAAACAAATTTCATGTACAAAATACATGAAAAATATTCAATGTAAAATAATTAAGTCAACTCAAGTCTCTGGCATAGATATATGAGTTGAGTTGAGCTAAATTCTCAAAAATTGTGGTATTCTAACTAGAAAACAAATAAAATAGTTTGATCCTGAGTAATGTAACTAATTGTTAGTATCTTAGTGCACAAATTCTAACCAGCGGTTTCCCCCTTGGATTTTACAAAAAGTATTTAATTATTTAATCAAAATGGTGTCACAGTGCCCGAGTACAAGATTTCAAAATGACAGTAGTGCTAGTGTGTCTTAGTCATAATAAAACCTAATCATGTATTAAGCACACAAAATTTTGTTTTAATAATTTCATTTGTTTGATATTTAGAAACAAATTTTTTTATTATTTACTAAGTGTATTAAAAAAATGGGGTTTCAAAGACGAAATGTTGATATAAAACAATATTCCTAAATTTAGCCGAAGAATATGCTTATTTTTGACACACCTTGTATGAAAAATAAAAATATATTAAGTAAATAATTCAACTTACAATATTAGGCCAGCACATATTGTGTAAAATAAAATACTGAAGAACAAGAAGGCAGCTGGGTAAGTTGTCAACGTGTTTACATACACTAACTTATTATAAATAGGAACTGCAGCTGCTGGTGCTAGTGTTTCGAATATTCCTAAAAGAGATTGGGCTTTCCCAATATCGTTTTCTGAAACCACCTTTGTAGTAATCGATTTCTTCACCACTTTGAAGATTCTGGTTATGATACTTATAAACACTCCTATAAAAGTGAAAGATATACAGAGTGTAAATAAATATTGAGGAGATTCTTCGTTGAAAATTCAGTAAAGAAAAATTCTCCCTCTTTATGGATTTATAGCCCTACAAATTGGGAGAGAATATCAAGGTACATGTTTCTGTATTAATTATACTTTTTTTTTATTTCAGACAATTATTTATTTTTAGTTGTTTACTAGGTATTGCTGGTGTAATTCAATGCAAGTGGGGCATGTTGCTTATAAAGTAGCTATTTCCTGCAATATTAATAGTTAGGAGTCTTGTCTGTGGAGTTAGATATCATTGGCATACTTATATTTTTTTGTTTGACTTCATTTCATAAAATTTAAAAAAATTGGATTTGAAATTAGATTAATACCTTTAAAAAAGAGTAATAAATGATCACTAATTATCATAATAACCCTTTTGGGTTTAAACAAAGTATTTCTGATTGTTGGATAGGCTGTAGTGGACCTAGTTGTAGTATCCTCGAATGGCTTAAATTCTGTAGATCTCTGCATATGGGTCATTTAAAAGCTGTAGTATTCAAAAATTGATAATTGAATCATCAATGATGTGATGTAGTCTTGTGTTGTATAATGGTGGGATGTAGTCATTTCAAACATTTATTGTATTTTATAGTTTCTTTCAATTTATTTTTACTCATTTAATGTATTTTCATTTTAATAAAAGCCCCCATGGAGGAAAACCCCATAGATATTATAATTTATTTATTTTTTTTATTCAAGAACTATTACACACACAAAAATAGAGGAGATTAAATGTGTTTCAGATAAATCATGCTACTTATCTAAAACAGATTTCTAAATCTCAATACTGGAGATAGACAAAGAGTTACTCAAGATATTGCTCGTAGGGATGCTTACTGGTACCCTTTGCAACTGAAGGGGGGATCAAAAAATTATCCTTTAGATGAATTTTCGATAATACGAAAATTATAAAAAATTTTATTTCTGTAAATTTCTCTATGTTTACGGAAAATAAAATTTTTGGCTCCCCAATTGAAAAGCCTTAAATTTGTAGGGGGGGGGAGATTTTTATTATAAAAAAGATATCCCTTATTATCATCATTTTCATGACCATTTTTGATGTATCTATTTGCGAACAAATTAAAAAATATAATGTAGTTAAGTATAATCCGAGGGGCGATCCGCTAAGGAAAAAACGTACGAAGATTACAAAATTTCTGAAATCTCTTGTAATATCTGCAGATTTTAATATCAATTAAAAAAATATTACAAATTTCATATAAAAAATCAAGATTACAATATATTTCAACATATTACAAAACATTTCAGGAGATTTCAGAGTTATTTTAGTAGATTTCAGTGATTATTTAAGATTTCAATAGGATTATTAGAAATTAAAAGAAGATTTCAAAATTTCTTAATAAGGTTTCAAGGAATACGGGAATATTACAATAAGTTTTGAATGTCCATTTGAACAAAAATAATTGAATTAACTTCAAATGTCATTCATTTCATTCATTAACAGTAGTACTTTGATTAAGAATTTCCAGTATCATTTTTACGCAAAAATTGTAACATTCTGATTAAGTTTTTGTTCGAATGAACGTTAAAAACTTTTTGTCATGACAAAAATGATAACGCCATTTTGAAAGTAGGTAAGTATATATTTTTATTGAAAGATAAAAATATAATAATTCAATAAACTAATAAAAATAAAAAAATAGAATTATCATAAAATAAACATTTTCCAAAAAAATAAATAATAAGAAATATATTAAGCTTTTATTAACACTTGTATTTAATATTTTACCTGTATACAGCGTATTTAAAAAAGACGCAGCAATATTTAAGGGGGTGATTGCCCAGGTCAATTTATAAAAAAAGTTCCTATAAACATACATCCGCAAACGCTTCGTTACCGATCTACAGAATGTTGAAATTTCATTAAAAAAACAGTAAAAATTAAATTTCTCCAAAACCGCTTGAGATATTATAATGAAATTTTAGTCCTGTCAATAGCTATGGCAGACACGTACTTTGCAATACAAAACGATTTTTTAGTCTTACCAGTGACGCGCGTATTGGCACGTCACTAGCTATTTTTAAAGAAAAAAATAGGACGCCGCTGGTTTTTCTAAAAATAATTTTTTTTATTCCTTGTTCAGTTATGAAGAAGAAAGCTTTCCTCAGATTATACGCACCGTACGACACACTGTTATTGAGTAAAATTAAAAACATTTTATTGCGCACCTAAAACCAATGTTTTAATTTAGAAATTCAAATTATTGAACAAAGAAATTCAAATCATCAAATTTGATTGATTTTTGAAATGTGGTACTGTTGTTTGTAGTACGTAATAATAAGGGGCTGCGTTTTGGAGAAATTTAATTTTTACTGTTTTTTAATGAAATTTCACATGTGGTAGATCGGTAACGAAGCGTTTGCGGACCTATGTTTATAGGAACTTTTTTTATAAAATGACCTGGGCAATCACTCCCTTAAATATTGCCGCGTCTTTTTTAAACACGCTGTATACAAGTAAAGTATTAAATGCAAGTATTAATAAAAGCTTAATATAGTTTTTATTATTTATTTTTTGGGAAAATATTTACCTACTTTCAAAATAGCATTATAATTTTGGTCATGACAAAATGTTTTTAAAGTTCATTCGAACAAAAGCTTAATCAGAATTTAACAATTTTTGCCCAAAAAATGCCTGATACTGGAAATTCTTAATCAAAGTACTATAGTGTTAATGAATGAAATTAATGACATTTGAAGTTAATTCAATTATTTTTGTTCAAATGGACATTCAAAACTTATTGTAATCTTCCCGTATTCCTTGAAACCTTATTAAGAAATTTTGAAATCTTCTTTTAATTTCTAATAATCCAAATGAAATCTTAAATAATCATTGAAATCTGCTAAAATAACTCTGAAATCTCCTGAAATGTTTTGTAATCTGTTGAAAGATACTGTAATCTTGTTAATTTATATGAAATTTGTAATCTTTTTTGAACTGATATTAAAATCTGCAGATACATTACAAGAGATTTCAGAAATTTTGTAATCTTCGTATGTTTTTTCCTTAGCGGATTTGCCCTTCGGAACACACCAATCACACCATATAGGTTTCTGTCGAGGTTTCTGTGGCATCCTTTGGAAATTGAGGTAGGGGGGCGTTGTATAACGACTACATCGACGTAATTCATTAGCTGATTACATAGATTACAGCGAGGATTACAGATAAGATTACGTAGATTACAGATAGATTACATATATTACAGATAAGATTACGTAGATTACAGATAAAATTTCATAGACTTCAATTTCAAAGAGATTCTTAGATGATTACAAAATTTCAAAAAGATAATTATTAAAACGTCTTAATTACACGGAGATTACAAAGATTTCAGAAACGATTACATAAGATTCCAGGGCAAACGTACGAAGATTACATCAGCGGATCGCCCCTCGGTATAACCCAAGTGGTAATAAATTATGAAATCGTTATTTTTTAATAATTAATATTTCCTTTAAATAACTTTGGTATTTCTCTCTGACTTGAAATTAGCTCCGATAGTATTCAAACTTACCTATATAAAATACTGTAACAGAATTTGCTAAACCAAATATTAGATTTGTGATGATTTTATTAATAACAGTGATAAATAGTATCATCAGGTCACTTAAATTTAATATTTTTGTAAAAATTGGCACTCCTAAGGCATTTCCTGAAAATACAACTGACAGTAACTTAAAAAATAATATGGAAATATTACCTTACCCAGTAAATGCACCAAACCGCTAACTGTTATGAAGTAGCTATATTCCACAGGAGTCCATTGGAAAACATTTTGCGTGTAAAGATATAATATGTTTGATTCACCTTAAAATAAATTAAAATAGAATAAGACATGCAATATATAAACATGTTAGTACCATCAAAAGCTCCTCGGTAAATAAATATCACTGCTATTAATGTTAAAATATGCAGTCTATCCGTTCCCGGAGTCTCCTTACAAATCAAATTAAAAGTATCCACAGCATGCGAAGGATCAAATAAATCGGCTAAAAAAAACTTTCTACTATGCTTTTCTTGATTTCGAGATTCCTTTATCCAGCACAGGCCATATATAAACGAAATAAAATGTAATGTTGCAGATATCGTCAAAATACCAATGTAACCTATTTTCGTAAACAACAGTCCACTAAATAATGACACTGAAGGAGAACATACACTTAGAACAACTTGTACGATACCTAATCTAAGAGTTCTCATTTCTATAGAACTTACGTCGGCAATGTAAGAAGTGCTAGCCATAATTAGCATAGTTTGGCCACCAAATAACGAGGGAATTATTTTCTGGGATATTCCCTGAGCCTCCAATGGCCAAGACTGCATATAAATAACACTTAAAATACAACCAAACACTCCAAATATTTCTCCAAGTACTGGAAGTAAGAGAAATGGCTTCCTCCATCTGTGTCTATCGCTGTATGACCCCAAAAACAAAACTAGTAGCAGCGGCATAAAACTCTGTACTGGCTGTTGCCATGAGTGCATATTGCTTATTAATATTTGAATTCTTTCATTCTGACTGGAATAGTTCTCGTGGTGACCGCTTAAAATTGCTTGGCAGATGGAGTTGCTATAATTTAAGTTTACCCTGCACGATTTTTCGAATTCAAGATTGTCTAGTGCTGGCTTTGATAGAAATTGTGCCATTTGGTACAGGGCTACTAGTGGCTCGACAGTTATTATTTGTTTTGCCCTTTTCAGTTTTTTTGCTACTATTTCTCTTACAGTTCTGTGTTCAACGATATTTGATTCTTCCATCTGTACTCCTGCATGTTCGGAGTTTGTTTTTGAGAACATTTCATATTAACGTATATCAGTCTGAAATAAATTTATACGAGTTAGAGTACCGTAGCTAATGATAATATTTAAGAAAAACAATTATCAAAATAAGATGTACATTAACTTCAGTAAGTAAATTAATTTTTGTACACAGTTAAAGAAAATTATTAAAAATATGTACATTTATATCAATTTGATGATATTTTTTTTAATAGCAAACATACAAACTAATTATTGCTTACCATTTATATGTAATTCAATTTGTTAGTGAGATAATTTTTTAAAATTATGTTCAACTGTTGTATGTATTCACATAATCTGATGAAAATATATTAGCTATACTTTTTCAATTTTCAATTTATTAAATAAAGGTCGTCCTATTTCACCTTGGAAAAAAAATAGGACCAATGTCAGACTGTTATTGTTTGAACGTGAACATTTCTATTGACATTTATTAGAAAATTCTCCATGAAGGTTGATTATAATATATTAGAAATGGATTCAAATGTCAGTGCTTTCGGTCGTATGTTAGATTTTATAGGTACTACATGTATGTCTCGCTAAATATATAGATTAGGTATAACATAATATGAAAAACATTGTCATTTTATGGGAATACATAAAAATTATAGCATAACAAGTTTATGCAATTTTAAAATAAAAAATTGGTTTTTCATATTTTAGAAATGTGTTAAATTATTCGACATCACAAAATCACAAATCAACAAAAAAGTTGCTATAAATATGCTTCCGAAAATGTTTTCTTTTGGCGATATATGGTGTTAGTTACAGTTTAGCAGAAAAAAAAGTTTTATTTACAGAAAAAGTACTAAAGGGATCTCCTTTATCTTTAATTTTTTATTATTGGAACTAATACATTGAAGATGAATTTTTCGAGGCAAACGTTAGAATCTGGTACGGGCTGAGGCAGTACAGTATTGAGGGTCATGAAGGCTTGCAAAAATGTAATAAAATTTCGTCGTATTTAAAAAAATTAAGTTGATGGTCCTAGAGAGACGAAACGTTACATATAAAAATTGATTATGCCATTCGATAGAGGGCAAAAAGTTGCCATGCCATGAAATGTCGTCTCAAACAAGGCTGAAATGAAACAAAAACGGATTTCCACAATTTCGGCTTTTTTCAAATATTTCGAAAACTAATTATATTAGCCTTGATTTTTTAGAGCCATAATGTTGGTCCCTTGATTATGGAACTTTGCCCCCATTTAAGCTAATTCGTATCTCACCGTTTCTAAGATCTGTAGCAAGAAGCGAATTTGTAACAGCCTGTATACAGGCTGATTCAAAATTCAGGGGCGTATTTTTGAGGTCAAAATAAGACTTTTTTCTCCTATAAACGTGAATCCACAAATGCTTAGTTTTCGATATACAGGGTGTTACAGTTTTTAATTTTTTTCGATTTTTTAGGAATAATTTCGAAACGGATTCGAATGTTGGTATAAAACTGGAGGTACGGGGGTTTTTTAGGATGCTAAATTTAAATATGTCATTGCTTCTGGCGCTGCTTGTAGAGAGCGCCACCTATAAGGGTGCGCTTGAATTAAATTGGACCTAACTTTCTTGCTACCTTGTACATCGATGTTTGATATTAGTGCGTTTATTTTATCAACTATTTACGGAGAAAGATTTTAAAATATATTTTCACCATCTAATCAGTAATGCAATGATCTTGAATTTTAGCTCTAGATTTTTTTATGCAACTAACCGTTTTCGAGAAAATCACTGCTGACTAAATAGCAGGATTGTCATTATCAAAATACATAGAGAACAAAAAATAAGCAGAGTCAAAAGCAATAATATATATTTAAATTTAGTATCCTAAAAAAAATCCTGTACCCCAAGTTTTATGCTAACATTCAAATCTGTTTGGAAATGATTCCTAAAAAATTGAAAAAAATAAAAAACTTTAACAGCCTACAGCCTGCATATCGAAAACTAAGCATTTGTGGACCCACGTTTATAGGGAAAAAAAGTCTTATTTTAACGTCAAAAATACGTCCCTAAGTTCTTTGTACGGAATTTTGAATCAGCCTGTATAATAAATAAAATAATGTGAATATACAAGGTGTTTATATTAAGTACATACTTGTAAAAACTTTAAAGGGTGAATCGTTGATTAATTTTAAAATAAAAAGTTCATATGTACATGGGTCTGCAACGGCTTCATTTTTAAGATACAGAGCGTTTTTCAACAATTATTGTAAGTGTTATTAAACTTATTTGTAGAAGTAGTTTAGTCTTACAAGTCTTTAGTTATAAATAAAAGACACATTTGTTTTTCAAAAACTCGATTCAACTTACAAAATTCCAATGCAGGTTTAAGTTTAAACCGGTTTTTTTACAAAACGGCTGCTTTCAGCGACAAATACTGAGTGTACTTTTTGTATGTAAAATTGAATGGAGAATAGATATGTCAAAAATGACATACAGTGCGACACAATAAAGTTATAGTTATTTAAATCCAAGTACAACATTGTATGTGGCGCCCTCTAACTTTAAACAAAAAAACTAAGTAAACATTTGACTTTCTCATCGTCAATACTCCCAGTTTCCCGAATTTCGTCAAATTGCCATTGTGTTGAACAAAAATATAATCAAAACACCAAACAAACATTTTTTTTAGACACTCTGTATCTCAAGAAACAAGCCGTTGTGGACCCATATTCATATGAACATTTTATCTTAAAACTAGTCAAAGATTTAAAATTTGTACAAGTACTTAATAAACACCCTGTATAAGAAAATATTACCAAATACCAAAAATCAAATTATACTTTAAATAAAAATAAATATTATTCAAGGTNCATATGTACATGGGTCTGCAACGGCTTCATTTTTAAGATACAGAGCGTTTTTCAACAATTATTGTAAGTGTTATTAAACTTATTTGTAGAAGTAGTTTAGTCTTACAAGTCTTTAGTTATAAATAAAACACATTTGTTTTTCAAAAACTCGATTCAACTTACAAAATTCCAATGCAGGTTTAAGTTTAAACCGTTTTTTTTTTTTCAAAACAGCTGCTTTCAGCGACAAATACTGAGTGTACTTTTTGTATGTAAAATTGAATGGAGAATAGGTATGTCAAAAATGACATACAGTGTGACACAATAAAGTTATAGTTATTTAAATCCAGGTACAACATTGTATGTGGCGCCCTCTAACTTTAAACAAAAAAACCAAGTAAACATTTGACTTTCTCATCATCAATACTCCCAGTTTCCCGAATTTCGTCAAATTTCCATTGTGTTGAACAAAAATATAAACAAAACACCAAACAAACATTTTTTTTAGATGCTCTGTATCTCAAGAAACATTGCCGTTGTGGACCCATATTCATATGAACATTTTATTTTAAAACTAGTCAAAGATTTAAAGTTTGTACAAGTACTTAATAAACACCCTGTATAAGAAAATATTACCAAATACCAAAAATCAAATTATACTTTAAATAAAAATAAATATTATTCAAGGTACTACATTATTATTTATTATTGAAGTTAAGTATCATTTACAGCTTGAAATAAACTACATATTTTCATTAATTTCGAACACCCCATATATTGAAAACAAAGTGTTTCTGAGCACGTCTATAGAATTTTTTTGTTACTTGGTGACGTAGAATCTACCATTAAAGTTCAGCCAAGTATTTCAGATACCTCTAATATTTTTATATACAAAAACATAAATACCTTTCCTTCAAACGGTGAATAGTTTATCTTCCTGCTAACATTTATAAAAGTGAAGATATCTTGAAGCAAAATTCAACAGTCATACTATAAGGAGCATAGTTCAACATAAACTGAAAATAAAGCATTTAACGAGTTAATAATCAAGATTAACCACTCATATATGTACAGTGTGGAAATTATTTATAGTTAATATCAACTATATTTTCCTGGAAAAAAAAACAGTCGGTATTAAACTGTGCATCAAAGCAGTAATACATAAAAAAAATCATTGGACACCAAAAAGTACAGACCACAAAGGAGGAATTTTTGCACTCTATTTGTTTCATCATAGCCATTTTATAGTTATGAGTTAACAATTTAAATAATAGGTATTTTACATATTTCTTTTATTTTGTTCAAATTTTAGATTTTAGTACTCATAATAACTTGTGAAAGTTTAAACATTATGTATCGTTTCTATTAAAATTAAAACATCATTGATCACTACTTGTAAAAATACAATAAACAACTGTATCACATACTTTTTGTTATAACTTGTTGACCACTGAAGTATACTTACTAATAAGTGTAATCCCCGCATATTTTTATTACTGTTCACTTAAATTCTGCAACCTCAAACTTTTTAAGTATGGAAATCAAAGTATTTAGCCTACTTTACTAAAATTCAAAATAAGAACGACCATTAACTTGTTTGTAGCATTACCTTTAATGGGTTGCTGCATCTCATATCAGTATTTATTAATTAATATATACAAGAAAACATAACTAACAAATTGATTAGATGACAGTATAAAAACATAAAAACAACTTAATTAAAGATAGTACATAAAATCTATAACATTTTCAATGACTTTGATATAACAATACCTAATTTTGGAAAAGGTAAATGTGACAAATTAATCACATGTTGGTATAATTTAGTTGAACATATGTCGAGCTAAACTAAATGGTGCTACATGAAATTGATGTATAATGTCACTCATTTTTACTAGAAAGATATTGTCACTACAAATGAATGACACGTGCCAGTCAATTTATTCATTTATTAGATATTTTTTATAATTATCTGAATTAATTTAAGTAATATTTAAATTGTGTTAGTATTATCATAAGATACAGGTGTAATACAATGGCATTTCAAAAATTAAGGAGCATATTCTATACGCATGTTTTTAACTTTCTTTTGAGTAGAAAAAATTAGAATGTTACAATATTTTAAAAAATTATAGCACACCACTGGCAAATTTTTCTATCATTTTTTAAATTAAAATTTGTATTATTGGAAACACAGGAAAGCCATTTTGAAAATTTTTTATAAAAAGTAAAATTTTTACAAAATTTTTCATAATTGCAATTTAAAAATAACAGAACATTTCAATGTCATCACAATTTTGTTGTGTTAAATGTTAAATTTTATGCGCACTGCACAGGAAAATTCAATTTCAATATCTCCATTTATTAGAGAAGAAATTTAAGATATGTGTTTTTAAACTTTAACACTATATCTTCAGAGTTGAAAGGTATATATGAAAATGTTTGGACAAAAAAATGCTCCTTTATTTTAAACATTTTATATTATTACACACTGTATAAAGTGCTTTCTATAGGTTACATCGACCCAGTAACATTCTAGCAGCACAGCAAATTGATCAGTTAACAAAATTGTGTTTTTTATTTTGTGCACATCAAAAACTAAATAAATTTAAAAAAACAATAAAAATAACAACAAATTTAACGAACTCTTCAAATATGTGTTGTCTGTGTATAACTTTCCATAGGTATCGATTTGTCCTTTGTACTTTCTGCAATTTTTTTGTTCTTTCGTTTCTGACCAATCCACATCCACCTAGGTATAAACACAATTCCAAATAAGTTTTGAAACCATAAGATTAATGATAAATAATTATTTTCAAGAAATACACTTACATCACCAAGATACAGCATATTACATAGAGTATAATTCCAAACACAAAAAAAGCTGGTGGGTAGACATTAAATGTTTTATTGTATATGACTTGGTTATAAACAGGTGTAGCGATTGCGGGAGCTACAGCTTCAAAAATGCTTAATAACGACTGAGCTTTTCCCAAGTCATTTATAGAAACAACTTTCGTACCCAGAGACCGTATTGCCACTCCTGAGACTCCTGTTATTAAACTTACAATGACGGCTACAAAAAAAAAAAGGTTTCATTCAATATAGAAAGAAAAGTATTGTCTATACTGATGACAGAAAAAATGTGATAGTAGGTTGGAGAGTTGAACTTAAGAGATTAGAGATAAATATTTTTCAATACTTTTTTATATAATTTTACCAACAGTCCATAAACATGTTGAGAACTAAAAAAAGAACAATATCTACTAGGAAGACCATGGAATAAGTAATAATATCAATTAATTTGATAATGTATCTTCAATAACAATAATTAATGTTGAATAAATTTCCTAGATGAAGGAATTAGAATAAACTTGAATCCATGAATATAATAAACAAAAAGCAGATGTCATGTAACATTTGTATGGACTTTGATAGACTGTCATATTATATTAGAACTGCAGTTTCTCAAAACAATTTAATGCAATATAATTTTTAGTTCAAATAATGAACAAATTAATTTTTTTTTGTGAAATATGAGGTAGGTATACAAGAACTTATTTTATGATAAAATAATTATTAATATTATAAGGTGCAAAAATGTGTCAAAAATTAAGGAAACACAGTATTTGTCCCAAGATAAGAATATTTTTTTTTGTGATACAGGGTATTGCAGTTTTCAAAAAAACAATGTTCTGCCTCTAAATATCTTCTGGAAAATATTGAAACAAAATGGTATGAAAGAATTAAATTTCAACTCAAACAAGTGGTATACTGCTTATATTCTCCCTCAAAATTATGCCATTGGTGCAGAAAAAAATTCTCATTTTTTGATATGCAATTCTTACTTTGAACAAAAATCATCTCGACTTTTTTATTGTTCGTTTTATTAGATCTTCCAATAATGTTATCGTATAAAAATAAATGAGGGGATCTGTCAAATAGTATTAAACCACTTTTAACATAAGACTTAATGGAAAATTCTACTCAGTGTTATGTATCTTCATTGTTCAAGAGATTTGGATACCTATATCATTTTTTTAAATGTAATGCCCTGCACTTCAGAAACGAAAGTTTAAAGGGAAAATGTTTACATAAAAAATATTCTTAAACTTAGACAAGCAAAAACACTTTCATTTTTGATATATTGTCGTGTTGAACCTTGTATAAAGTAGCCATAATAATATACAAAATTAAAAATGAATATAGTAAATCTATACTGATATATTAGAGCAGTTTTGGTTATTGCATTTAAAAAATGTAAGCTTCTTTCTTACCTACATACATTAAGGTGCCTGTATTAGCCATTGCAAATATAAAATTGCATAAAATCTTATCTGCGAATGTGATCACAATGATAATTGGATCGCTTAGATTCATTATTTTTGTAAATAGAGGAATAGCAACCACCGTACCTAAAAAGATATACATATATCACTCTTCTATATATACCTACGAGTACCTACTTTAAGAAAGTACAATGAATATAGATAAAACTGATCTAATTTCAAGTTAATGAACATTATCCTCTAATTTTCTGTTCAAATATAATGTGAAAAGAGCCATCAGTTTGAGTGCTGATATAGAGTTAGAATCGCTTATTTGAGAAACAATCTAAGTCACATTTTGCAAGTTTTCAGTTTCCTGGCAGATGTATTTTTATAGTATGAAATAAAACAACTAACAATTCTACCTCGCTAAGCAAGAAAATAATAAATGACATTTTATTCAATTCGAGATAACATGTTTACTTTATTAATTATTTATTTGTAAATACACGATTCAACAAGTTTACAAAACAGGAATGGAAATAATATAACATACTACAGTGTAAACTCTATAACGTCGTTCTTTATAACGAAAAACTTCCTATAACATAGAAATTAGATCAATTTGGTTGGTTTATGTCAAAACCCATACATTAATACACTCTTTATAGCGCAACAGCCATTCTCTATTGCGAAGAAATATGTTCATATTTAGACACCAGCAAATATTTATAGAACTATTTAATAGTGTAATTGCTTTTATAATCAGCTTACAAAAGGTTCCGACTCATGAATATTTCCACGGAAATACTGGTAGGATAAATTTGGCTAGTATAGATGAACAATCAAGACTATATTATAAATGTTATGGACCAGGTGATTAATGCGGGCATTATTAATAATGTGCGGGCATTATAAATAATGTCTAGCTCTATCGGGCTAAGCGATTAATTACTATCTAAACTTCATTATTTATCACATTGCACGGTCATTATTATATTGCTACGTAACAATTGGGCAATTTGATAATAAAGTTAAATTTGTCACGGTGCGGGGAGGGAAGCACCGAATTATGCCAAATAATGAGTCTGATTGCTTAAACTTTAGTTTATTTTATGTTTTATAATAATATGTCAAAACTTCTGTAAAACAAAGATAATGTTGTGAAATGTTTGTTTTAAATTTTATATGTTTTGTGTTACCTATATTTTTAATATGACTTTCCTTAAGTTTTAAATGCAGAAACTAGTGGATTCTTAATGTAGAAGTCCTTGCTAATTAATCCAAATAATGAGTCAGATTATTTAAATTGTTTAGTTTATTTATTTATAAACATTTAGTTTATTTTAAGTTAAATGACAACAATAATAAAAAAATAGTAATTAAATATGTTTGTATTACTCTGCCCAAAAGGTGATGGACAATATGTATAATGCCCGGTCAATTTGATAATTTGAATAATTATTGTCAAATTGCACACTCATATTGGGCATTTTACATAATGACCGGGCATTATGTATAATGCTCGATTTATCACTTGGTCCATAACATAAACATCTGGTAAAAATATTTATATTTGGTGAGTTGGAAATAAAAAATGAGTCTACACCCCACAAGTGGATAAGTACCACAAGTTTAAAAATGTAGTAGTTTCAAAAATATGCATTGAACATTTTCTAGGATATTTATATGAATGTATTAAACTAATTCAAATAAATTCACCAAATTTTTCTTATAAAAATCTTATCAAATGAGGTCAATCAACATTATTCGGTACCAGAAATTTATGTACATGCAATAGATATTTAGCATGTTTCGATTTTTATCAATACCATACACGTTTTTTTGAAAAATTTACAATTTTCTGGATATGAGTTTATTTTATTAGAACATTTACATACAAATTCCTTCAAAATTGAAAGCGACAATGAAAAAATAATGAACTAAAACCTAGTCTTTAAAATAAATTTAACTCGTTTGCACTGTAGATATGATAAGAGAAATTGGACGAAAAATTACTTTGGTCCTTGAAAAAAATGGGAAAAATTTAAATTTTATGTAAAATAATTGATTCTTGCTTAGCAGGATAAAGTTCACTGCAGAAACAATAAAAGTCCTAAACTAGCGTTAGTATTAGCAGCAAACAAAAAATTTGTAATAGTAAGTATGTGATACTAAGGATCTTTTTGAACTAAACTATGCCTTACCCATAGGGGTGTGAATAGCAGCATAAAAAACTCAAATTAACCGATATGTGACTTAAGTTGTTACTGAAATAAGTCTAACAGTTGTTTTTCAATGTTGAACATTAAAAGTAAAAAAAAATGAATTGCTTAAGGCAGGGGTCGGCAAGTGATTTTAGATGGGGTCTGGATACTTTTAAAAATTTTTAATGAGGTCCAGAAAAAAAATTCATATTTCTTACAAATTTTCATATGAACTCAAATTTAATCTGCTTACTAACCATTAAGAAAAAATTATAAGGTTGGCACTCAAACGTAAATAAAACATTTTTTAAATAATTTATTTGAGTAATTTATACTTTAAAAAATTTTTTGGCGGTCCAGTATATTACCTTCCGCTGTCCGGACCTGGACCGCGGTCCGCCAGTTGCCGACCCTTGGCTTAAGGCATGTACTGCACTCGCATTAACAACTTCCATTAACGATAGTATTCGACTCCTAATTGTAATTATATACTTACCAATTAAATGCACTATCGTATTAACAGATACAAGATAACTAAATTCCACCACAGTCCAATGCACTTGCCTTTGTGCGTACAAGAAAAATAGGTTCAATTCACCATTCGCCACCCCGTTGTACACAAAAATTGTCACAAGCACTAAAAGAATGTAGACCCGGTTATTATCAGCAGCCTTCTTGCATATCAAGCTAAATGTATCAACCGCATTCTTTGGATCGAAAATGTCGCACAAAAGATTAGCTGTTGACTCTTTCACTGGTTGTTTCGGTTCCTTGATACAATAAATTCCGTACGTGAGTGCAAACAAATAAAATGCAGCTGCTATCAGGAGTATCCCGTAATATCCAATTTTGTTAAACAGTACTCCACTAATAAGTTGTATGATCGGAGAGAAAATGTTGAGGGTTATTTGTACAACACCCATTCTAAGTGTACGCATCTCAACCGTGCTGACGTCTGCAATGTAAGCAAAAGCCGCCATTGTAATCATTGCCGGTCCTCCTAAGATTGATGGAATTATAGTTTGCGAAACTCCTTGGGCTTCTAGCGGCCATGTATCCATGAATATAACACACAAAATACATGCTATTACCGCAAAGAACTCCCCAACAATCGGTAATAACAAAAACGGTTTTCTCAATTTGTGACGGTCACTAAAAGACCCTAAAAACAATATTAATATTAAGGGCATAACAGTTTCCACTGGAGTCTTCCAAGTGTACATGTTGCTAATTGTGACCAATACTTGATCGTTGTGATCTGTGAAGTTCTCGTGAGTGCCAGCTAGAATATTGTTGCAAACCGAGTCGTTGAAACCCAAATTTACTCTGCAGGCTTTTTCAAACTCCAAATTTTTCATTGCTGGTACACAGAGGTAAGAAGCCAGTATGTATGCAGTTATAAGAGGTTCCACAGTGATAACTTCCCGGATGTAAGAAACTTTTTCCCTCCAACTCAATTTCAAAAAAGGCTTATCAGCTTCCTTTTTTGTTAAATCCGGGGTAGAATCCGCCACTAAATCTGCAGTTGAAGTCATTTTCAATATTAATTTTGTATCACTGTCACTGAAAACGTGCACACATTTAACTTTTAAATTCTACATCCTGGTCAATGGAATTCTAATGAAGATATTTTTCATAACACACAAAACCTGTTTCTAAGAAGATGGCCTTTACAAAAATAGGTAAGATTCAAGTATGACAATTATGCCATCACCATCAGTGATGATATTTACTGTTAAAAAACAAAAAAAAATTTCCACATTGCACATAGGAATTTGTCTACTATCCACATAAAAAGGCAGTTTTTACCTTCAAATGTAGTTCAGTTATTCTGTTGGTTCCTTGAGTGAGTACGTACTTTTTGAAACAGCCTCGGGCAAGAAGTGATGCCTGACTATTTACTAATGTCGTAAGGTCATGGATAAGAATTAAATGTGTTAGTTTTATAGATAAATTCCTTTATAATTGTTGTACTGCCATATCAATAATAAACACGCATTTATTGTAAAGAAAATATTTTACCTTAACAAAGACACTGTAGTGTCAATTAACTGGAACACAATTAAAAAAATATGTAAAATCTTCCTTAACAATAACATTCTGTTACACCTGTTAGCACAAAGTCAAGCAAAATCAAGTATTTACTTCTGTAGTAAATATATCTGATCAGAACGAGTGCATATAAAAAAATATAGAAATCAAGTACATTTCATTCAGTTTACCTTGAAATGAAAACAACAATTTAATTGTTAGATTATTTGAGAAAAGATTGCCAGAGGCAAAGTTATTCTCTAGGAATTTAAATATACATCAACAATCTTGATTGGACTTCCCAAATGTTTGGCACAAGTAGATTGTATTGTAAAAAATATATCAAGGACATTCAGTTGCCTTCAGGTCCTTTCATTCATTAAAACTAGTACCGTTCATAAACAAGTTTCTAGCATCTAGCTAACACCATGCAACATGTTTAACAATTAAATACACATACGAATATATCGAAGAATTATGTTTAGTAAATATTTTGCAATGCATGGTTATAATAGGAAATCGTCACACTTATAAAGTAATTTACCTTGCTCTTTTCTTCCTGGTACTGTAATGGACTGCTTGTACGTATCTACTTTGAAAACCTATTCTGTAATAATGTTTCACGTGAAGAATTTACTGTTTATCAATAAAAAAATCTTTCTTCATGATATATGCCTTTAAATACAATGGGTTTGTTTCAACTCGTAATTTTATTGTTTTCAAATCAGTTGAGCATATAATGCAGATATTGATTCTGCGGTTTCTGATGAAAAAAGATGAGCAGGTACTTAATGATATTTATAAAAATAATTGCTCCCATAAAAAATTATACAGTATGTCCAAAATGGTGTTACATTTTTATATAAAAAATTATGTAAGCAAAAAAATTTGCAATTAAACATAGTTGTTTTATAGTTTTACATATCTTATATCCAGATTCATTATTAAAATTATTAACATTATATACAAGGTGTTCCACTTAAGACTTTTCAGTTTCTGTCCAATTTAATTCAAATATTTTTCAAAACACAGCATTTATTGAATTTAATTTATAAGCTAAATTTACCAATCACAAATACTAAAAATAGACAGAAAAAACCTCAGTATTACTCATTTTTTTAATGGGAAAATCTGATTAACAAAAGTTTTTTGGAATCACAAGAATGGTAGAAATTTGAGTGCAATTAATTTCGCCTTTTCTTTAAATTGTGTGAATTTAAAAATGATTATATTCAATAGTTTTTGCGAAAAAAAACAGTCAATAGCAAGTGTCTGAACTGCATAAACTATTTTATTTTTGTTATCAAATAGATCATATTTTTGATAATATAGCCTCACAAAAAAAAATGGGAGGCGCAATAGACAAGATCATGGTACCTATGTTTTTGGGGTCGTTGAATCCGAATACGGTGTCCATTTGACCCGATTAGGTCAGTTTAAGGTCACCTGACCTGAATTTGACCTTAAACTAAGCTTAACCCAGACCTGATTTGATAAAACAAACAACGGATTCAGATTCAGCGGCACAAAAACATATAGATATGTAGGTTTACTTTGTTGGTAATTGATTCTCTACATTTGACCTTGAACTGACCTTAGCCTAAACTTGATCGGACCAAACAAACAACGGATCAGTAGCGGCTCGTCAAGTGACACGAAATTTCTGTTTGGTTGTGTAATTTAAAATTATTTTTAATTTTATATAAATTTTATAATTTAGGTAAAATTCTATATTGAAAATGTATTGTGTTTGATTGTTTAATACGCAGAAATAAACAGAATAGTTGCGCGATGAACGCCCTTTAAAAAACCATTGCCTTTGTTGAACGAGAACATCAACCTGGGACCATACAAGGTATAGTATACGTAAGTGACGCAGATTGAAATCAGTCTGTATTCTGCTTCTCTTCGTACCATTGTTTACGGTGGTTGTCATGGCAACGACGCGGCCAGCACGGGATTAAACTACGCGTGGGGGAACGAGTGAGGCAGAAATTGAAGCAGCACTGCCCATCACCTGCCTTTAACATTTTATACGATACGCGTCGCCCAGTGCACGATTGTAACGATTCTTAGTTAATGTTTGTTTTGTATAATAATTGTAGAAATGTTTCCTATGTATGATCTAGTATGTATTTTATTGGAAACGCCATTTTCCAGATGGAAAATTGAGGACAAAAAGGATTTTTTAAATTGCGAGACCTGTGCCTTATTCTCTCGATATGGAAAAAAGGGGAAGTCAAAAGACGTGCACCTTTGAAAGTTTCGGAATGAATGGTTTGGAGTATAAGTGGTTGTATGGAAGTGGTTGTCATAACCACAAAACTTCTTTGGAACATACATGTACGGTGTGCATAATGTTCGCAGAAGTCCACAAGCCGAACTAATATTTCTATTTTTTATAAAATCTAATTGAAAATCCTTCTCACGAACGTCAGTTTTTCGGTAATATTGCAAATGCAACTAAAAATTTCCAGATTCATTTAAAACTGTTTGACCTTGAAAATTTGAAAATTTTAGCCAGTGCCGCTTTTTTATTCTTTTTAGTCAATCAATGAATATGTTTCACCTATTTCTCAATATCACGAGCCGCCACTGTTAATGGATTCAGATTCAGCAATCCAAAAACATATGGATATGTAGATTTACTTTATTGGTAACTGATTCTCCACATTTGACATTGAACTGACAGTCCAGAGCTAATTAGGTCAAATAGACATCGGATTCGAATTCAGCAACCTCAAAGACATATAGATACGATGGTTTTCACTTTCGAACATCCCACTTTTTTTTTGTGAGGCTGTGTAATGAAATCCGCTTTGTATTGAAAACGACTAATAAAATAATTAATTATGCAAAAACTGTTAGGAATACAAAAATATTACAATAGAGAAAAAATCTAAACAAAATTTTTACATGTAAGCTAAATTATAAGCAAAAAAGAAAATGACCAAATTTGGTTAGTGCTAGGGTAATTTTTCCTAATTCTGTAAATGAGGTTACTTTGGTTACTATGTTAATCTATGTTCATCTCTTGAAAGTGTTAAATTAAATCGGAGAAAAAAAATTAAAAAATTATAAAGATGTTAGTCTTAAATTGAACACTAATCAAATATATCAAACAACAACTATTATTTTTGAGTGAGATATATTCGTTATAGACCACTAAAATAAAAATAGAAGGAACAAGTACAATTGAAAGTAATATTTTAATTTTTTGTTACTTCTGGCTCCAATTTTATTATAAACACACGATTTCTTCATTAAAAATCTTGTTTCCAATCTTATTAAAATAAAAAAAAATTATATACATGATTTTGAATGAGAGCTGCTTTAGTAGTCATTATGAAAAACGATAAGATATTTTATTTCGCACTTCACCTATCGTAATTTACGGGTAAAATTCCAAGTAATAAAAACAAATTAAAAGGTCTATAAATAAAAATGTTTACTGGATATATAAATGATTTAATAGTGTTCAGTAATAACATAATAATAACAATGTGATGCATTATAACATAAAAGTTGAATATAAATTTCAGACGGAATAATGTAACAGTGTTTGCACAAAATTAGAAAAATATTTATTATATATAGTTAGTTATATATAGGCCAAGTATCACAGATGCTAAATGTAATATTTTTGCTTCGTTACAATATTCGATTTTTTTTTCTTTTATTTAAAATCACTTCTACTCCACCACTACACAGTTGTAGGCATAAAATCAAAAAAATAGATTTTAAAAAAGCAATATGTAAATATTAAGAAACGAAAAAATCAACAAAGGAATTTTTCTTTACAAACCGTTTGAAAATATCACCCTTTGTAAGAAATTGCTCTAGAAACATGGGACCTTAAGATAACAAAATCCAATATATATAAAATAGTTTAATAAATACAAATATATAACTTGATACAATAATATATACATCTCTGTTAACGTAAAATGATCGGACAATTAAATATTGATCACCCCCACAGTAGTTATCCTTTCCCTAATATTTCAGTATTAAAAAGTGTGTTCTTAACACCTACATATCTTTTATATCTAAAAATTATCTACAGAAGTTCATAATAACTACAGAGTGAGCTCATATTAAAAATAGGTATTATTTCAATACTTAATTTTATTTACCTTCTGGCATACTTTATGATAAATGGAAGTGCTGTGTCTGAGTGCGACAATCATTCTGGCTTTTCATTGTCACCATAAAACTTTGGCTAAAACAAAAAATACACATGATTTATTTTTTAAAGAGTTTTGCAGAAGAAGTGCCAAAACTTCCTCAAACAATTTCAAGTTCAACGACAATTTTTATACCTACAAGGCGTTCCAATTTATAGGTGCATAAGACATAATATAATATGCAAAAAAATTAAACTTAAATATTTTGTTAAATAGACCCTAAGGTATACAGGCTGTTACAAAATCGCTTGTCACTACAGGGATCTCGGAAACAGTAAGACGTACGAAGTAGCTTAAATGGGGGTAAAGTTGCAGTAATCAGGGGACCAACATTATGCCTCTAAAAAATCAGGGCTAACTTGATTAATTTTCCAAATATTTGAAAAAAAAACGAAATTTTGGAAATCCGTTGTTGTTTCATTTCAGCCTAGTTTGAAGTGATATTGAAAAAAGAAGAACACTTTCTCATGGCCACTTTTTGCCCTCTATCGAATGGCATAATCAATTTTTATATGTAACGTTTCGTCTCTTCAGGACCATCATCAACTTGATTTTTTTTAAATACGACCCTAGACATTTTATTACATTTTTTGCAAACCTTCATGACCCCCAATACTGTACTGCCTCAGCCCGAACCAGATTCAAACGTTTTGTCTCAAAAAATTTATCTTTAGTGCATTCATTCCAAATTTATCTAAATTTTTTATTTAGATTTCTTTGTTTATTGTATTATCATACATTGTAAGTGTCGTTAGACCCTGTGAAATACATCTAGTTATTTAAACTGTTACCACCATGTGTTACAATAAAACATTTATTATTATTAACTATTACCATCACTTGGTCATACATAACTCAATAAGTTGTGTCAAAATTAAAACATTATTACAATTTTAATTTTATTATGACAAATTAATTCTTAAAAATGCATATAAAGAACCAAAACGCTAACTAAACATTATTCTTTAAAAAATTTCATTAAATGTTCAAAAACATTTTCGTTTTGGCAAAGGTTGAAAATGAAGATCAGCGTAATATTATCTGAATTTATTATATCTGTAACCGCAACTGTGAAAGAGCATGTCAGATGTATTTGTATGAATATCCTGAATAAAATAGATCCAAATTTGTTTGAATTTTGAGCACTCGAGAAGCCTAGAAATAACTATGGACACGGGAATAATTTTTTATTTTAATGCATGGTGGTAATAGTTTAAATATCTAACGACACTTATAGTGTACGATAATCCAATAAACATGATTTTTTAGAGGGATAATGTTGGTCCGCTGATTACGAAACTTTGCCCCCATTTAAGCTAGTTTGTATCTCTTACCGTTTTCGAGATCTCTGTAGTGAGAAGTAAATTTGTAACAGCCTGTATATTTGCAAACTACACTTTCCTCAAAATTACAATTCCTACATCTGTTGTTTTTCTTTTTTGAAGTCTAATAGCATTATAATATTCTACACCTCTCGAATTAGAAATTAATTATTGTTAGAGCAAAATTATATACTGCCCCTTTTTTCAATATTCACTGAGAAATGTTAAATAAACAAAACAAAAAATAGTAAAATTATTGAAATATTGAAGATATTCCAAGAATTACATTTTATATGCTATCCAAACTAAAATTGGTTATAAAAACTGGTGCAGGAGCACTTTTAAAGGTGTAGATTAACACGGTCTCATATTTTGGTAAAAAAATTACTAATAGTTTTTCAAATATTGGCAAAAAAATGTAGCAGGTGTAGGATTTTCAAATTTAAGGAAGTTATAGCTTTTAAATGTACAGGGTCGGTAAGTCCCCATGGTTCATCGGCCGTTACGTGAGAGCGATAAAGAAAGTCATAGAAATCCGTGCGATAGAAAAAGATGGCTATAATGAAAGCGTCTAATAGTCACCGCCCATTTGGGTGGATCTTATTTGTGGAAGGGCGAAATGGGCGGTGACTATTAGACTCCTTCATTATAGCCATCTTTCTCTGTCGCACGGATTTCTATGACTTACTTTATGGCTCTCACGTAACGGCCGATGAACCAGGGGGACTTTCTGACCCTGTATGTGCATATTTTTAGGATCTATTTAAAAATATATACAGGGTGTAGGGTCATATTTATACAGAGGCTTACTTTGACCTTTAGAAACACGTATCAATAGTTTATTTTTTCAAATTCGTCAACAAATTTTCTTTAACCCCCTTTTAGTATTTTTTGTACCACGCCACTGGACAAGCTACTGTGACTCAAAATAACAGCGCGCTTTAGTTGCAGCGCATGCACACGAGTTATAGTGTTTACGAAACTAAAAGTCGGCATCTCTTTATTGCGCCGGGCACAATAAAGAGATGCCGACTTTTAGTTTTTATACGGTTTCAACTATCTTCGTAAACACTATACTCTTATTGAATGGGTGTTCGGTACACATACAATACTTAAACAAGCAAAAAACTCAAGCAGTAATTAAATGATAAATGAAATACACAAAAATAAATAATCTGTTGATGGCTTCCAGCGATGAAAAACATTCAAATTCACAGTTAGATGTACTGACCCCCTTTTGCTTCGTCACTGCACTATCTCCGTTTACATGCACCGTAGGTTGCCTACAATTCATGTATTTGTAATACATATACCCCACTTAAAGTTACACCCTGTATATATTTAAGGTTCACTTGGTTTCATTTAAATTAAGACTTGTATGAACTGGAACATCCTGTATGTATATATTAATGAAACAAAAAATAAACAGTTACATAATTTAATAATTCCTTTCTATTTTAGAAGGGGGCATACTTAATTTATGTGCATAGTTTATAACATAAATAATGCTAATTTTTATGGTGAGAAACATCAATTTTGATCATGTAATTTTTATTCTTTAATAATAGAAAATCTAAATGATTTTAGCTCATGACATGAATGAGGTTATTTTATCTTCTCATATGGACTCACAAAAAAATTCAAACAACATTAGTGGTTTACGAAAATTGACTCCGGTTGCTCAAATTATTATCTATGTCCTTATTATTCTTACGGTTTTAGAGAGAGAGAGAATGCTACGTCAAGATCCCTATGAGGCAATTTTCGTAAACCCCTATTGTGTTAATAAAAGCCATAGAAAAAAAAACATACATATTTAAACAGGTTACTTATATGTTCCTGTCTTGCATATTGTACGCATTTCACTGCTGTCGTATTTAAAAGCAAAAAACACAAAACAAACACAAAATTATGAAAAACGAGTTTGCCAACAGACATTTTACATTAAGGTCATTTAGTATTACATATTCAGGTAGGTATTATGTAAATTTATTTATAGGAAACATCACAATTCTTTGAATAATCATCCAAGTTTTGTCTAAATAACTAGAAAATGCAGTTATGGAAATTAGGATATATATTTAGAAGATTTACATTAATTCATCAATTATTCTTTTATAATATATACATATTTTTTTTTAGTAGAAAACATCAGATTATTTAAAATTTCCTCATTTTTTAAATAAAATAAATACAGGGAAATGAAGATTAACTTAGAATACGGGAGTATATGACCGTATGTACTTGTGAACTTAAAGAGGGTTTTTCATATGAACGTTTTTCAAATATATGCTCCTTTTTCAAAGTAAAAATATACATTTTCAGATTCATCCTTCCAAATTTCTTTTCTAATCAAAAAATTATTTTTATTCAAATTTATCAAGAACTAGTTCAGGAAAGTTCCCTATGAAAAATTACCAAAATATGAAAAGATCAAGACTTTTATAAACATCCAAATCTTATGTTTTTGGACCCATTAAAAACATAAAAAACTTGTTATGTCCAAAATTTTTGTAAGTTCTACAATATCTAAAATTATTCACAGAAATTAGATCTGAATCTGATTGTGCTCTACTTCAAAAAGCAATAAATGTGGTAGCTGTTTGGTGCAACCAAAATAAATTACCTCTAAATGCAGAAAAATGTAATGTACTGTCTTTTACACGTAAAATTAACCCCATTAAATATAACTATAACATTGATAGTTCTATGTTGCAAAGGCCTCAGTACATAAAAGATCTTGGTGTTGTTTTCGATGCGAAATTAAATTTTATAAAACACATTGACATGGTTGCATCATCTGCTTATAAATCTTTAGGTATTATTATACGTTCTTCTCGAGGATTCCACAGCATACATACTATGAAATTACTTTATGAATCTTTTGTTAGGTCAAAATTGGAATACGCATCAATTGTCTGGAGTCCTTTTTATAGTGCACACATTGAATCTTTGGAAAAAGTTCAAAGAAATTTTTTTAAATTTGTCGCATTTAAGCTTGACGGAATATATCCTGAAAGAGGATATCCACATAATGCACTACTTGATCGCTTTCATTGTAATGATTTAAAAACACGCAGAACTACACATCAAATTGTCTTTTTACATAAAATATTAAACAACTTAATTGATTGCACCTGGTTACTCAACAAAATTCAGATCAAAGTTCCTAGGCTTGCTTCTCGTGAAAATAATATATTCAAGTTACCCACTGTAAGAACTAACATTATGAAAGCATCTCCTTTATATCAGATGATTGTCAACTATTGCAATGTTGAGGACAGGTTAGATATATTTTCTTGCACTATTAATGAAATTAAAAAGCGGATTCTTTACTGTTAATTTATAGTTTTAATACTTTATTTTTGTTTTTACTATTTTATTGATTCGTGTTTATCTATATGTATAAGTGAATGTGCGTGAATATGTATCGATATTTTTAGGTATTTATTTATGTGTAATGACTTTATATATTCTATATCTACCATAGTTTTGCTATTCTAATGTATATTTTTCTCTGTGTATGTATATTATATTATGTTATTGCCATGTTCATTTATTAGGTATTATTAATTCTATTTATTGACATATATTTTCGAATGCGTTGTGTGTTGTACTACTACATTGACTTTGTATCCTATAACTGGGCATTTGCCTGTTGGATATGTAGTGAAATAAATAAATAAATAAATAAATAAATATGCTCTATGTAAATCTACTTTGTTAAGATTGTATCGACTGTATAAATAATGAACTACGCGACACATGCATCTATAAAATAAAAAAAATTATATAAATTGATAAATATACAAAGGCATTTTATAAAGCAACAAATTTAAAGTGTGGGAAAGTAAAAACAACATTGGCACTTGACGTTTTAACTAGTGCTTTATTAATAACTAAAAAAAATTGGTCATTGTGTGTAATGAGTAATGACTAAGTAAACAAGCATTTTCTATCATTTTGTGTTACTAACTTATCACTTGCAAGAAAAACCCCAAAGCAAATACAAAAGCCAACTTACAAGTTGTCAGCACGTGTAACCAAGACAGTGACTGCGGAACTGTTTTATTAAAAATACCTAGTTAATAAATAATAATTGAGTTTTTTTAAATACCAACAGATACTTTTTTTCTTAAAAAAGTGTATGAGAATGATTTTGATACATTGCTGAACAAGAAATTACTGCAAACTTGTTCATTTCAGTATAGCAGAAAAAATGTAACCAAAATAATTTTGAATTGTGCTTAGCCAAAACTGTATTTTCTATCAATCAATTCTCAGTCAATTAATTAAATAGTAAAATACCCTCACATTACAAATAAAAATAAATGTTCCCTACTGCCACTGCGAAGAAAAATAATAATAATCTAAATCTAATTTTAATCTAAATCAGTTCCACTATTGTTCTTAATGATATGTATTTATAAGACATTTCAGCTTTCAGACATGACGAAATACCACATCCTATTTAAGGTTTAAATTAAAACATTTTATTATACAGGGTATCAGAAGTTTGACTGCCTTAATTTTAACAGACGATAGAATACTTTAAAATAAACAAAAAAACAATGGTTATCACTTTTTTAAATTTCTTTATGCTTAATTCTAAAAAATAATTAGCGTAATAAATTCAAAATTCGATAAAATTCATATCGTGCAATGTGACAACGGCACGGCGGATAATACGAGGTACTAAGCTGCCCAGCAATACGTAATTCAGTCAGTATCTGGAATTGGACCGTGTCTGAGTGTTTTTTGCGTACCTCTATTTTCTTTTCTAGAGGCGTTTTCCAGCGAGTGTGCGAAAATTGGATTCGAAGCTGTTGTACGTGCATCGAAAATGGTGGTGGACATTTTAAGCATATGTTGTAGTTTGTTTTGTACTTGCATGTTTAAAAATTACTGAATTTTGCTTTTGGTAAGTACCTAAATTATTTTTAATATGTATGATTATTTGGATGACGTGAATCTTTGGGTACTTTAATTACATATTTTTCAAATTCATAATTTGATTAAATGTTAAGTTCCTGTTTTAAGAGATTCGTAATTACTAAAATTCTAGCGAAAATTTAAGCAGAACACTATTTTTGTACTACAAAATCGATACATTTTACTTTATTTATTTAAAAACCGAAAAACAATTGTCTTGAAATTTACTAAATGTTTCACAATAATAGATAGATGTTTACATTTTTTCCGTAGAACAAGTCTGCCGCGTGCACACTTGGTATGCATCAGCTGTGTAGCGTTAGGTTAAGCGCTGTTGCCATGTTGAATTGAAACTCACCAATATTAATACTCGCTGTATATTGAAAACTGTTATTCTTACGTTCCTGTAATATACAACTTTTTTATTCATTTATGATTATCTCATGTTGAAGTAATGGCAGTCAATCTTCTTACACCCTGTATATATAGGGTGTCCCAAAATCCACACAAGACACACCAGTGCAGTAAAGTGGGGCCAACGAAAAAAAAATAATGTGACAGCTGACAGGATTCAGGATTATTAAAAATAGACCGCTACAAGAAATAATGAAGGTTTTTCAGCTACAATTTGCAATTTTCTAACAAAATATGGTCGGAATAGTGATTTAACTTCAGTAACTGTGAATAGGAAAATTCAGGGAGACTGGATCAATTAGTGATCTTAAACAATGGTTGTCCTTCAAGTCATTCAAAACAAAATATTGAAGCACTCATCTTCAGCGAATGAGGCTCATTTTCATCTTGATGGTTTCGTTAACTGACAAAATTGTAGCAAAATCCACGAGTGAGTGTTGAGAAGCAAATGCTACCACGTGTCACTTGTTTGGTGCGGATTTTGGGCTGGAGGCATCATCGGAGCATTCTTCTTCAAAAATGTGACTGGTCAGGAAGTTAATATAGTGCTCACTATTAATAATCCAGTTTTCTGTGCCTAAATTGCAAGATATGGATGTAAACATTTCCTAGTTGTGTAATTTTCTGTTTTGGTGATCAGAATTGACCGCCCAGATCAAACGTTAGACGTTTTTCTTTGGGGTTTTTTGAAGCCTAAGATTTATGCCAATAAGCCCACGACCACCCACAGCTTGAAGGATGAAATTGAGCATTGTAGCAACTAATTTCAGTCGCATTTTTGCAAAATGGTAAAATTTTGACAAAACAGTGCGTATGTCCACTAAAACCCTGGAGGCCATTTACCCAATATGCTATTCCATACATAACCCTATACTGTATACTTTATGTATCAATAAAAAATTTACAATTTAAATTAAAAATTTGTGTTTTCTTTTTGCGTGAATTTTGGAACACCCTTTAGAATTATTTAACATGTAATTATGAACTGAAATAAGTAAAAAAAATATGCATGAGTGTATTTAAATTTCAGATATAAGCATGTGAAAAATATTTCAGAAACACTAATAGACTTTTTTCTAATGGATAAATTGGCAAAACCGTGTAATCACAAAGTAAATCAATGGAAGTTTCGTACCTGAGAAGCTCCTATTGAAGTTTTAAATATCTTGAACGGATTTTTTTTTAATATTTATTTTTTAAATTCAGTTACTTCAAAACACGATTCTGCCATAGCAGAAATATTTAAGACACTTACCAAATCGTGAGCCTCAGGCTGCCCTTTGTTAGTCTCTTCATCATCATCCGAGTCTTCTTCCCCAGAGGAGTCGGCATTTACACCTACAATTAATTAACAAGTTAAAGAAAATAACTTCATAGAATATTTATAGGAATCAGTAAATTTAATGCATTTTTATCAATTTCTTTTTGCAGAAATGTAAAAGCAACTCTTAGATATATCCTTTATTATTTTTTAAAGGAGAAATTATATTTCAAGATATAAGGAGCAGGGCAGGGAAAAGTTACCTTTCTGACCGGGTTCGACGGAATTGTGGTTCCTGGTTGATGCCGAGGTTAGGACCTCGTAACAATGCAGACATACTCTCAGAGGCTTCGAACTCTGGTTTGGAAGGAGGAAACGTTTGTTTGAGCAAGGGCCACATACCACAGCCCCACACTTGCGACAATGATGCTAAAAAATAAAGTAACTAGTAACAAATAGAAATATGTAGGTACAGATTATTTTGTTATTAATTAGCCAAATGTCACCATTATAATTATTATACAGGGTGATTCACAAACGGTGACAAAAAATGGACCCTTGTATTATTTGGTGAATTTTAAGGGGTTTTGCATATACAATTTTTGTCTTGGAAGCTTTGTTAAAAAGATACAGGGTGTTAAACTAAAAAAAATATTTTTTAATTTTTTTAAATAATTTAAAAACTAGTAGTAGTAGTAAGTGAAATAATTTGAAATTGGGCACAAGTATTTATGTAAACCTTGTCCAAAATCTGAGGCCATTTCTTAGAATTTAGATGCTCTAGTGGTGGAGTAGTAATTTGTAGAAAATTGAAAGACGAATCCGAAAATATGATTGTTAACCCTTTCAGTGCTCCAGACGTATTTATTCGCTAAAAATTTATAGTGTTCAAAATGCTCTAAATGGATTAATTCGCTTAAATAGTTAAATTGGATCAGGCTGCTCAAATAGTATATATTCGCAACCATGCGCATAGCGATTCGGTTGTTGCAATTGGTATGGAGAATTTTTGCGGGCGGAGCTTATAGCGATTGTGACAAATATTTTTATGGAAGGAGGTAATACTGGTAATAATGCCAAGATTGTTCACCTCTCATTCAGTTTCTATTTAGTACAGCTGTCGATATATTAGTACAGCTGTCGATATACTGTATTTTATTCAAAATAAAATGGTAAAATTGATCGTAAATCGTAATTTAACACAACATAATGTAAAACTATAAGTGGTCTAACTGCTTCAGATGTATATGTTCGCACGCGATAAACTTTCGCACACGGCGCAGTAGCTGTGTTCAGACGTATTGCGCAGAAAATGGGTTAAAGTAAATCAGTGGTTTATTATTTTATTTAAAAAAATATGCCACCCATACCCTGTATCTACGCCAGTGAAGCGTCTAAATTTTAGGAAAAGGCCTCAGATTTTGGACAATGTTTACATAAATACATGTGCCCAATTTAAAATTATTTCACTTATTAATTTTTAAATAATTTAATAAAATTAAAATCATTTTTTTAAGTTTAACACCCTATATTTTTTTAATGAAGCATCCTAAATAAAAAATTTATATGAAGGCTCCCCTTAAAATTCACCAAACAATACTCAAGGTTTTTTATTAAAAATAAATATTGTGCTGGTGTAAAGTAGGAATAATAATTTTTAAAATTATCGAGGATTTTTTAGTATTAAAGGTATACTTTGTAGATGGCACTAAAATGCATAGTTTCAGAGAAATCAAATTAATTAATTAATCAATCAATATAGCGCAAATTTAACATAGATATATGTTTAAATAGATTAAAATGCACCAAAATACTCAGCTCTTCGTAACTAATAATTGCAGTAGAACATTGAAATCCACAGAAACATTGGATGTGACTAGTTGTAGAGCAAGGGTCGGCAACTGGCGGACCGCGGTCCAGGTCCGGACCGCGGAAGGTAAAATACTGAACCGCCAAAAATTTTTTGAAAGTATAAATTACTCAAATAAATTATTAAAAAAATGTTTTTTACGTTTAAGTGCCAATCTTATCATTTTTTCTAGTATTTTAGAATTGTGTAAGTGTTTTGAGTTCTTAATTAGTAAGCAGATTAAATTTGAGTCCAAATCAAAATAAAAAAAATAAGAAGTATGAATTTTTTTCTGGACCTCGATAAAAACTTTCAAAAGTATCCAGACCGCACCTAAAATTACTTGCCGACCCCTGCTGTAGAGTCTCAGACGATCACAATTGTCTGAGGAGTGGTTCCATCTATAGTGGATTTTAAAACAACAAGAACAAAAATAACCATCAGAGTAGGCCTAGGTGTTCTGTTCCGCCCCCACAGAGCCTCGCCTAAGAATGACAAGGGTAGGTCAATGATTCGTGGCTAAGGCTAAAGAAGTGAAAGCTAATTTTGTAATTGGCAGCATAACAACCTGAAAAACTATCGTACTTTAAATATCAGCATGGGCCACAAAAAAGTCTTAAAACCACAAAATTGAAATCCATTACTCTTTGGAATGATACATTTTAATGGTATCCAACAAGTATACTTTTTATACTACTAGTAACGACAAATATAGATTAAATTTTATTAGATGTAGTGGAAACACAGTGTCACTTTACATGTTCCCAGAATATTGACCTGAAGTTATTTTAAAATCACAATATTTTTATGTCATTGAAGATGAAGCCCCAAATATTAAAAAAAAATAGGGGTAACGGAGGCTAGCCTCCGCTGTTCTGGTTACATGCTACTGCCGATTGTCTTTGCACGTGCTATGATATGACAAAATGGTAAACACGTTAGAAATAAACTGCCACATTAATTCGGTAAAACGGGAATGGGCAAATATATTTAGTTTTTGTCTTTATCGCTTTACGAGAGGGTGTTCATATAGTGCCTTTGTGTGATGTAAGTGTATAACCTTATAAAGTTATTTATTTCAGTGTTTAGTGACGGTACAGGGTATTATTTTTTTCAAGTTTTTGAGTTATATGAAATAACATGTATACGAATCAAGAAAGAGTGGTCTGAGAAAACAATTCTGCTGCAAGAAGTCGATATAACAACCGTCAGGTATTGGAATAAGAAAATATTTGGACAGGAACAAACTCACTGAATGGAATGAATAGTCTTTCCGATATCAATTGAAGAACCAAGAGGTTGACAGTATGTACCAGGTTCGGACGATGACGCAGCAACTCGGCATTGAAATATTTGAAAAACTTGTCCCCATATTTATTTAGCCATACCCATATACAGGTCTGGTTGAACTAAACGTGGAGGTGGTAGAAATGTATACGCCCAATTGAAGAATGCAAGCGTGGGCAAATGAAATATAAACACAGCTGCATTGGGCCACTGGGAAATAAATCCCAGCTGTTGACAAGTGGTTGACAAATTGCCCATCATTGCAGTGCAGCAATGCGGAATTTGGTGTGATTCAGGTAATTTTAATTTATTATAGGCGCCTCCTATTAATCATTGATATTATTACAACATGGCATTTTGGAGACCTTTTGAAACGGAACAAAATGAAATTTACCATCAGTATAATAAAATTGTTTGAGTACATAAATAATTAAAATATGTTGTTGGCCAAATGAACATATAATAGAAATTTTCTACACATTATATACAAATTATTATAATTTTATACCTTTAGCAGAAAACTTTTTTAGGGACGCCTGTCATTAAATTTTATTGCCAGGTGTTTTTTTACATGTTCAACTGACTTCAGAAAGACTATACTGGTACTCGAAGATTAGCCACAAAATTTCAAGTGTCATGTTATAAAAATTAGGTGAGTAAACATTTGTTTACTTTTGCGTATTTTATTTATCATTATTGATTAGTGCTTGAGTTTTTTGATAGGTTATTTGTTAAGTACTGATTCGTAGCTAATATTATTTAAAAGAACAAAATTTCCCTTTTTGTGAGATGATAGGGCATGTGGCCAACACCCACTCCACAAAAGTTACGCGCCAAAAAGCAGTACCTCATGGCGGGTGGTATGGAAATTTGCATTTTAATAACTTTTCCTTTAAATATGTGATTTGACAACAATGCATAGCCCAGTTTCCAACTGTGCATGCGCTGCGACTAAAGCGCCCTTTTGTACGAGATGACACTAGCATGTCAAGAGGCACGGTATGAATATTACTAAAAAAAAAAATTATTTGAATAATTTGAAAAAAATAAACTATTGATGCGTGTTCTTAGAGACGAAAGATCTGTATAAATATGACTCCCACTCAAAGCTACACCCTGTACGTAATGAGTATAAAAATGAAAAGTAAACAATTTTTCTTTTGATATTTTTTTAAATTCTGGGCCATGCCATTTCCTGCATTAAAAAAGTATTATTTGACAATACTATTTAAAAATATTAATGATATATGATGCTTATGGGTGACCCTGTATATCCCTCTATATCATTGTCAATAAAACTCCTCAAATAATATTGTGGGGTATAAATATGTATGACCCAATTAAAATTGCTCACATTTGTTTAAATGTTTTTCACAAAGAATTATGAACTAAATTAAGCAAAAATATTACGGCATATAAACATTTCCGTACCAAATATAATTGTAACAAAATTTTATCTAATGTGACGAGCAAAAGATAAATAGACATTTATTATCTTCAAGAATTATGAATTTAAACGGATTATGTGTTATAAAAGTGTCCACGAAATTTTACTGAAAACGACATACTTCTTGCGATGATACAGGTGTTTGTTGATAATACAAAGCATTTACAATTAAGATTCCTTGTGCAAAAATCAGATATTAGTTATTTACTATGACACACTATTTTAATAACAATGATATTAATTTTTCTATAGGCATGTCGGTAGATAAATAATATTACGATTTTAATCTAATCTAACCTACCCTTCTGTTTATTAGAGTAAACTGAGTCTTCTTACAATGCATACAAATTGAAGCTTCGCCATCTGGTACCCAAACAGCTGCATGTTCTGATACCGCTTTTTTCCCACCTAAAAATTAATTCGACCTTCATATGTGCTGACTATAAATAAATTTTCATTTTAAATTTAGAAAATAAAAATGCAATTTTCAAAATGTTTTCTACGGAAAATTCTAAATAGTACAAGTGTTTATTTTTGTTCTAAAACTGCTTCTAGGATGTGAAACTTAGAGGTTCGATTCAGAGCGGCGGTAATGTCGCCTTTGTGGTTACTGATAAATAATGCTGTGGTTGCTACTTTTACCTCAAAATAAATTCACAATTTCAAGGAATAATAATAATAATTAACAAAGTTCTAGATATATTTAAAGAGTAAACCACATTCTAAATAGCAATGGTTACAAAATCCAAAAACAGAAAACCGGCATAAAGATTAATGAATCTGATACTTATACATACTTTTTCTAAGAAGATCATCAATGCATTTATTTATATGAGCCATCCATTCTCCCTTTTCTACCGCTGTGGCTGCATACACAGCAAAAGATTTGGACGCAGTTTTGATTAGCCACCCATTCTTGTACTCTAGAATTAAAAAAATAACAACAAAAGTAATTAATGTCTATCAAAATATGACTCTATTTTACAGAAAAACTTGTTGATACATTTTATCACTAAAATGGTGATACTGAAATTGAAACTTTTCAAAAATGCATACATACATCACATTTTGTGTCAGAAACTTTCGACTCAAAGTTTCACATCACTTTTATATGTCTTTAGTGATAATAATGTCCTCCAAATTACACTTTTTAATGTTATGGATTCAGTGTATGATTCAACCAAATTTTCAGAATACTATCTAATGATACAAGATTATGTTTGAGAAATGTTTTAATACATACACATATAACTCAGTATCACAACCATCTAAAACAGGAAATCATACTGGGGCGCACAGGATGTATGCAAATTATCTACAGTTTTACCATATAAAAAAATTCAGACAAATATTTCTTATGTTTATACATGTTTATAAATAATATAACTTATTAAATAAAATATTAACAAATAGATATAAGTTAATAACTAAAAAGCATATGATTTTCTCTCACTTGGTAATTTAAAGAAATGGAAAAACATTGAAGAATAAGAATGAATTACTTTTAAAGATAAGAACCATTTAATATTGTGAACAAATGTGTAATATTTGTATTATAATTACGTTGCAAAAAGATTATTCTGACAAAAATATGTAATAAAAAATATAAAATATTTTTGCATCATCAAACAAATTAATTTAAAAAGATATTTGTTCAGTAACATAGACATGAAAACCAAGAATTAATTTCAGTTACTTGAATATCAAATTTGTTAGTTGCATTTTCTTTATTACAGCACGAGGTCTGCACTAATTTTGCAACTCAGCACAATAGAAAAATGACAAAGGTAAAAATTAAAAAGCTTTATGAAGGAAAACAAATATCTAACTGGTGCAGCTGGTGCAATATTCCTACTTACTACAAATTCATACATTACTTAAAATCAGTACTTAGATACCTACTTAAATATTATGATTATTTATGACATATTGATAGAAATGCATTTATGTGTGTAGTAAACTGTAAGTTCATATTACATGCATATCATAAATTCATACTTTCTTAATGAAAGGAATTACTTACGGTTTTCATCATCTAAACTTTCTAATTTGACTTCTTCTAATGGAATGATATGTTGCTTATTGTATTTTTTCTTGTTAATTATGATATTCCCATACACTAAGATATCGTTGAATAAGAAGAACTGCCTTGTTTTAGGTTTTTTCCTACACATTTTGGTTAAGACACCCTCGCCCACCAGCACTCTGCCCGGAACACCCAGCGGCTAAAACGGAACGATTGTAAATAAAATAAGATGCTATTATCAAAGCATAAGAATGTATTTACCTGTCCCGAACTACCAAAACAGCTCTCTACCATAGCTATCCGCCTCGTATTGGCCTCACTGTTGACTGAAATAGACATTTTGAATAATTAAAAATCAAAACCTTGACAAAACTCAAATATAATGTTCTATTATGATTCATTCCAAAATGAGTACAAGACCACTTTTCCTCGCTACAAAGTAAAAATTATAAATGGCTTGAAAGTAAAAAGTAGATCGCGGATTATTAAACAGACCATGAAAACTGCATTAGAGTAATAAATTAACCTTATATGGCACCATCTAGAACTATTCTTTGAAAATGTCAAAGTTACATATAGTATCTAAAATTATATTTTTTATATTAATCTAGAAAAAATATTTCTAAAAAATTACCCAATTTGTCCACCATTCCGACTTAAAAACTTTTTCCACCTCGCCTGAAAACGCAACACCCACTCTATTAAAAATAGTAACGGTTGTCATTTGTCATCTGTCATCTGTCAGCAACTTTTATTTGTCAAAATCTTAATGAGCGTTTTCGATTATCTGTAATTAGAGAAAGAACAAAATTACATTATGAAGACATAAAATTATGCACATAAAAAAAACTTAGATAATTTCGTAGATGACTTTAAACGATCTAACTAACATATACTTTACTATATCTCTTTTATAATTAATTACAAATATAAATTTAGATGTAACTTCCGTTGAATACGCCTCAAATGTCAAGTGCTCTGTTATCTGTTTGTCAAAATTTGTTATAATTGTCAGATCTGTTGTCAGAAGACAACATGAATATGAATCATTTCTGTTGATCCCACACAAAAATATATTGCATGTCTGAGTCTGACAGTGAAAGTGACTTCAATTCCGTAACTGAAAAAACAAGACTGATGGACGGTCATGTTGCAACAAACAGCGGAAATGCAGGTCCTACAGATATCAGAAACTCTCAAGAAGTTTCCAGGAGAAAGAAAACAAGACGGCATGAGAGCGACGTTGAGGAACAGCCCATGGAAAATAATGTGGGTGGAGGCGACGAGCCTCATACAGATTATGTTGTAGCCAGTTCTAGCGTACCTCCGGATGAGGAGGAGGAACTGAAGTACGGGGCGAAACATGTCATTAAGTTATTTGCCCCCGTTTCATTATGTATGGTTGTTGTCGTTGCTACTATAAGTTCGGTCAGTTTCTATTCCATGAAAGACATGTATTTGTAAGTAGTTAGATATTACTATTCTAGAGTTTATTGATCGAGTTTTGAAATATTTTAGGGTTTATACACCGTTCCATGAAGAAAGCCCAGAATCCAGCACAAAGGCATGGATGGCCGCTGCAAACTCTTTAATTCTAATGGCTGTAATAGTCCTCATGACCGTACTTCTGATTGTATTATATAAATACCGTTGTTATAAAACTATTCACGGATGGTTAATTATATCTTCTTTGATGTTATTATCCATATTTTCGTACCTGTATTTAGAGTAAGAACACAAAACATTTGATTTGCATTGTGATTGTTCTAACTTGGTATTTTTTTAGGGAAATATTACGAGCATTTAATATCCCAATGGACTATCCTACCCTTTTGTTTATCATGTGGAATTTTGGCGTAATGGGAATGATAGTTATTCATTGGCAAGGACCGTTGCTTTTGCAACAAGCTTATTTAATATTTGTTGCGGCTTTGATGGCACTGGTTTTTATCAAGTATTTACCAGAATGGACCACGTGGGCAGTACTTGCTGTCATATCTATTTGGGGTTTATATTTTTTCTCTATATATGGATGAACTAATATTAATATATACTTTTTTAGATTTAATCGCGGTGTTGATGCCAAAAGGTCCTTTGAGGATTTTAGTCGAAACAGCACAAGAAAGGAATGAGCAAATTTTTCCTGCACTAATTTACTCTTGTAAGTATTTAGTAAATAAAATATATTTTGTCAGTCACGTATAGGTACTTTTTTATTTAAGCAACTTATATGTATGCTTACACGAGTATGGCAAGCGGAGATGAAGTGCCCAACGTTAGGACGTCTCGATCAAGTGCAGATCATGGCTTTACGCAGGAGTGGGTTGAAAATCATGCCGACAGATTTGCTCAGAGACAAATAGAAGTGCACGATGTGCCCAGTGGACGTCCACGGGTACAAGTGGTTGCTGCTTCAGAGGAAGAAGAACGTAAGTCATGGTTAGGATTACAATTACAAAAACTTTCTATGAATATTTTAAATTTCAGGTGGTGTAAAATTGGGATTAGGAGATTTCATTTTTTATAGTGTTCTAGTAGGAAAAGCCTCTTCCTATGGAGATTGGAATACTACTTTGGCCTGTTTTGTAGCAATTTTAATTGTAAGTATCCATTTAAACAGTTTTTAAATGTTACATATAATTTTTGAATTTCTGAATTTTCTAACTTGTTTGATAATTTGCATATCACAGATGGGAATTACATTTCATATTCCTCCGTTATTGTACTTTTACATTGTATTTCATATTGTGATGCTCACCTCAGGTTTTTGTTGCTTCTTCAAATATTTTAACATTTTACCTTGCAACTGCAGGTAAATAAAAAATTAAGTATTTGCTTAAAACCTGGCATGGTCCGTTTACAAATTAATGTTGCAATTGCTAGCACAAGATATAATATTATTTTTAGGAAAGACAAAGAAATTGTCACATAAGTGAGTAAGTTGTAGTTGTAAAACAGAACAGTATGTCTTGTGTAAAAACGTCAATGCTTCTTTGACGTTATTATTTTGCAAACCAGTTTACCAGTCTTTGATTTTTCATCTTAAGTTTTTCCTCATTGGGACAGTAAAATGGTACAAATTCTGAAATTAATATAATTATTTTGCTCAAGTGCTGAACTTGACTTGCTTCTGCTCCCCATATTAAAAATAAACTGTATAAAATATGCTCTCTTCCAGACCATTAAAAAATATTGGCAAAAAAAATGTAATAATAATTAAATATAAAATTGAGAGCTGTGCTGTGAGTGAATTTAAATTAATATAATTATTGATCCGGGTGTATACAAAATTTTTACCAAAAAATTCTCGATGGTTCCTAGGTTTTTTAGGTTGGTCTGAGAAATTTTCCAGGCTTCCAAACTGTATTCTCTATAGTAGTTTTCATTTTTCAATAAGCACCATTTCAAAATTTTTTTTGCCAGTATCTTCCATCCAGTGGCGGATCTAGAGATGGACATTGGGGGGGCCGTTTGTACAATTGATGTCAAAAAAAAAATTATGCAGAAAACAGAAAAATTTTATTAATTTATTCTGTTTGATCTTTCTGTTCAAATTGGTATATGTTACCTCAGCTCTTATTACATTATTGTTTTTTTTTTTTTTTAGGGTTTGTGCCTTACATTGCTGTTACTGGCAATTTTCAAAAAGGCTCTACCAGCACTACCCATCTCCATCACATTTGGCCTCATTTTTTATTTTGCTACCAAAGAAATTGTCAGTCCTTTTGCTGACAGTTTAGCTAGTGAACAAGTATTTATTTAGATATATGTATTTAAACCATTCCCTTTGTTTTAACATTTAAATTGAACTAAACCACCAACTCATTCAAATCTTTACTAAAAAGTTAATAAGCTCCTATGTATAAGAATTTTTATTTAATAAAAATATTTATGCTTTGTCTTTTTTTTTATTAAAAACGTAATAATCAACTAAATAACTTACATGGGAATTACACGAATAATGTACGATACAAACTGTTCAATCAGATGTTATAAAAGTTAATGACTGTCACTCATATGTTTCCTTTGTATATTTTCCTGTGGGGTATAATCCAGAATTTCTACAATACTTTCCTCGCTTTGTGACCAGGGCATATATGTTTTATTTACTGTTTCAAATGTCTTTGCTGTTCCACATTCTAGGCACATCCAAATTACTTTTTTCTTTTTTATTCTAACTTTACAAGTAATTCCTGCCAACAATAAACTTCTACATCCTTTACATATAGTTCTTTTGATATCGATACCTCTAAAAAAACAATTATGGAACATGATAATGTTCTCAATTTTTTAGTAGTAACTTACATTCTTTGAACAGTTTTCTTTGAAATATTTACAAGTAAATTGGAATATAAAGATGAGGCTATGCTACAAGATGCATTTTCAGTAGCTAAGAGATTACTCGCCTAAAAATATTTAAACATCTTTTCAATTTAACTGGAAGTAGTACTAACGATGTTAAGGCTTTTACCGCCATGCTGATATGTAAAGTACCATTATTTATCAGGTCATTATCCTGTGGGGAGCTACAAGAATCAAAATCAACATTAGGGTTGACCTAACAGGGTTCGCCTCACAGAGCTTAGCCCAAGAAGCGTTCGTGGAAGATTCCTAGCTAAGCTTAAAGAAGTGCAATGTTTGTAACTGACAGTGACCATGTAAATATACCACAGCATAACAACCCGAAAACCCATTGGTGCTTTAAATACTGAAAACAGTACTTGATTACCTGATATAAATAATTAATTCTCTGAAAACCTTCTTTTCCAACGCATTTTTTTATTTTACTCATATTTAATCTGAATTTCCTAGTAGCTTAGTAGTCATCTGTAGTTCAAATGTTCTATAGTTCTATTCTCCTCCAAGACTAAAAAATTGAGGTTATAGTGCTCTAGGTTTTTAAGTTCAATTTGAAACAATATATTTTAACGAATTAATGGAATGGAATATTCTTGGGCGAAAAACTACCCAGAAATACACAAAATGTGTACATTATTTCAAATGACAGAACTTTCTAATCCCATTAAATACAATTACAATGCTCTAAACGGATACCTACAAGACGGGCCACAATGTGGATTAGTAGCATTAATGATGTGTACTGGTTCACCAAATAATGACACTGTCAAGCATCTTTATGATTATGCAAAAAGAAAAGGATATACAAATAATGGTGAAATTTTTAGTGTTGACGACATGGCAGATGTAGCTAAATACTATTTACCAAAAAAAGCTAATGTTGAAATTTTTGAAGGCGACTTATTCACTACAAAGATAAAAGAATTTTTATTAGACGGTGGAATGGCACTTGTACCGTATCCTTACATGGTATTAACATTGTTCATAGTTTTACAGTTTGTTGATTTAATATTTCTTTAAACAGTTACCAGATATGATACAAATAAAGATAATTCTCCTGGCTTTCACAGTGGTCATAAGGCTCACTGGGCAATTATAAGTGGAAGTATACTCACAGATGATGATTTCTACGTAATTGCCAGACATGGAAAAGCAAGGAATGTTGCTATCTGGAAATTAAAAATACTTGCACGAAGTAATAGTCAATTACAGGAATTTTCTCCAGATCGAAAGTTACATGATGTAGAATATAAACTTCCTGAAGGTGGGATAAATGGCCCTTTGGGACTGAATAGAAGATGTATCCTTATTAAATTGTGACATATAATAAAGCCATTTTGTCAGTATTTACCTTAATATTATTTATCTGCCTTAATGTAATGCTGCCCTAATAATGCGTAGCTGTAATTGCAAAATACGATTGCAAGATGACTTTTATAATTAATAATTGTCCCTAATTTCTTAATTTGACATTTTAATATTCTTAATGTGACGTAGTGTAGTGATGCCATGCCAGTCCACAACACAAAAGGTCTGTTCCAACAAGAGTCAGGGATTGGTTCCGAACCGTTTGAAATGTTTGGCCAGCTAAGTTTTAAATGTGTCTTCAGTGAATATATCGCAAGAATTAGTTGGATGCACTTTTCTGATGGTTCGGAACCAATCCCTGCCTCTTGTTGGAACAGACCTAAAAATGTAACAATACTGAGTGAGTATGATTCAAGAGGAAGAAGTAGAAATTTAACAAAGGATCTACGATTTTTTTTTTGAAAACATAACCTAAGAACGAGAAACGAGAACCATTTGTTGACGTGTTTTACAAGATTTTATGTAGTGAATAACTCGTAAAATATGAAATTAATATATATAATTTTTCTTGCCTGGAATTTTAGTTTTATTAATGCGTGGGACTCTGAACAATTGGAAGTATTTGATGTAGTAGAAGAAGTGAAACAGAATTTCTATGAACTTTTAAATATTTCTAAGGTATGATTTCCTTTTTGTTTAACATTTAACATCTTTAGAAATTACTTTCAGGATGCAACAAGTGCTGAAATTAGATCAGCTTTCAGAGGTCTTTCCCTCAAATTACATCCAGATAAAAATTTAGAAGTAGATACATCTGAACAATTTCGTAACTTAGTTTCTGTATATGAGGTTCTACGAAGCTCAAGTAAGAGAAAGTACTATGATGAAGTACTTATTAATGGAATGCCAAATTGGCGATCGGGACTATTTTATTATAGATATGTACGAAAAATGGGAATGACTGAAGCCGTTTTAATATTATTTATTATCTGCACTGTAGGACAATATCTTGTCAAATGGGGAGCCTATTTTGAAAGAAAATTTACAATAGTAAGTAAACTTAATAATAGTTTGAGTTGGATTGTCTAGAACAGATGGAAAAATAATATTTTTAATTCTTTATTTTAAATATTTCTATATTTAGATTTAAACATGACAGTAAAGTTTTACTTCCAAAGCATTTATTACTTTCCTTAATATTTTTCTTGGCAAATTGGAATGTATAATGGAGAGACCTTATAATTGACAAAATTGGCAGAATTATATAATACAAATTTCTTGGTTTTCATGTTATAATTTAAATTGACTGCTTACAAATTTATTTACTTTCCTTAGTCTCTCAACCGTGACTAGTAATAAAACTTCATAAACATTGCCTGTTTGTAAGAAACAAAAAACAAATTATTACTTCAAGAAATAACTACGAGGTAAGCTTATAGGTATACCTACTGCTGATGATGAAAGTTAATATTCTCACACAGCACCGGACTGGGAGAAAAAAGCAGCCCGGGAATTTTTCAAATCAGAGGCCCTAAAAAATTCTAAACTGACTTGGCTTGCCATAGTAAAAAGGAAATGGGTTTTTCTAGTGTACAGTTTTGAAATAGTCGTTATTTATGTCGAGTTTTCCAAAGTTGAGAAGATTGAAAATTTTTAAATGTATTATTTATTTTATCCATCAATTAGTTTATGATTTCATTTCTTTTTTTCAGTAGGTAATTTTACCTTGCATTCGACTACTTTTATGTTAAGTGCTTTACTCGGTAACTTTTTACTAGAGACTTTTCTAAATCCATCAAGCTTGAACCATAGAATACGATTTTGTATAAAATAAGACATGAAAATATGAGAGCTGTAATCTAAGAACTTAATTCTAGAATAAACCACAATTATTTGTATGAAAATAAAACCAAGGAAATCGTATTGTTAAATCATATGTATTAACCTAATAGTATACAAAAGAATAACATACATGTCGAACTTAATTTTAATCATTTCAGCAATTTCGATTAAATAAATACATCTGACAAATCTGAAAATAATATTATAGTAAAATCTTATTTGTAAAACTTGGATGTTTTGAAGTTAGTAAGCCAATTACTCCGTCAATCGTGATCTTGTTAAAAATATCTTTTTCAGAGTTTATAAGTATAAAGGCTTCTAATTTTTCTTGTCCGATGGAATTTCACAACCTATTTTTGATAAATTTTAAAATACTATATGATCGCTCACAAGCCATCTGCGTAAAAGAAAGAGTTGGGAGATATTTGTATGCTAAACTAAGCGTTGGATAAGTGCCCGTCAGAAGATTATACTTTCTATAGCAGCACACAGCACAGTCTTTGCAAGATTTTTTTGTTTTTCTTTACTTTGATTGTCTTTAACATTCGAAGTAATTTCATCATCATCTATGTCACCATTCTGACTAACATCGTCATCATCGTCATTATCGGTTAAAAGCTCAATATCACTATTATCCACGTCGTCATTTTGATCGTACTCGCCCAAACGTGACAATTTAATTTTTCTGGAGTATCTGGATTAAAAAATTGCAATTTTTCACAGAGTTCTTCAAAGGCAGGTGATTTTAGGAGTAATACGCCTATCTGCGGTTTTATGACTTGAACTCGCTTTCCCCAGCCTATATAAAGTTTACCCACATACCTTAGGTTTTACTATAGTATTGATACTATAGGTTTTACTATATATTACTCGCTTCTCCCTTCCCATTAGAGTTTAATTCACGCCTGTTTGCGGTTTTGCAAATAATGAACTTCCTTTATCCCAAAAGCATCTGTAGTTTAACTTGCATGTCTCTTAAATAAATTGTCCCAAAAAAAAAAACAGTTTAAAAAGCGACTAAATTTTAGAATTTTTTTTTTGCTTTCCATTCTAAAATTTTCAAATTTTTTAAATATATCTAAAATTTTGGGCCAAGCGGCCCTTTCGGGCCGCGGCCCATCGGGAGTTTTCCCTTTTTTCCCCTATGGCCAGTCCGGCCCTGTTCTCACATGTTCAGGCTTTTCCTGTTTCATAATATTTAGCATTCTTTTTTCACATACTCCAATTGTAAAAGTATTGGCTTATTTATTTAAACAGGATTAAGAAAAACTTTTTAAGTTTAATATATAGTAACATGGTTTCATAAATAATTTTTATTTACAAATTGAATTGCAGCAAGAGCAATTGAAAAGTAGACGGAAACAAGGCAGGAAAGCAAAAAATGAAGCAGAACCTGACATTATTATACCAAAACCTTCAGTATTCGATACTCTGCCGGTGCAAATCCCTCGTTTGATATGGCACTCAATCATATCTTTGCCTATAGCCTTAGGCATGATTAAAACTGCCGTAGAACAAAAAATAGAAGAGGTAAATAGACCGCCCACTCCTGAACCAGAACCCGCACCTACAAGAATAAGAACAGCTAGAAAGCGTAACAAATTTGTGGTACCAGAGGGCCCAAATTTTGAGGTACCCTCAACTAATACTAATTCAGACACAAGTGGTTCTACTGCCCCTCCACCGCCAGTTTCTGGCGGTTTGTGGACTGATGATGATTTAGCCGAGCTTATTAGGCTGGTAAAAAAGTTTCCACAAGGTTCAAGTCAAAGATGGGAGAATATAGCTGAGGCTCTAGGGCGGTCAGTACCTGAGGTAACATATATGTCTCATAAAATGAAGGAAAACGGATACCGATTGCCCTCAGAGCAGGAGGAAGAGGTTCAGGTGAAGGTTAAGCAGAAAACGAAAAAGGACGATCTGAATGAAGATGTTAAGAAATGGAGTCAAGTTCAACAAAAAGCACTGGAAGATGCTTTAGCTAAATTTCCTAAAGGTTGTACTGACCGGTGGGATAGAATTGCAGAACACGTTCCTTACAAATCAAAGGTAAAAGTTGTTATTTTTTTGTATAAAAGTTCATTTGGTTTTATATTATCCTCAAATATTATATTAAAAACAAGTCTTATTATTAAAACCCTTTAATGTTTTCAAAGATTGTGTCATGTCATATTTTGACAGTGAAATATCATTTTTTAGGGCATGATTTCTTGGCTCACATAGATAAAAAATTCCAAACAAAATTTGCGATATAAGAAATTAAAACAGAGATGGCAGACTCTGAGATCTAGAAAAGGGTTGCACATATATTCCCAAAATATAAATTTTTCTGAAAATTGCAGTATTATGAAGTTTAAAAATGAAATAAATTAAATTTAAATTTAAATATATACCATTATGAGAAGAAATAGGCCTAGAAATGATTTCCTAAAAACGGTGTAAATCCCATGCTTCATTATCAAATCACGACCATTTTAATTTTCATGAACCGTGAACACCTGCATAGAATCGTCTCCAAATCAATTTTTTTTCTTTTAGGAGGAATGCGTGTTAAGATTTAAGTACCTTGCTGAAAATTTAAAAAAACAAAAAGCTAGTGAGAAATTAGAGAAGACTGAAGAAAACTCTGACACAAAAAGTGAAGAAGTGGATCTTATATCAAATTGAGTGTAGTATAATGTAAGAGTAAATATGGAATTATTAAGCTGTTTTTTAATTTTATTGTAAATATGATTTTATTAAAAGAAGTTATACAGTATTAGATACTTGTTTTGATTATCATTCAGGGCTAAAATCATTCCAAAGTCTTTTAAGGAATCTTTGGAAATATATTTAATGTATAGGGAAATATTAACATGACAAATTAAAAACGAAAAATTTAAATAAACTTTTACACCAATCAATAAGGTTTTGAAAATTACCCCGATTCTGTAGTTATTTAGTTCAATTTAAATCCGTGGTACTTTATACTGAAAACTTATTTTTGTTGTAAAAAGTTGGTAATATTGAAGTATTTTAGAAAAACAAGAACTAAATTGGGAAAAGATCATGTGATTTTTTAATGCGAAGTACTCGCTCATGCAAAATTTTTACGATTTTGTTTTATTAGTTATAAAAAACATAAAACGAAATATAGAAACCAAAACGTACTTATTCATAAGAAAATTACAAAAGAGAAAAAATTGTGAAATGCAAATAAATAAAATATTACATAGTAAAAATGAAGTCAAATGTAAAATACAAAAAAATTTGTTGGCTAAGAATAAATTTTGAGGATAGTCATTTTTTAATTTTCTTCTTACATGGATTCCTCCGTAACCTTTTTTTTCCACTTCATTCACTATCACAATCTTGGAAAGTCTCCTCATCTGAATGTACCAGAACCCCTATTCAGGTCTTGCCCCTATTAACTACTATTGCGAAATTAACGGTAGTTAAAACACCAAACCAAGCTTATTGCTCCTTATTTACAACTTCTCCCGAGGTGCTCTTATGATGGCAATAGCACAATTTCAGTATTCAGCCTTTTGTGTTGATAGTAATATATATATACTTATATTCTTCAAATACATTTTTTGATTCTTGTAAAGATATATTTTTTAGTTTTTTGCATTTAATCCATGCAATGATACACACGATATTTTCTTATAACTAAAATTTGTTGCTTACAAACTAACATTTTTCTGTGTGTATTTTCAGCAAGACGTGTCAAGTGCAAAATTATTTGATAAATGTTATCAAACTGCATAATCTGATTAAAAACAGCAATTTTCTACAGAATTCTGACTTTCCCCGGTAAAATTAAAAATAATTGTTGTAATTCTTAAAACAAGGCCAAGAAACAGTTTTTCCACTGAACTAAATGATAAATGCATGTCACATTTTGAAGGAGCAACGACGATATGTTTTCGTTTTTTAAATCTGAAATTACGTATCAAATGACATTTCTGATTTCTACGTATAAAACTGAGAAATTACAGAAAATTTCACAAATCAAATTTTTTGACATCACAAAAATTAAATAAATCAAGATATATCGAAGCTCAATTTCTCTTGAAAATTGAGCCTATTACGTCACAACTTGTTTTTGTCTGTATCCTGAGAATTATGAGAAACTCCCATCTTATACAAAAACATAACGTACAAATGTGATTCTTAGAATGAGCAGTTAACATAAATTTATAAATAAAATATATACGAGCAATTGTGTTTCAAGAAATATTTTTACTTGTTTTAAATATTTAACCCTTTCACTGGGCCTGCCGCCTATAGACATCAAAATATATATGCGTGAGCTGAGCGCCTGCCGTCTTTAGGCTTTTAGGTGTTTATGATTCTCTACGATATCCACAAATAAGCGTAGTGATTTGTGCGGGTATTTTACAGCTTAGGAGCGCACTTTGTAGTCATGTATGCTGTGTAGCCCTTGCATCCCACCATGGGTGTAGCGTAGCTACAATTTTTGCTCAGGGTTGGCCTAGGGCTATAAGCTTTATGAAGGCATCTAAAAAAAAATAGCGACTTCCCGATATAAAATTTGAACACGTTTTGATTTGATTCTACATCAAAAACATACAGGCTGTTACAAATTCGCTTCTCACTACAGGGATCTCGGAAACGATAAGAGGTACGAAGTAGCTTAAATGAGGGCAATGTTGCGTAATCAGGGGACCAACATTATGCCTCTAAAAAATCAAGGCTAACATGATTAGTTTTCGAAATACAGTATAGACTCTTTAATCGGAACTAATTAAAACATGGGCTTAAAGAGATAAGTTCGAATTACCGATATTTTCGGATTACTGGATAGTAAATATGTACATATGTAAATATTTATATGTACATGCATATAATATGAATTAGATTTTGTGTTACTGAAAAGGCAAAAATTAACAATAAAACCAAACATTATCGTAAAATATGTCATATAAATATCGACATGTTTGCACGGCAATAATATTTGAACTAAAAAGATCTAATCGACAAAGGTTCCGACTTCCGTTTTTAGCGGTTACTTTTTATTATGTAGTCTGACTATAATCCGAACTATATACGTTAAACTGAATTTTGTTCGAAGAGTTTTGTTTCGGATCATCGAAACGGGCATTCGTCGGGTCGTCGGGCCGGATTAGTGGATATTCGGATTAAGGTGAGTTTGGATTAAAGAGTCTATACTGTATTTTGAAAAAAAAAAACAAAATTTTGGAAATCCGCTTTTGTTTCATTTCAGCCTTGTTTGAGGTGATATTGAAAAAAGAAGAATACTTTCTCATGGCCACTTTTTGCCCTCTATCGAATGGCTCAATCAATTTTTATATGTAATGTTTCGTCTCTCCAGGACCATCATCAACTTCATTTTTTTAAATGCGACCCTATTTTATTTTATTACATTTTTTACAAGCCTTCATGGTCCCCAATACTATACTGCCTCAGCCCGAACCAGATTCAGACGTTTTGTCTCAAAAAATTCATCTTCAGTGTATTCGTTCCATATTCATCTAAATTTTTTATTTAGATTTCTTTGTTTATTGAATTATCGTACTCTGTAAGTGTCGTTAGGCCCTGCGAAATCCATTTAGTTATTTAAACTATTACTACCACGCATTACAATAAAACATTTATTGTTATTAACTACTACCATCACTTGGTCATACATAACTCAATAAGTTGTTGCGTCAAAATTAAAACATTTTTACAATTTTAATTTTATAATGACAAATTAATTCTTAAAAATGCATATGAACAACCAAAATGCTAACTGAATATTATATTCTTTAAAAAATTTCAGTAAATGTTCAAAAATATTTTCGTTTTGGCAAAGGTTGAAAATGAAGATCAGCGTAATATTATCGGAATTTATTATATCTGTAACCGCAACTGTGAAAGAGCATGCCAGATGAATATCCTGAAAAAAAATTGATCGGAATTTGTTTGAATTTTGAGCACTCGAGAAGCCTAGAAATAACTATGGACACGGGAATAAAACTAATAATTTTTTATTTTAATATACAGGGTGTATCTTAAGTGATGACTTTAATTTCAAGGGGTGATTCCTTGTCATATTTTAAGCAAAAAAGTGCATATGAACATCGGTCCGCAAGTGCTTCGTTACCGAGATACAAAGTTGGGAAAATAAATCGCATTTTCTTAAATATCTTTCGACTGATTCGAAATAATTTAATGAAATTTCATACACGGGGGTTTTTTGGAATGACAAATTCAAAGCTGTGGTCAATTTAGGTGTATTTTTTTGAGGGCGCCAATAATGAAGTAGCTAGGAGCAACCGTTTCCATGAAAAACACATTTAAACTTACTTGAGCTGGAAATATCATAAAAATTGAATTAAATCAAATGCTCAAAATGAGAACCGCCACTGTCAATACAAACATGAAATCTTCTGCTCATCGACTGTCGCACACGTTTAAAAATTCCTGGAGTGTTGCGTATGACATTACAAGAATTTACAATTCTGTTTCTTAAATCATTATCATCTACAACTGGCGTTGCATAAACAAGCGACTTCAGATGTCCCCAAAAGAAATAGTCCAGAGGATTTAGGTCTGGAGATTGTGCTGGACACGGCTGAGGTCCCCGACCTATCCATCGCTGAGCAAAAGTGTCATTAAGATGTTGGCGAGCAGCAAGACTGAAATGAGCAGGTGCCCCGTCGTGCATAAACCACATGTCATTTCTAGTTGCTAGTAGTACATCTTCTAACAGACTAGGCAATGTTTCAGCTAGAAACTGTCTGTAAGTCTCACCATTCAGTCGAGGAGGAAGAAAATGCGGTCCGATGACATGATCACCAATAACTCCGGCCCACACATTCACCGAAAACTGCTGCTGAAATCCACGTTCTCCAATAACATGGGGATTTTCATAGTTCCAAAAATGATTATTGATGATATGGAAGTTTATGATGGCATCCCGTGAAAAAGTTGCCTCATCTGTGAACAGAATTTTAGACGTAAAGTTGGGATTCTGCGCAGTATTTTGGAGAAACCATCGACAATAATCTAACTGTGCAGGAAAATCTCTTGGCAACAGTGGTTGCACGCATTGAATGTGGTACGGATAAAGTAAATTTGTGTGACAATCCTCCAAACACTTTGATGACTTATGTTAAACTGTTCAGATAATCTTCGCGTACTACTTGACGGATTAGCTTCCACTTCTTGTAGGATTGCTTCCTCTAGTTGTGGTGTCATTATTGTTCTCGGTCTACCAATACGTTCAGCGTGAGCATTTAAAGATCAAGTTTCGCACAGTCTAGCATGAAGCCTTATGAAAGTTATTTCTGATGGAAGTGGTCTATTGGGAAATCGTTCCTGATAAATTCGAAGGGCTTGTGCAGCATTTCCATCTGCTAGCCCATAAATGAAATGTATTTGAGCTTGTTCAACGTTATTCATAGTTAACTGCACACTAAAAGATAGTCAACTGACAGTATCTTGTCACTTTTAATGCCAAATATCATCGGAATTTTGTTATCACAGGAATTTTTGTATTCAACAAAAAAACATTTCTTTAAAATCTTTTTTAAGCAGATAAGGTAGGAGAATCGATTATTCTAGTCCAAAATGGCATACAGCAGAAAAAAGTTGCGATGGATTAAAGAGGCCGAAATCGTTGCCGGTGGCGCCCTCAAAAAAATACACCTAAATTGACCACAGCTTTGAATTTGTCATTCCAAAAAACCCCGTGTATGAAACTTCATTAAATTATTTCGAATCAGTCAAAAGATATTTAAGAAAATGCGATTTATTTTTCCAACTTTGACACCCTGTATTTCGGTAACGAAGCACTTGCGGACCGATGTTCATATGCACTTTTTTGCTTAAAAGATGACAAGGAATCACCCCTTGAAATTAAAGTAATCACTTAAGATACACCCTGTATAAATTAATGGAATTTACCCATCTTGTAAAATAAAGTTCAAGCTTTAAAATGACATGTCGTGCGTCTCAATCCGTCCAATAGAACCCGAGATATGGTAAAATAGGTGCGTGCGGAGACGGAAAATGAAAGATATTTGAACTAAATTTGCGATAACTGGTTAAAATTAATCTTTTTTAATTTTCAAAAAAAAAATATGTTATGAGAAAACTTAACTATTAACTGACCACTATAACAATAACAATTAAACTGACCACTTTCAGGCTTTGCGACCAAGTTTTTTGAATTCAAGAGGTCAAAATACTTAAGAATAAGCTGTTAGCAGCCGTGACACTCTGATTGTCCACAGCTGCCTTTTTTCCAATTAATTACATAAGGATTTACAGATTTAGTTTATATTTTGATACATCGGACATCGATATGGTCCAAAATAGCTCGACAGGGAACATTCTATCCAAATAGTAAAAATATAGAGGGTGTTTCATTTAAATTAACAAAGTTAACATCCGTGGCCATTTTGTTTGGAATTCATTTGTTTTTCTTATTATTTTCGAAAAATTCATAAAAAACCGTGCAACTTTTGTATTTCACATTTTTTTATAACTCTAAAAACAGAAAGGTTAATGTAACAATCAATATAACTGGTCAATTTTTTGCTCAATTTATTAAATCAAAAATTGGTAATTGTACCTACAACACGTAGATGCAACTTTTTTAAAAACTGTTACTTTATTAACAGCTTGAATTTTTGCCTAATAGGTTAGTTTACCACCTAGAACAATTAATTGTTTTTTGATATAAATAACACATATTGACAAATGACAAACCGCCATTTTGGGGCAAACAACATTGATTCCTGTACTTAGTCAATCTAAGGACTTACAAAGACGTCATAAGTATGTGCGCCATCTGTTATTTCATTTAAGATTCGATTATCATTTACAAGATATGCAGTGACTTAGGTATTCCTTTTTTTGTGTACTCCATGTTCATGTAATTAATAACATTAAAAGTTATACATACCTTTCTTTACTTAAAATAGTCATCTCGAAACACACAAATGCATACTATGTATGTTCATGTACCAGAAATTGGCGACATTGCACTGTATAATGAGCAACAAGAATCATTGGAAAATTAAAACCAACATTATCTTTAATCTGCTCTAGATTTCCTTGGGCTAAGCTCTGTGGGTGCCGTCCTGTTATTAAAACCCTTATGCCTGCTCTAATATTAATTTTAGTTCTTGTTTGTCAAGCTTATACAGTAAAGAACGGCGGAATGTTTGGAAACATTGGATGCAACCAGTCACAGAGGCCATTACGGAAGATTTCAAAGAACAATTAATGTTTGGGAAGCCTTAGCAAGTTTACAATAAAAACCGAAATTAATATCAAGGCGTAGGGGTTCAAATAGCAGGTCCACCACACAGAGCTTAGCCCGAGAGCAACAAAGGCAAGTTAAAGATTCCTCATTAAGGCTTAGGAAGTGCAATGTAAGTCTGTCATGCCATAATAACCCGAAATGCGATGGAACTTTACTTAAAACCACAAATTGTCGAGTAATTAAACTGATGCTGTTTTTAACTTATCTATTGAATGCAACTTCTTAAATATTATATAAATAAAACTTTTACATGGCCTTATAAAAAAGGTATTTTAAATAAAAAATTATGAAGCATACTCAGTATAATTTAACAACAAACTACAAACTATATCACATATACAGAGTATTCTTTATATGAGTCTTTAATGTGTATTTTTTGAGCCTTAAAAGGTTGTATTGTCAACATTTAAATATTCAGAGGACTGCCAGTTTTAATACGAAAACAAATTGGGGAGGAGGAAAATATACGAACCTACTTTATATACAATCACTTAAAAAAATAGTAAGCTCTATTTAAAAATTATTTAAAAAGTATTAAATACTTAATTATAACTAATTAATCATAGATAAAAGCATTACATACTCTCATATTCGTGTTTGTCAATAGTAAAACTGATCAATCCTAGTAGAAATCATATTTGGGTGACCCCGTATATAGTGACTAGAAGCGACAATAGTTTTAGCTTTTTTTTTAAACACGGAAGCAAAGCAGCAAATGGAAATGTTCGGGGCGGCGTAGACTTTCTTAGAGATCCCGGCAGTGGATATGGTAAAATCAGTTCATTTCTGTGCTGGCTAGCGGGACACCCGCCAGGGCTACTGTCAGACTCTTCACGTGGGTCTGCCATGTAGAACTCAACTGGAAGAACTTTACTCCACCAAATTCCACTCCGTCAATATATACTGAAATAATCACAATAATTATAGACGGAGAGATTGGTGTCAAAATCCCCCGTGATCGGACTGATGTCCAATTTTGATTTTAACGTGTTGGTCGTATCTTGAATAACAGGGTTTCAGAGTTTGTTGACACTCCTTGTGGGGCAGGGGTTGGGGGTGCGACGGTAAATACGAAAATCGCCCCGTGATCAGATTAATGTCAGCAACTCATAAAATATATTCTAGACTTTCGGAGGAGTACGAAAATGAAAGTTGCTGATAGCCCCACAAGGGGTGTCAATAAACTCTGAAACCCTGTTATACAACATACAACCAATACATTAAAAATAAAATTGGCCATTAGTCTGATCACGGGGGATTTTGACACCAATCTCTAGGACTATTAGTATCACAAAATACCAAAGTGCAAGGTTTGCAGCAAATATTGAACAGCTATTCATTTCGAATTTGAGGAAGGCATGAGCCTAACCGGTGAAATCAGCAAAATTCGTGGAAATTGACGCATAATGAAGGGGCCTTTTGAAGTCTAGATACATCAATCCATTTTGCTTCAAGGCTCCCTGAAAAACATGAGTTTCTTACATGACATAGCCAGAGTTAACTTTAATGGAACCATTTATGTGATCCAGGTTGTTTTTGTACGTTTTACACACAAAAAAAAATTAGCCTGACTTACTTACGTAACCAACTTAATTTTTGTTATTAACAAGGAGAAGGTAAGGTAGTCGGATTTTTGTAATTTTTGATATTTATGGTATGTATAGCTTGGACCTTGAATAAGAATTTTCTGGAGCAGTTTGACGCAACGTTCATAAATTACCGAGATAATCGATTTTGAAATTTTACCTGACAGCTAAATCCACTAGATGTGACACATTCTTCAACTGGGAGCGTGGCATAATTGGTAGCGTTCGGGACTGACAGTCAGGAGATCGCTGGTTCGAGTCCGTCGCGTGACATTTCTTTTCTTTTTTTTTTTCAAAACGCACCATATGGTTTTTTATTTTTTTTCATCGAAAATTATGAACAAACGAAATATTATAATAAATACTTATGCATATGTAGGAATATTCTTCAAATATTTCATTAAAATGCACAATTGGTTGATAAACAATATTTATTATGAATAAGATTTCTTTAAAAAAAAACAAATGAAATCAGGTAGGATGTTCTTTTATTTTATATTTATGTTAGTATTTGACATTTTACGCAGTGTGGCACGAGCCAGAATGGTAGCTATCATAAAAAATGGGAAGCAGACATTTTTTAAGCATCTAGCTTCCTTTCTTTTTCTTTTTCTGATCTCGAAAATTATGAAGAAACGAAATATTATGAGAACTGTATGTAGGAATATTCTTCAAGTGTTTAATTAACATTTTGAGCTAGGTTATGTGATATGTGGGTCGTCCACCGTGTTTAAAAATCCGCTAGTGGCGAAAATATCAATATTCAAAAGATTTCAAATTCACACCCCTAACAGACCTTAAGGTCTTTAAGGTCCTTGACACAGCTCTTCCTGACAAAAAAGACTAAATATACCGTAAAACAGGCCAGCTAGCAGAATCCACGCAACNGAGAAGCATCGAAACTGTGTGATGAAAGAACAATCTTTCAAAATGTTAACGAAATTTGCTTCAACGTCGATATTTTGAAAACAAAATGCGCCTGTAAAAACATAACATTTACACGACATGCTAGATGCTTAAAAAATGTCTGCTTCCCATGTTTCTATGATAACTACCATTCTGGCTTATGCCACACTGCATAAAAAGTCAAATACTAAAAATAAAATAAAAATCTTACCTGACCTCGTTTGTTTTTTGAAAGAAACTTTATTGTTAATTCATAATAAATATTGTTTATCAACCAATTGTGCATTTTAATGAAATATTTGAAGAATACTCCTACATATATAAAAGTATTTATTATAATATTTCGTTTGTTCATAATTTTCGAGATGAAAAAATAATAAAAAACCATATGGTGTTTTGAAAAAAAAAAAGAAATGTCACGCGACGGACTCGAACCAGCGATCTCGTGACTTTCAGTCCCGAACGCTACCAATAAGGCCACGCTCCCAGTTGAAGAATGTGTCACATCTAGTGGATTTAGCTGTCAGGTAAAACTTCAAAATCGATTATCTCGGTAATTTATGAACGTTGCGTCGAACTTCAAAATTTGCCTATGTTTTGAATAGCCGCAATATTTCTAAAAGAAAAGCTATATGGCACAGTTGCAGCCGCGTAATGGAAACATCAACCACGTAGAACAGCTCTGCTCATATAAAAAGAATATGCAAACAAACTAAACTTTTCACCGGTCATTACAAGATTTCTCACGAGGGTCCGTAGATATCACGGCCACTACCAAAATCGTCCTAGAGACATTCAAGACAATGCAGAACCACGAAAAAATAATACCAAAAAACATTGGTTTCGAAATTTTTCACCAGTTTCTAAATTTCAAACGTCGTGTCGCCCGGATAAGAAGATTGCCCTCCATAGGCCTCCATTATCTCGGATGAAAATAATAGTGTGGCACTCCTTCCCTCGAGGTAGGCGATGACAGCCAAGAGTGTCAAATTTTTTCACCCCACTTTCCAAAAAGTGGCGAAAATATCAATATTCAGGAGACTTCAAATTCACACCCCTAAGAGACCTTAAGGTCTTTAAGGTCCTTGACACAGCTCTTCCTGACAAAAAAGACTAAATATACCGTAAAACAGGCCAGCTAGCAGAATCCACGCAACCAGTGTGCGAATGCCAACACAGGGTTCCCCCAATTATTTAATCAGAGCATTTTTGCATGGCCAGAGTGTGTACTCGACACTATTAAGAATTCACATCACAACCACTGCATTTTCTATATTGTATTACTATTTTAAAAAGCATCAATAAAGCTGAATTCATTTTTTAACATTTCGAAAAATTACCTAAACCTAACACAACGCTCTCATATACAGCCTTCAAGCTGCAATATCTTCAAGCTTCTGAAAGCTTAATGTATCGGTACTGCATGGAGATCATACACAACAGTGCTTCTAACCAGTGAAAAGACAGTGATTTTCAGAAACCGGAGTACCAGATCCAGTGCTGTACAGGGTTCAATAAAAAATCCATTACACCAAACATTTCAAGTAATATAAACTCTTAACAAAACCAAGAGCCAGTGTATACAGTGTGTCTAAAGGCGCGTATTCACCAAAAAAGCGAGGAAGAGCGAACATTTGTTTTAGTTCGTGTATGTTTGCTCGTGTTCGCTCGACATATTGACATCTCGTCCATACCAGAGCAAATTCAGGTTCGCGATTTCACGTTTGCAGTTGATCCATCTGTTTTCTGCGAGCGTATTAATAAATATGGCTGACCATGAGAAATTATTGTTATTAGCCAGTGCTGCTTTCATTGTATTGAGTTTATTGAAAAAGAAAATACGGAAAAAACACATATTTATAATAGCAGTAATCTATCGCGTGATTTAAAAGTAGAACATGACTACATAATGTTCCAGAATTTTTTCAGAATGGTCCCTGAAGATTTTAAAACTTTGCTAAAACTTGTGAAACCAAAAACAAGTATTTTCTTTGAAGTACAGCCTTCCTCTCGATCTTTTTTGAACGCGAACAAACAAATGTTTCTTCGCTCACTAGTCCGTACTCACTAGATGATAATTGATGCAGAATGTTCGCTCGCTCGTGTTCGCTCTTGCTCGTTTTTTTGGTGAATACACGCCTTTAAGTTAAACCAGAAACACAAATCAGAGCGTGGATCTTCAACCTAAAGCAACTCACAATGGAGAAAGGCGTAAGTCTCTGTATCTTTCCTTGATATCCTCAGGGGGTAATGACAAAAGAGAAATTCCTTCATCGGTGAACGGGCAATTAACGTCACAGCAAGGCAGGTGAAAACGGACTCAGAGAGGTACGCTCCTTGCGGACCCATTATGAGAGTTTATGACCCTCTCAATATGATGAGGAGAAATGAGAGTAGGTGAATTCTACCAAGGGCTAACTAGACCAAGCAAAATCTGAGGCATGGCGCCTATCGTGGGGCTATGTCAGAAGATAGGCAACCGACCTACATAGATCCGCGACATGACGGCCAATGTAAAGTTACGGCAGAAGACAGACAACCCACATACATAAATCCGCGATGTGGCGCCCAACGTGGCGCTATAACAGACCTACATAAATCCGCGATAGTACGCTAAGATCGCAAAAAAGAAAAATTCTTCAAAAAACATTTTGAAGTACTTTAAAACTGAATTACATTATATTAAACAATTTTCATAAAAACAAACTCCACAAATTACCATTGATTTCATGCACACAAGGTAGTATTACCCCTTAAATGTTGGATTTGAGTAAGATCGCTCAACTTTTAACAGATGACTGTCGATTGAAGAAGCATCTGTATAGCATAAACACGAATTTAGGTAATCCTAGGTAACTGTAAGGGCTTTGCATGTCCGAGATTCAGTCTTCTTGGTAAACCTTTTTAAAATAGGAGTGAAATATCAGCTAACAGTCTTTCAAACTAATCCGCAAGTTAAGATAAAAAAAATGTCAAGTAACTTTTGTTTTCAATGAAACACAATTATTTCTTACCTTTCATGGGAGAAGTATGAGCAGCGCGAGCAGAGCATATCAGCCTTGAGACTCCTTCTACGTTCTGACTGCGAGGCTCCATATCTTTCTCCTTTTCTTTCTTCTTTCCTAATCTCATAACTGAAAAAAAGAAACACAATTTTGCACATAAAGAAAAATCATTACTAATGCTATGTTGTTTATAAAAAAATATGTATTCATACTTTTCTGTTTTTTCTCTTTATTCGCCAATAGCATGGTAACATTAAGTCCAGAATGTGTAGTTGGAGAAACCTGAAGTCCTCGGAAAATGGCTTTCAAAGAAGTTTTGCCGTCTTGTTTAGTTTTATCAGTCTTTATGGTGCTGTCGGAGAACTTCGGCAGTTGCCAATAGTCCAATTGGAGGTCGAGTGGTTCCCACGGCGAGTCCCGTGCCTGCACGTTGGGAGAAGAGGGAGGAGTCAAAGAAGGTGCTGGTGGACTGGAGCACATCAGGTCGTCCAAGTCCACAGAGATCGATAGTGCTAGATCTGCGGGTCCTACTCTGACCTCCTGTGTAAAAATAGATTCATTGGTTTAAAAAAGTGTATCTAATACCAACAGATGATACAATGATAATAAATTGTTTCAACTCAGTTCAAGTTTTTGTACCCTTCTTTTAAAGCACTATGTTTGGTTTTTGAATCTCAGTGTCAATGACATCAGGCATTGAATATGTTTAGGTAAGCATAATATCATTCCACCTGAAGTGAAATTATGAAAGGGCACTAGGCAAGTAAAATACAAAATATACATCAGACGCAACAAACGTGAAATACAATAATTAAATTATGGGATATTAAACACTTACACTGACAAATGGAATGAACAATTGGCTGTTCTCGTCGTGACAGGTGAGCATAGCTTCGCCGATGGGTAGCTGGGCGACAGGAGCAGACAGAGGGGAGGAAAGGTACCTCTGTAACCTCTGCGAGAGCTCGTCAATTTTCAATTCTTGTTCGTTGGGAAACAAGGTCTGGTACCCCGGATCCAACATCGCCAGGTGACGGGAAATATTGCAGTTGCCCAAGGGGACTATATACACGCGGGTGTATGCCAACCATTCAGAAGGTTTGCTCGAGAGAAGTTCGACGTATGGACGGACAAACCATCCTATCAGAGTGTCTCCGCCAATTAGGAGGAGCTTGACGTATGTACCAGGTTTGGCACAATTATTGCAACTATGAAAGTAATTAAGAACTGTTATAACATTATTTATCAAGTTGCAAACAGTTTGTCCCTAGTATAAGGGCAGCATGTAGTAGAATACCACAAATAAATCCCAAATACTTGAGCTACATAGGTTCCAGGTCTCTCCTTTATAGTTCATGGATATTTACACGGCCAGTATCTAAATCATGCTGGTACACCGCAATAAATGATTAAGAATTATCCAAAATAAAAACACATCATCAGCATACGTAATAAAAGCTGTTTTACCTAATAATTTTACACTGAATTTATACGGAAGATAAAAAGCATGGGTCCCAAACCTGAACTCTGTGGTATACTCATTTCAACTAAGCAAGAATCAGTATGGATTTATATTGTTTTCAAAATTTCATAAAACATAATAACCAATTTAATCAATAGTTTGATCATTTCTTATGCCACAATCATGAAGTTTGCTTTACCAATAACTGATTAAAGATGCATACAAAAGTCTGTTTGGTTTTGAACCCCCAAAGCGAAGAATTTGATTGGATTTGAGAAGAGATAAAGATTTCACCTAATAAGAAACTGGGATATAAACATGTTATCCGATTACTGCTGCTCGTTAGAATGAGGTTCATCATCGAAATAGAGAAAATATAAAAGAAATCCACTCTGCAGATGTTTTGAGAACAAATTAGTTCAATACCAAAAAAGTGAGTAGTAGTTTCGATATTATAATAGTGAGATATAGTGTTTTCTTGTGATTTATCAAGGCAAAAAGCTCTTATCTTCAAAAACTGTTCTCAAGAATCTCAATAGACATGGACTCGCTGTGTAAATTAATCTAAATGAAGTATTAACAGACAAATGGGTATAAACCTTACATATTAGACTTATCGATAGGTACTAGAATTTTGTCCTGTCAAAACCATTAACTCAAGAGTCACAGGCTCAGAGTTAAAGTTTTCTTTAATCTCATATGTTACTCAAATTTTAATATAATACGTACATAAATGCATGAGTGTTTTGAGTTTAGAACTTGAGCAACTCCAAAAAGGTATAGGTATGTAAGTTTACTTTGCTGGCAACTGATTCTCTAGATTTGACCTTGAACTGACGTTAACCCGGACCTATTCGGATAAAACAAACAACGGATTCAAATTCAGCGGCACAAAAACATATAGATATGTAGATTTACTTTGTTGGCAATTGATTCTCCACATTTGACCTTGAACTGACCTTGCCCCAAATGGACACCGGATTTGAATTCAGTGACCCCGAAAAGGTATAGATGTGTAGATTTGCCTTGTTAGCAATTTTCTATATTTTACTTTGACCTTAACTGAGAGGTAATTGGGTCAAATGGATACCGGATTCGGATTCAGCAGCCCCAAAAACATATAGATAACGTAGTCTTGACTTTTGGACCTCCCACTTTTTTTTTATGGGGCTGTGTAATCTGCAGAGTGCAGTTTGGGAATCAGTAAAAACAACAGAAAATTAATCACAACTAATCAGATCAATATTTTACTGTCATATGTTTGCATGAAATGAAGAAGTAAATTATTAAAATACACAGTTTTACCTATTGCTATGATTTATTTAATTTTGTAAGCTTTGATTATGAACTTTGCAAAGTTTAGGACTATTGTTGTAAAATGATCAAGAATTTATTTTTGGCAAATTTTTATCAGGCACAAATGGAAGTAAACGAGAATAAATGAGGATAAATGGGAAGGACCTGCCAATTTTATTTCCTGTATGATATTATTGCTTTAAAATTAAGAAATGCTAGATTTAATGTTTTTTTTAAAGTGATGATTGAGTGAAAAACTTAAATTTAAAAATCATAAATATTTGATACTCACAGCGCGGTAGTAAATTTTGCTTCGAGAAATTTTTTAAGGTCTAGTGATTTATTTCTATTTTTTTGTTCATCAAATTCAATAAAAAAATTATTACTTCGTTGATATTTATTCTTAGAGGTCGCTCGAAAACAAAAATGTTTTCGAGCGACCTAAAAAGGTACACTACTTTTAAAGTTAAAATAATTGTGTGACCTTTAGAAATTAAAATATCGATTTGAAATTTTTAGAAACAAGATTTTTTTCAACCTAGAAAATGATAAAATAACGAGAAAAAAAATATATATTTTTGACGATTTTGGAAATTTTTAAAAATCTTGAGCTACCTCCAAAAAAATTTTTTAGAGCTGATTTTTTGATGGGGTTCTTAAAATATGATAAACTAACATATTTTCACAACACGAAAAAAAACATTAGTTTTTTTTGGGCCACCCTAACCTAAGTATATACTTATTAAACTGCACCATACCAGTCAGATTTTGACAAAATGCAGAAAAAAGTTTTCTTTTTCTATTTCCAAAGTGTATATAAACACATAATGGTTATTTTTTGCGCGAACATTCGTGAATTTAGAACTTCCGTTGTATGTAACCTTTTTTAAATTTTTATCTATACTATCACATATTAAACGTATGACACTTATACTACAGATACCCTGTATGCAACTTCATTTACTGAGAACTTTAGGAAAATTTTTAGACATTATTATTATTATTATTATTATTATTATTACTTTTTCTTTGTCAAAATTGAAGAAACTGAACAGTGTACTTACTACTTATGGATTTTATTGAACAATGCATTCAACACCGACTTCACCTCTACCGCTGATATGGGTTGGAATACTTTGTGTTGAGGGGCAAACCTCACAGATAACGGCATAATTATACTGTCCGGACCGGTCATCATAACAACACTTTCTGGCAGTGTATTATCTTCAAGAGGCAGCAGCTTGGACACTGACTCAAAAAATATTTTTCTCACCTAAAAGTAAAGAGAGAGATAATTGAGGAAATACCAGTTTAAACAAGAAAAGTGATTGTCATTCAAAACATAAACTAACTAAAGTGGTAAAATATCCAAATAAAGATAGAAAAACAATTAAAACTATGCCGTAAATAAAGAACTTAAGACAACGAATAATTGCAAACGTTAAATTGAAATCATACTAACCACGACTGACTCGACTGCTGGTTCCGAACTAACGCTGAGCGAATTCTTCTTTTTGGCAGAAGAAGCCGATGACCTAAACAACTTGGACTTCCTCTCGCTAAGTTCTTGCATTATATTGGCAAATTCGTTCTCTCCGGTATGTTTTCGAGATCCGCCAGATTGCTCTCTCGGAGGCGATCCCGTCTGTGGGTCGCTTTGGGCTTCAGGATCCGTAAAGCAGATGTCTGCGTTCCCATCGGAGCCTAAATTATTCAGATGAAATAATTTCTTTCTGATATACAGAGCGCTTGGAAAAAAAATGCTGTTCAACAAAAACTCGGACGATTTTTTTCTACAAACCATGAGCCTGTTCTGTTTTGTTTTCGAAATACAAGACACAAAAATTATTTAATAATTCAAATTTTAGTCACAAGGTCATATCTACAAAATAGAAATACAACAAAATACAAATACAAATTTGATTTTTAATTATCTTGTAAATGTCCTTTTCGACCCAACCTAACTTAACTTAAGAGCGAGTTATGTGTTAAAATGTCATTTTGTTGCTATAAACTATTAACCTCTAACAGAAAAGAAAAAGAAAGAAAGAAAAACTTGATTTGAAAAAATCATATTTGGGGTTATGTACATATATGAAAAACAAATGAGTCCAAAAAAAAAACCAATCGCCATCCTTGAATTTTTGATATCTTTTTTCGAACCACCTTGTAATTATTTCAATGTTTACCTGAGCAAGTTTTGTCTTCTATTTTTTCAGCTTCAATATAAGGCAGTGTATTGGAATCCAACAGACTTCTACTACTGCTAAAGAATGGACGTAAACTTGGCTTGGGTGTACTTGATATGGACATTGTGTCTTGCTCTCCTCCAGAATCCTCGTCACAACTCAAAGATTCCAATTCTTGGAACAGCGCCTGGATATCACTCGGATTATCTAGATCGCCACCCCGACCCCCTAAAAAATTTTTTTACAAAATCTCATTGTTTAACCGCAAATCCGCCACAGCTTATGGGTTTTTAGTTTTCAAACGGTAATTAGTGATTGATAGCAACTGTGACAGCATGATTAATCATCAAATATTGTTAATTGTTTAATAGTTTAAATACTACAGGATTAAACTAAGATCAGTTCCAATTATAATGCAACGCAAAATAACTTAGGCTGAACTACGCTTACAGAATTACAAAAAATATAAAGATATTAATAAAATCGTTAACACCAAGTGAAAATGTACGAATAACTATTGCAAAAGCATTTCAAATTCTACAGAACGTGGATTCCTCTAAAACTTAATTCAGGAAAAAGAAAAATAAAAAACGTATAAAAAAAATGAGTATAAATAAACTACAATATCTATTGTTCCATCATGTTTTCAAGATATTGAAAAAAGTTAAACTTGACCTATGCGCAAAATACTTGTAAGAGTGGCTAAACTACATACCAGATTTTTCAAAGTAGATTTGTAAGTTTTTGTTAAGTTAACAATAAAAATGTATTCTTAAAAAGTAGATACAACTGAAGAAATATAAAAAAAAATCATTTTCATTTTTGAATAGACGATACATTCACGGGCATACATAATTTAAAAAATACATATAGTAATTGTAATTAAAATGAAATTATTAAATACATTTTTCTAAACTTACAACTTCCTCCAAGGTTTAACTCTATATATACAGGGTGTTAATGAGCTTATGTCAAAAATTTAAAGGGATGAAAAAGGAGCAAAAACTGAGTTAACTGGTGTTACACACTTGTATCGGAAGTTTAAGGTCATAGAGAAAAAAGCTAATTAAAAATGTGTTTAAAACTGTTTTGAAACTGCTGAAATACATGTATTTTATCACGGTGACTACTTACAAAAAATTCTGTTACACTTTTTATGAGTTTGTAGGTTTCTTATGAAGCTGGACTGTATTCGAAAGCCAGTTTGTAATACATTGTTGTAGTGATTGCTGTGGTGTTTTTCAAGAGTACATTTAATAGCTGTATTTCCAAGTTTTCTTTTGAAAATGGCCCATTTATTTAGCAATCGCGAATATTATATGCTCATAATTTACGGCGAAGCAAACGAAAATGCCCACGAAGCTTGTCAATTGTACTGTACAAGATATCCTGAACGACGTGGCCCCGCACCGCCAACATTTGTTGCTGTAGCACAAATAGTTGTAGACACCGGTGAAGTACAACCGCGTCGAGCGTAGATCTCGTCAAAGAAGATCCGCATCGTAGCACCAGAAATATCGCACAGCAAGTAAATATTTCGCATCCTGTTGTGTGGCGGATATTATGAGAAGCTCAGTTGTACCCATTTCATATTCAACGTATTCAAAAGCTTACTTCTGAGGATTTTCCATTACATTTTTGCAAATGCTTCCTTCAGGAACATGCAAGAAATCCTCAATTTACAGTGCAAATACTTGTTACAGATGAGGCATGTTTCAATTGAAATGGCGTACGTAACTTCCACAACACTCACTACTGGATTACCGAAAATCCACGTGAAATACGTCATGGTGCCTTTCAGCGACAGCTTTTAGTGTACGCATGTGGGCCGGTATCGTTAATGACACTTTAATAGGACTTTTTGAATTGTCTAGACGCTTAGACAGTGCTTCGTATCTAGATTTTTTGCAAAATTAGCGGAGTTACTGAAAGATGTACCACTAAATGTTCAGAAAAATATGTGGTTACTGTATGATGGAACCCCCGCTCACTTTTTTCGAAGAGTGCTGGACTTTCTAAAAATTACTTTTCCCGATCGCCGGTTCTCACCCCTTTAGACTTCTTCTTTTTGTGGAAATATGTGAAGAAAAGTGTTGTGTATTCCACGGAAATTCGTGAAATCGACCAACTGCAACATCATATTGCGGAAGCTTGTAATATGATTTGAGAGGACATGGCAATGTTGCAACGTGTGCGAATGAATTGGATAAGTCGCGCTGAGGCTTGTGTGCAAGCAAATGGTGAAGGCATCGAACATCTTTTATGAAAATCAGCAGTTCTAAAAAGGTGGCAATGTTGAGGTAAGTCAAATTTTAAAATTACATTTTACTCAACACAAATCCGTGTATTTACCTTATTTTGACATAAAGGACATGTGACACCCTGTATATTTTTTCTAGTAATGGATAAATGATTAGTCATTTAAAAATCAATAGTTTACAGGAGAATATGACTGGTTAGTTTTGATCATTTATACGTTGTTTTCAGTTCAAAAATGATGTTTCTTTGAATAAGTCTTATGTTATGCTTATAACACATTTCTAAACTGTTTTTGTAATTTATAATTGCCTTCCCACATGCTGGTCTTTAATTTGAGAAATTTTAAATTTACTCTACACAAAATACTACCCTTGCTCATGTTTAAGGAAGAAAAATAATTCATGACAATTCAAAATATTCATTTTAATCGAATTATTATTATTAAAATATAGAGAAATATTGATTGTTTAAAATATTCAATAGTCATTTTCGAATGTGACCAGTCATTTATGGTCACTGATTAGCCATTCTTGATAAGTGACCGTCATCACAAATATTTTTTAGGAAATTTTCAGAATGCTAAAAAAATCTTTTTACCAAACATTTTTCAATTACTTGTAGTGAATAAATTATCACCTGTTTGCTTAATTGGTAATTTGATATATGAAATAATGATTACCATATATTAGATGAGAAACATAACTTACAAAGTATACATTTTTTAAGCATTAATTAACTTTCTTTAAACATATTTAACCTTGTTTTTAATTTCTTGTAACATAATGTAGGACGAGTAATGATAAGAGAAATATCTTGTAAAAGAACCAACAAATAATGGCAAAAAAGATCAATTGTATTAATGATGGGCATATCCTGCATATTTCTTTTAATTTGGACATTTGAAAGTACTGGAAAAATCAAGTCTACAGGTTTTTTTCCTGAGGTTTTAGAGACTCGGAAAGTGTTTAAAAAACAATTGTACAGTCTAAAAATTTAAGACATTCGATGTCACTCGTCTTATTACAGCAGTCAATGAAACAGAAGACATTGAAAAGTTGTAGTACAACTCGCCTACTTTTATTTCTAACATTTAAGATTTAACATTTAAATTTTAGTACTAAGTTAAAATTTGGTTTATGATTATTTATTGTTAATAATTATCTTGACACATGACTTGGCAAACTTACGTGCATGCACAAATGAATACCTCCAATGTGGACAGTGGTTCTAAAAATGTACACGTGGATGGATGAATTTAAAAACAATTCAGTCATTTAGATCACGAGTTATAACCGCAGTTAATAAATATAATGTACAATAATTTATATGCTTCTTTAAAAATCGAGCATGCAAAGCACCAATTTTCATATAGACAGAGCACAGCTTTACTGGTGGCACAAGTCCAAAGTAGGTTAGTTCTAACTTTACCTATTAGTAGCATGCTTAGAAATGCGTTACGAACCATATATCCTACCTTCGGAGTCGGGTACACGGAATCGACGAAGTAAAGAAACGAAGCGTTGCTTCAAATTATGTCTCGCATGGGGAAGTTTAGTACGAATGGGTTCGCTATCAGATAAATCAGCTACCTCTTCCTCACCTGAGCTGATTTCATCGTCGTCGTCACTGAAATCGTGTTCTCGGATTTTTTGGTCATGATCGACTGGCGTGGAACTGAGCTGTAATACCGTAAGCCTGGCTACGGGGCCAGAGACCTTGTTATCCTTACCGCTACTTTCCGGCAGCAATTCCAGTTCAATGTCCATCTGTCTCTGGAGGACCTAAAAATTCAAGAATGCAGTCGACGACTGTATGATAACCAAAAATTTACGATTTTGAATATAGTGTGGCCCATTAAGAACCAAAACATATCCCTAAATTTTTTGGAATGTACAACTTTAATGAATTTTTATATGTAGTGATCTTATAGATGTATTTATTAAACCAATTAGGAAGATCCAGTTAGTTATCCACGGCCAGTAACAATTTTTTTTATTAAAGATCTGGTTATGTAGCCTAAAGGATGTTCGGAAACCATCAGTATGTAATTTAAAGGGTGATTTTATTCATAAAAATAATAGTTCCTTACAATATAAGTTCCTTTTCAGAGAACTCAACATTAAGGAAGTTAATACAAAAATGAAATTTTTTCAATATTTATATTTCGCTGTAACTTTTCTTACAGTTAATCAGTTTGCTTCAAATTAGATACATTTATTATTGGTAACAAAAGTCCCAAAGGCTTATATGGCTCTTATTGACAATAAAATTGATTACAGCCATTTTCTTTCTGGTTTTTCAAAATATGAATAAACTTAATATGAAAGATCATAAAATCTTATAAATAATTGTCTCTTTCTGATAAAAAATTCATTTAATGCTTTGGGAAAGTGCATTGTGTCAGTTTTCCATTCAAATACAGATAATTATTATTTTTTAAATTCTCATTTTTATAAAATAAACCATATAAACTAAAATTAACTTGGCAGATTTTAATATTAACCCCCAAATAGCAGACACCTATGAGGAAGAATCTCAAAATATTTGGTGTATACGTTTCATTTTTATAACATACAAATATTAGAACCCCACAGTTAAATCCCATAAAAGCAAAATTGTCTGTTATTTAGAGACAACTAAATATATAGTAAAATAGAGGTTTTACTGTATATTCAAATCCTGCTTTTTTATACTGTAAAACAGATAGGTAAGATTTAACTGTTTTTACGAGTAAATATTAAATGTTTTTTTTTTTTCTTAGAAATGGTTAATGTTATCGAGAAAATCCTTTTGAAAGAATTTTTAAGGAACTTATTTTTATTTTGTTCAGTTTTTGAATAATCGCAAATAAGTGTTACTAAATTTGAAAAAAAAAAATTCTTAACCGAAAAGTTATTAACTTTGAGGTTATGTAATGGCGCCAATATCGAGTTTTCGTCAAACTGTCATAAGATCATTACTTGCACATAGCTTTCAAACACCTTGTAGGTATATACAGGGTCTCAAAGAATAACATGTACAACGGAAGACCACAGATTCGTAGACTCAAAATAAGCAGATCTAGACTAATTCACCTATATCCGAAATCGCTTCGTTTGGCCGCTAGATGGCCTCAAAGTTCGGGAAAATTTTTTGAACTTTGTAAATGACTCGAATACGTATTAATCGATATTGATTATTTTTGGGGTGTGGACTTTTGCTTTCAATCTACACATTTTAGCGTTATACAGTGTTTTTTTAAACCTACAACTTCTACAAAATTGTTGTATGGTGATAATATCTATACATAACGTTTTCCTCTTTCGGGCAATAATGACAACTATTTTTTATCAGATAGGTGACGTTTTTGTGCCTCTTGTAGAATTTTGATTAAATTAGCGGTTTGGTTACAAAAAAATATTTTTTAAATGTCTACATTATCATGCCACCCATATTATAATACTTAACAAAGTACTAGTAGGCACTGATTTTGTAGGTTGACTGTAATTTTAGTCTAATCTTTACGTCATTGTACCTACCAATTCGTAATGAGTATTTACTACGATTAGATATACCACATACGACGAATCACCACACATCAATTTTGTAGGAGTTGTAAGTTTTTAAAAAACACTCTGTATAATACCAAAATGTGTAGATCAAAAGCAAAAGATCACACTCCCAAAAAAATCAAAATCGATTAAGACTTATTCGAGTTATTTACAAAATTCATAAAATTTTCATGAACTTTGAGACCATCTAGCGGCCAAACGAAGAGATTTCAGATATAGGTGAATTAGCCTAAATCTGCCTATTTTGAGTCCATAAATCTGTGGTCTTCTGTTGTACACGTTATTCTGGGACACCCTGTATAATAAAACGCTTTCAAATCATGCACTCCCAAACATTTTATAAAACAATGTCCTGATTCTCAATAGGCCATCCAGCCAGCAATTTAAATCATCCATGATAATTTCTCACATTTGTAGGTTGACGAAAAATTAAAAATGTTTGAATAAAGCAATTCCTATGCCAGATGTTCATAGAATGAATGGGCCATACTCCCTTGAATTAAATTACTCCAATTTAGAATCAAGTTACTTCAGTATATAATTTTGCTTCCTTAAGATGTTAGTTAAGTCGCTAAGAATTATCTAAGCAGCTCCTTGTTTTTAGTTGGTAAAGACTCAGAACACGCAGGTGTTTTTTGAAAGATCACTTTATTTAATGTAATGAACAAAATTATTATATATCGCTTAAATACATAGCAACATTCAAAATTAACTTGATGTAAATCACTCAAAATTGAAAACTACCATTGCAGTATACACATTCATTTTTGGACAACCTGTATAAACCATTAGATATAAGATACTATAACCACAGCATTATGTAAACCAGCAAATTCAGAAGAGCAGAAATAATAAGAAGCCCATCGCAGGCCACACATCGTTTTGAGTTTGAATTCACCAGCTTTGTAATAAATAGACGTATTTAAAAATTTTTAAAATTTTACAGTTTGGAAATCACATTTGATAAAATTCAGAATGAGCGAAGACGGTGAAATGAAACAATGAGTCAGCTTTTACATGATCAAATAGTTCTTACAGTAATTTCTACAGATCCTCTGAAAACATAAATATGGCCCTGATCAGCGATTCTGCATCGAAAAACACAGAAATCATATGAAACCAAAGTGCTGACACAAAAGTGAAACTGTTGGTTTACATATGCTGCGGTTATAACTTCATCACATATGTACAACTCATATGATGTTTGTTGAGAAAGACTTCCAAGTCAGTTTCTTGGAATTAAGACACCTGAGGTAGAAAGATATTCTATCTCAACAAATATTGTACGGATTGTAACCTTGATGTCGAATGCAGATAATTCCAAGAAAGTGACACAGAGGTCTTCTTGGTATTCTATCACCACCAAGATCATACAGAATGTATTAGTAGTTAGAAAACATTAAATTCTGTGCCTCTTATTCACTTAAAATTATGAAGTTTCTGAGAAAACATAATTCTAATAGCACGTGTGTGTAGGCATATGATTTATTATGTATGCTTCACACTTTTTTCTAGTATAATCGTAAAAATGTATTCAGTTATATTTATTAAAAAAAATTAATGTTACTTTTTACCATGATTACTACGATTAATATGTTGTGTACTGTTAGTGATAGTGATTTATTTCACAATATACATCCTCGGCTTTCTAGACACCGATACAAACCTTACAATTTTAATAATAACAGTAGTCATTGTTTAAAAAATAATGTTCTCAGGTCAGGTAAAAAATAACAGTATAATAATTATGTTTATAATTTATTTATGTTAATAAAATATATATTTATGAGATAAAAACATATTTTATTTAACTGCAAATATTCATATATAATATAGTTAACCCAAGAGAGATTTTTTATATTTTGACTAAATATTTTATATCTACTATCGAAATAAATGAAATGGTCCCCTGAGTTTGGTAACCGATATTAGGAAAACGTAGGGGCAAAAAATGGACCATATATAGCCTCACTATTAGTCTATTTTTTGTTAAAATTTCAGTTAGTTTCGTTTTCCCATTTTTTAGTTATTGATGAAAATGTTGAAAAAATCACGATTTTCTTCTGCCTACAAAATTGATACCTCTCACTTTAACTCGTCGTAATTTTTTTGTTAATTAATAAAAAAATTACAAATTTTTACTGACGATAAGTCGAACTACCGTTTTTAGTACTATGAAGGTCATTTGTCTCAAAAGCTCTTCTTTTTTTTATTTTCAAGCAAAACAGAAGGGAGTGCTATCTCCGTAAATATTGCATTCTTTAAAAAAAGAAAAAAACTGACTCAAATAGTAAATAATTGTAAACAATAATCTGAAAAAATTTGTTAAAATAATACAGTTATAAAGGCTATACTGTATACCCTCCATCAGACTGTGAACTTAATTGACCATTCCAATACTGTTTTTAAGAATATTATATTCATAACTGTATTATTTTAACTAATTTTTTTCAGATTGTTGTTTACAGTTATCTACTACCTATGTCAGTTTTTTTATTTTTATAAAGAATGCAATATTTACGGAGAAAGAGGTCTCTTCTGTTTTGCTTAAAAATTAAAAAAAGAAGAGCTTTTGAGACAAATAAATAATTTTCACAGTACTAAAGACAATAGTTCGACTTATCGTCCGTAAAAATTTGGAATTTTTTTTCTCAATTAACAAAAAAATCACGACGACCTAAAGTGAGAGGTATCAATTTAGTAGGCAGAAAATCGTGATTTTTTCAACATTTTCATTAATAACTAAAAAATGGGATAACGAAACTAACTGAAATTTTAGCACATAATAGAGTAATAGTAAGGCTATATATACGGTCAATATTTCAAATTTTTTTACCCCTACGTTTTCTTAATATCGGTTTCCAAACTCAGGGGGATCTATTTCATTTATTTCGATAGTAGTCATTAACAATAACAATAAAAAAAACAATATATCATGAAACGTTATGTGATAAGAAATTTTAATATGTCAAATGCCAATATGTATCAAAATATATTTGGCTAAAATTACATCAGATAGTATTTTTTATAATATAAAAAAACACATTATTGGACATTATTTTATTTATCTTTTTTTTGCAACAGTCAATAGTAATTAAAATTTATTTATAGTATATGAAATTACTTCATTAGTTTAATATAAGGACGAGAATAACTTTAAATGTGGTAGTTAAATAAAAAATTTACGATTTACCAAGACGAAGTAAATATTTAAAAATGTTATATGAGTTCAAAGGGCTGATAGGTTAAATAAGATAACACAATACATTGTCGAGTAAACATTTTTGACAAAAACACAATTGGCACTGATTTTAATATTAATACTTCTAAGTATACACGGTAAAAAATTCAAATTTCACAATTTGTGTTATTTCACATATCGTGACTAAAGTAAATTTAAATACTTATGATATTTCTGAGGATAGGTCTGGTCCGTTTTAACAGAACAATACAAGTGTACCTACTGAGTTGATCGAGGGGTAGGTAGTACTTGACAAAACAAGAAAAGTACTTAATTATCATTTTGTATTGTTACTTATGAAGTAAATTTTTTTCCTTATCTCCATTACTTGTTGAATATCTTTTAGAATTTAAAATGATAGATGTGGATCCGTTTCATTACTTTATCTTTGTGTTTACATCTTTAGCGTCAAGAAAAATACTTCAATGATAACTATATTTTTATAATGTGGTTAGTAAAATATAACAAAATATTTTGTCGTTCCTTTTAGCTTAAAAACTTGGATTGTTATAATTTGTCTTCTAATTAACTTTTATCATTAATATAATCTTAGAATCAATATTGTCATAATAAAATACAATATAACTGTAACGTGAATTTATTATTGTTTGCTACAGATACCATTATATTGTTTACTCCTTCCGTTTATCTGTAAAACTGACATTTGTAGATAACATTCTCTTATCCATCCATAATTTTAGACAGGCTTTTAGATCATGATTTACCTTACAATAAAAGTTTTTCTTTATATAATGCAAATTTATCATTATTTATTGGATTCTAACAGCTTTCAGAAAAATTGATAGCATGAATTATTATTTTCTTTAGAATTGTAAATAGATATAGTATCCAAGTTGTTCTTATAAAACAGTATGTATTTTAAACTGTTTTCCTCTACATAATGGATAATAATAATGATCAACTTTTTCCAAATACTTCCTTGTTAATGTTTAAATTATTATGTAGTATTGCCAGCACATTTCACAATAAATGTTTCATTTATTTTTCACATACTAAGCGAGGTCCAAAATAACTTATTACATAAATAAAATTGGCTACACTTAACTTCTAAATGTATTTTAATATAATTGGCAATTTTCATTTTAAAGTGATGATAGAAGGCAACTATTTACTACAGACATTATGAATTTGTGTCAATACGCAACTGACGTTAACATATTGGCTATGAAAATATTTTTACGATCCATGTAAACAGATCTTCCGTAGCTTTTTCCATGGAATAAATTTTTGTGTAGGTGTGTAAACATTTAATTTTGTTGTATTGATATGTAAAAATTAAAGTTTTATGTAAAACAAAAATTCCATTAATTCCAAATTCTGTAAGTTATATTTAAAGTTTAATAAAAAGTTTCAACAAAATGAAAGACAATAATTTACGAAGCATTATGGTGTCTTATCTTTATTATTTGTCAATAAACCAGTAGTGAGCATGTTTAAGTCATAAATGATAACAGACTTATGACAGACGCATTGTTAAAAACATACCTAAATAAAAATTTTAAAGTCATAAAACAATGTGCAGAACTCAAAATATTTAAAGTATCTAAATATTTTGATTGATGGCCAATCAAAATATTTAACATAGGCAGATGGTTTCTGTTAAAATTGCAATCAATATATTATTTAAGTACAAATTTTAAAGAGAAAAAACACGTGCTATATTAAAGGAGGATACAATTGAGGATACATTACTTAATCGTTTAAAAAAAAAACATAAGTATGTAGCAAAAAAAAACGGATTGGATTACCCTTTATAAAATCTTATGAACGATATTACTCAAGCATTCTCCAAAATAAGTTTTTTTAAATTTTACCTGATCCATTCGAATGACGCCCTCGGCAAGAGTTTTGAATCCCAACATTGTGCGATTCTTATAACGTTTGCGCCTTTGCAATAAAATATGTAGTTTGTTTCCTTCTCTCTTCAAGAAATGTGGATACTGAAGACAAAATGTCACGTCCAGTGGTGTATCCAAAAGACCATTTTGTGGTAAAGTCAATTCGTTTGAACGAAGTGTGCGTTTGCTAGACTGCATTTTTACAGCTATAGATATAGAGGATAAATCGGATCCCAGAGGTTTTAATAACACTAATCTGGTTAAAGTTAAAGAACAAAGCCTAAAACCAAATACACTGTAATAATATATGTGTATGTATATTGTTCCTTTAACATAATAATGACATTGTTCATAAATAGTACACGTAATGGTAATGACTAAATGGGACTACTTAGTTGTTGTTTGTAAGTTATATTCATTCCTTTTCTCATATACCAATTAATTTTTAAAACAAATATCAAATGAAAGAACATCACTGTTTTCAAATAAGCCATATTCATTAATGATCAGTTCTTGCAGAATATAAAAAGCACTTGCTACATATCGTTATTGTAGTTGTAAAATTCAATTCTGTATACATTCACTATTATTATAAATATTTAGTTTTTAATATGTGCTATATAGAATTATAGGAACAGAAAATACAGTTTTATTTATATACAATTCCTATCAGAAATCAGTCAAGTGAAACATCATTTCGTAATAAAGTGAAAATAATTACCACAAAAATCAATAGTATTAAGAAATACTTTCCGAAGCATAAAAACTATGAATAATCAATTTTAATCAGATTCACTATAATAGCTCCTTATTGAATATATTATTTAGGTAATTAAAAAAAACAAATTGAATAGGTTTATTTTAAACTGATATTGTATTATATGAATTTAGAAAATAAATTTAAAGGAACACATTCCTTTTGTGAAAAAAATATCAATTCCTACAATTAGTCGAGAATGAAGATACTTACTAGAAAAAATTACATGATAATTTTTTTATTCGTCTAGTACAAAATATACATATATGCATTGCTAATGTAACAAAATTATTATACATATATGCATGTCACATTTGTTTATCTCCTTGAGAAGATTTTAAATGTGACTGAATTTTAACTAGTGCATGAAAGCAATAGTGTTTTGTTGTAAACAAAGAATATATAAATGTATGCAAATATTACAAATCCATTTCCTTCTGTTTTATTCAAATTTCAACATCAACTTCTAAGAAAAAAATATAGGTGTGATCTATTTGTGTTGATGCAGTTAAATATGTAAAGGAAAATATCTGTGGTATAAAAAATAATTTCTGTTTATGATTCACACATATACCTTTATATGTCTAATAATTCATGTTAAGAATTATTTCACCAATAACTTACCTTGGTATGCAATTAGAGGGTGTCCTATCAACCCAAGTGGCGTAAAGTCTCATTTTATTCGGCACTGAAGCCCCCGCCCCAGTAAGGGTTTTATTGGGTTTTTCACTCATTTTTAATGTAACTACACCTGTGTTGAGATGAATACCATTATCAAAGCATAAGTTTTATCCGAGTCGGTCCCGGCAAAACGATTTCTCACAACAAACATTACTTATCTGAACTTATTTAAGTTTACTGCATCACAACTGTCAAACAGACAAAGATCTTTCAGTTGTGGTTGACAGTCACAACGCAACAGCGTACCGTAAACTTAACCTTAAATTTTAATTAATTATTCTTTTAGTACCATCTACTGCAATCCTTTCAAGTTATGTTGATACATAGACAGATATCTCTAAATTTCGCCCTATCATAAAAACTCAAGAGATGGCACTAGCAGCAAAATAAAATTTTTATTTACTTTTTTTTGGCGACGCTGTCGCCGTTGTCGTAGGGTGCGAGACGTTGAATCTCGGATTCCTGTCGATTGTCGAATTCTAATCTGTAAATTCTGAAATTGTGCTGCTCTTGGGAATCCTGGAAAAATTGTAACACTTGGAAACCCTTTTTTTATTTTTTGCCGTCATAAAGAACTGTACAGAGTGAAGTGAACGGTGTTATAAATGGAGAATATTACCGAAAGTTCAGAAGCTGCAGTACAAAATATTGAAACTCCCAAATCGTCAACACCAGTTATTAATGAAGAAAAAGTTCCAGACAGTTCTGAAAATAGTCAAAAACCAAAACCTTCCAAAGCGAAAAAAAGAAAAAAGCCTAAGGATAGTACCGCACCCAGGATACCTCTTACCGGTAACTTAAAATTGAAATAATACAACTTCAAAAAATATTTTCGTAAATTTTTAGGTTATGTCAGGTATTTAAATGACAGAAGAGAATCTGTGCGTGCTGCAAATCCTAATTTATCATTTGCTGAAATAACGAAAATATTAGCTAGTGAATGGGGTAATCTACCCGCCGAAAAAAAGCAGCAGTATTTGGATGCAGCAGAACAAGATAGGGAAAGATATACAAGGGAATATAATGCTTACAAACAGACGGAAGCTTATAAGTTGTTCACACAACAGCAGAATGAGAAGAAAAGCAAGGAAAATAAGGATAAGGAAGAAGCAGTTAAAATTCCAACACCGGTATGTATAAATACAAATGATACCTATAGACATAATAATGTAGACATTAATGTAGTTACATGAGACAGATACACTGTTACAATTTTAGGTAGTAACTCATTCACAACCGGTAATATCAAAAGATCCTCAAGATATGGATTTTGGTAATTTTGACATACCAATTTTTACAGAAGAATTTTTAGACCACAATAAAACCAGAGATGCAGAGCTGCGACAGTTAAGAAAGATTAATACTGATTATGAACAACAAAATGCAATTTTGACCAAACATATAGAAAATATGAAGGGCGCTATTACCAAACTAGAAGCCGAAATTCTTCAACAGGAGAAGAATAATGCTTCGCTTCAGCAACATTTAAATCATTTGAGGAATACTTTAACGAACGGATTTGGGGGTGTTAACTTACCAGGTAATTTAAACATTAAAATCTTCAAAATGTGTGTGTTGCAGTCAAACTATTTGGACTGTGATGCACATCCTATTTTACACAATCCTGTAGTTAATCTACATTGTGGTTTGTAGGTATTAAGGAGGTCGCTACTTTGCAAAATATTGACAATTATATGACCAACTTGCATTCCATTTTGCTGGAAAACAGTAGTCACGACACTAATTTGCTACAGACTGTTCGTGACATTGTGGGGAAACTGGAATTCAATGGATGACAAGGGTGCAGGACTTCCAAGCGAAAGAGGAAGATCAAAAAGTACTCCTAAATTTATTATTGTGAATATATCAACCGGCAGTTCTACTTTTTATTGCAAATATCATTATTGATGTAACAGTTTGATTTAGTGCTTTTGTTGAGATTATGGTATTTCGTTGTATACATTGAGGAATGTAATTTTAGAAAGTAATATTTAAATTTGTAATAAATTATTTTACATTAGCGAGTTTGATCTCTTTTCATTCTATGAGCGGAATTTTACTCGGAAATTATTTTTTAAGTGAAAAACTTCTTTTAAAAATAAAACTACATTTATAATTTAAATCAGTGGCGGGCTGGTGTGACAGGGCTCTGCCTGAAATTTTCATAGTAAAATATTTAATTTCAAATTTAGTTTTCAATATTATCGAGATAATTTAATAGATTAGCCTTATGAAACACATTAAAAAAAAAATGTTATACTTGTAATGTGCAGTCAATTTAATTCGCCCCTAAATCTGTAAAGTGTTTACAGTGGTGGCCACGGTTACCGTTGCTTAGCAATGAAAGACGGAGTGGTAGTAGCACATATTTACTATGCAGTTTGAGCTCTGTTTAGTCTGCCCATAACCGGGCACTACCACTGTACACAATTCACCACTTATTTATCTTATTAAATGTAATTTGTTTGCACGTGGTGTAACATTTTGTTACCTACATATGGTTTCTTGTTTTTAAGAGATTGTAAAAGTTTAAATTAGATTGTAAAGATGGACTAACAGCACTTGCAATGCTATCCGTGGAAAAATCAATGATGCGAGAAATACCAAACTTTAAAGAAAAGGTACATAATAGAAAAATTTATTTCGAACAAAAGCAAAACGATGGACATTTGCTATAGAAACAATGTTGAGCACATTTTCCCTGTATTTAAATAGTACTTAAGTAAAACTACCCCATTATATTTGATTTTTTTTTTCATGTTTTGTACCTAAATTTTTCTGGGCGGTATGCAAATCAAGATCCACCACTGATTTAAATACAGTGATAAATAAACTGGAACACATCACGAAAAATTTCAAAGTTGATTTTGGTGCTCTTTATTGCAGGTTTATTTTGCTTACTAACAATGCTAAGGTAAGAAGATATTTTGATAAAAATTTCGGTTTTTCAATTTTTTTTTATCGATGTTACTGTCACGTCTAAGTTTTTAAATGTACAATAAACTGGTACATATGAACTGGTCCACTTTAACTTTTATTTAAATATTTGCGGTAAAAATGTGAGAACCTCAAAAAATTTTTTTTTTCCATTTTAATCATTATTATGAAGTGTTTAAGCTCAAAAATCGTGACCCTTTAATTTTTTTCAAAAGTTTGTTTGAAACAAATAGATCGAGTTAGATCGAGATGAAATTTCACAGGGTTCTTCTGGGTATATCGAACTGTAAAAGTCATGCTTAACATTAGTCATTTCGTGAATATTTCTAATTTAACCGTCAATTTTCTAAAAAAACATAAATTACCCTTTTTCCCTGTTTTTTTTTTAATTCGTGTAAAAGATGAAAAAAAAGTTCCTAAAAGTTGCGGCACCATGTTATAGGACATTTATTACAGTTTTCGAAACTGCTCTTCAATTCTCTGTACGACCATTTGTCGCCGAGATATCGATGATTGAAGACAAAAGGATCCTTTTCCATTAAAAGTCTGATATTTCCATAAATAATGGTCGTATCGAAATTAAAAAAAAAAGGAAATTAAAGCTGAATAAACAAGCTATCTGATTGATGCAATGGCTTAGCTGAACAAAATTTTTCCAAGTCTGTGAACTCGACAAAAAAATTTGCAAAATTTTTTTGTCGCGCTATTAGAATTGTATGATAACCGTAGCTCCTAAAAATTTTCGATCGAAAGATCTAAAAACTAGAATCTTAGAGCTTCAAAATGCTTTTTTTTAATTCTCGATACGACTATTTTTCACTTAAATACAGTCTGTCAAAAATCACGGAAAAATTTCGGAAATTCTTTTGACCCTTTAATTGTTTGCATTAGTGTAGTATAATTGTCTATATTTTGCGTATTGTTTGAGTTTTGCTAACTGCAATTCCTTTATTTAGCAGAAATGCCTAAAATAATAATTATACAGATGGTACTGCCCAATACTGCTCCTAATATTTAAAATTTTATGAAAATTCTAACCAACATTTTGATTATTAACATTGTGATATCATGTGTAGGTTATGTATTAAAATAAAGTTTTTGGGGTACCTAGTTCATCAGAGCTTGGAATCTGTTTTTTTTTTTAATTTCTCAAAGGCACATAAAGTGTTCCTTAGGCTCCTGTAAACTCATCTGCAAATATTAAACTCGAACTCTTTAGTGTCACTTTATATCAATTTTAATATTTTTTCGGGTATATTTTAGAGTTGAAATTTTTTATTTCATAAATGCATAGTGTTTCTTAGTATTCAATGAATTATTCTACAAAATATCAAACATTTTCACGACATTTCATCACCTTAAAATCTAAATAATTTGAATTCGGTGCACATGAAATAATATTTATTGCGAATTTGATTACACTTTTGTGAACTATGAGTGTTGAAAATATGAATTCTTTTGGATTACCTCAAACGGTGCATGCAATATTTATTTCTGAAAAGTTTTTGGACTGGTAAAGTTAAATAAAATAAATTTATGAAATAATTTGTAAAATATTAAACTATACAGTTGTTGCTGTAGGTAAGTTGGATCTGAATCATCTTATTTTGATTACAGGATTTCTTTAAACGTTGTTTTATTCATAAAATAGATATCCTTTTAAAAATTGTATTTTTCTGTATTATACGTACCTACCTAATTCTTTCGATGCTGTCGGGCTTATTTTTATCGTGTCTATAAGTAGGTGTACTTCATTTATATTTAATATTTTATTAGTGAGTATACTTAAATCGCAATGAACATAGAATTTTTATTGCAAGGTTGTAATAGTAGGTACTTTAAGCAATATTTCTACAAGTTCTCTAGACCTGTGACAATAATTATCAACTGCAACCATAGGCGTCGCTAAACCGGATTCTAAAAGAGGCTAAATTTAAAATATCAGCATAATGCCCTTTTACGTCTAAGGTATTTGAGTTAATAGTATCTACATTGCCTCAAAATCAGCGACCCATTCCGACCATCTAACATACAGTGATGAAGAAATGATAGACTAATATAATACTAGAGTCGCATTATAAATTAAAAAATAAGAAAACATATATGTCACAAATACTTTTAGATATACCCAAACATTTCATACTGGTCACTTGTTATTGACATTGTTAACGAAAAGCAATTAAATTTTCATTTTCGTTGCCAAAAACTCATGCAGTTTACAAAGTGCACTATAGCGATAACAAGAATTATTGATAAATTATTGCACTGCAGCATGCAAAGAACTTTTCATACAATAAAATTTTGCCTCAGGAAAGACAAGCCCGTAAACTCTGGACACTATGTGATACCATTTAACTGACTAACTATTCTAGTAAACAGCTAGGATCATGGAACCACCAGGCATATACCGGTTTCGAACTTATTTGTACTCATAAATATACCACAGGTAACCTATCGATAAATGATATACAGATAGTTGATTTTTACAAGCATGGAGAGAGTACGAGTGAGATATGTGATGTAACAGGTCTGGCTTTCATAATACCTGCGAAATAGTAGGTTGCTCTCCGCCAGTTAGCCCGTATTGAGAGGCTAGGCATTGATTAGCAGTGAAATTGCACCTTCTGGCCATTGATTTTTGTTCTACGGCACTACGGCCAGTCGAAGGGTATATTTATATCAATTGCCAATTATCGATAGAAAATTGGTATCTGTATCTATATTTTATAACGTCATATGAAAACAAAGTTTAAACCTGAAATGTAAGATTATTGACTACGAACCTTGGAACAAAACATATTTTTCATTTTTATAACATAACATGACAAATTATTCGAACTTTCAACTACACTTTGTGCCTTTTAACTATATTCCTCAAGTACTAGGGGAGTATGTCGTTGGGGTGGTCACCCAGGCTCAAAAAGTTGGTGTCTAGGTCTTTTGTGTTTGTCGGTCACGTCGGGTACGTAGTCAACGGCTTGCCTGAGGAGGGATTTTTGTATCCATTCATTATTAAGTATTAATAATACACCTACACGTATTGAAAATGCGAAATTCGTTAAAAACAGTACATTTTTAAATACCTACATACTATTTACGACAACTGTGTTGTATAACTGCCTTTTATAGGACAATATATTTGTTATCAATTTGATAAATAATATCGAGTGTCTCCAAATAACAAAATAGTGCTAGTAAATTTTTTTTATAGAGCAATTACGGTCGCTCTCATAAGATCTTATTTATATTACTTGAAATGATAGAAGCAATAATTAGGTAATTAATAGAATGTTAAAGCTTAATTCCGAAAACGTGTACTATTAGAACATCGTCCAACTCGGGCAATTAATAAGAATTGATATTATCATACAGGGTGTTTCAAAAACAATTTGGACTTGTATACATATATTTATTAAGTAAAAATTTTAATAATATAGGAATACTTTCAAAAAATATAATTTCATTTGTTTGCACATATTCTTTACATATTTCTCAATCTCATATTATTACATATTCACATTCAATTGATATTATACGCAGTATTATGTTTTACGTTCATTTTCTGGTCAAAACAATATATAATCCTGAAGTGTTAAAAAGAGATTATTAGTTTCCCATTAAGTCTATATCTAATACACCATATTGCTCTTTCTACTAGAAATAGAGTAACAATAAGATAAAGAAGTTTCTTACAAGTTTTGTCCTTATAAATTGTTACTTATATGTCTCTAAAGATAGAAAAAACAGGAGGTGGTACGTACTTTTTAAAACGCCTTATACAAGTGAATTAAGCAATTGTCGATAATACTACCACCTCGAATGTGGGCTTTATTGTTTTATTTAATTCAATTCAATTCAGTTTTAGTGATAGTCTTAAAATCGGAACAATAATAAAAATTAAACACTTCAGTCAAATCAAATGTGTACTCTCACTATTTAAAAATATGTTTATAGTCACAAAAGCGTCAATGTCAATGCTATAGTACAGTTTGAAAAATAGTCACACTTGCATTGCATGAAATGTACGTAATTAAAGATACACCTTAATTAATATGTATAACATCGCCTTCAACTACATATTTTATCATATATAATAATGACATTTTTTTCGTCCACCCGTAGTACAATTGGAAATAAGATACGAGTTGTATTATGCATGCAGTAAATGGTAACAAACAGAACAAACTAGTAGTGCACTTATCTTCAAAGTTATTGCAATGTTAGTTAATTGCGTACAATCATATAAATTTATGCAGAATGGATCAAGAAGACCTGTTGGTACTCTACTTGGTAGAGCTAACAGAGATTACAAATATAATCATTTTGCGAATATCAGGTACTTTTCAGTAAAAATAAATTAACTGAATACCGAGAAGTGCAAAAATAATGGTAGGTGATAACTATAAAAATGCGAAGAAAAATAGTTTCTGGCAGGATAGATGAAGAGCATAAATGAATAAGAAATTTTGAACATTGAATATTGAATAAAAACAATTTATCTCTTGGATACGTAATGAAATATTTTTTTAATTTGTAGTTCGCAGGTTGCTATTCCACAACCAATGGCTGTGCCATTTTTCAAGGATAAGGAAAGTGAATTCATTGGTTATCTTCCAAAGGTGCTGAAATCTTTGACTCCAAAGAAAACAAAGTCCGAATTGGCGCCTGCGGCACAGAAATTAGTTAATCTTCTTGAATACAATGTACCCATTGGAGAAAAAATCAAAGGTGTTACGACAGTAGTTTCCTATAAAATGCTAGAGAAAACGGAAAATCTTACAGAAGAAAATGTAGAATTGGCCAATATTTTGGGATGGTGTGCAGAATTTGTGAGTTTTATAAATAGTTTTTTTTTATATGTGAATTCAACGATTATTTGTCAGCGAATGTTGTGTATTTGCTTTAGCAGATTATTCAGAAATATCCCACAAGGCAACAATGGCGACAGACAATAACAGTGTGCATTGGTTGAGGATATTATTGCGATTTTTTTTACATATTGACGATAACTTTATCCCAATATCTTGATCACTGTAAAATAGTACAGTAGCGTGATATTATAATAATTATTATAGCAGTGATGGATACTACTATCGAATAGAACTTTCGAAATATTCGAATTATTTGATTGTCAAAAAAATATTCGAATAGTAACGGTTAAAATATTACCGATTTTGTCGAATTATATCAATTATCGGCCATTAATATTGATGCGCCAAGATCTAGGGAATTTTCGTTACCAGTACCAATCGTGCAACGTTAGGTTTTCTACGGCTGTAGGTCACGAGGATTATAAACATTTATGAAGACTATACATACGGTGGGATATCCTGAGGATATCCTGATTTATAACATAAGTCGAACGTCTTAAGGCTAGACATAGACAGAACTTTACATCCCTGGGACACATAGGTATATCCCACCAGATATCCTGAGGATATCCTTAGAACATGTTTCTGCTATTTGGTTACGCTAGCAAAATATTTGATGGTGAATCATTCCACGAAATATTCGCATAGGTTACCTACGTTACTTAGAAATATTTCTTTAATTCATGGACAGTTTTATTAGCCTTATTTTAATGGCAACGAAATACAGGACGAAAATGTGAGTTTTTTCGAAAAGAATTATTATACAACAACCGTTGCTTTCGAGTTAAATACGTGGTCAAAATTTTGGCACTTATTTCTGGGACAGTCTGCATTATATACGCATTTTTGAGTCCCTAAAGTGCATAGCAGATTCTCAGAACTTTGATTTGATTTTCAATTTTAAATAAATATATCTATTAAAAATTAATATTTTAAATGTACAAATTATTTTACTCGTACTTACACATTGTTTTAATAAAATGTAATGATTAGGTACTACAGATTTGTTACAACTTTATTAAATTTTTATTAAACATACAAAATGTTGCATTTATAAAAAAATAAGTTAAATGCTTCATTGTTACAAAATCAGCATACAGTTGTTGGGGAAGAAGAGCATATGATAGCACTTTAATATACATGCAAAAAAACTAGAAGAAAAACTATCAATATCAGGAATTTAAAAAAAAAACTAATACATGGAAAGAACAAATTAACAAAAGACAAATAAGTGTAGATAAATTCATCAATTTTTTTATGACTAAACAACCAAAAGAAACAAAATATCAGTCCTCTATAACTCAAAAAATAATATTGAAACTAAATTTTAACGTGAACTTTAACCAAATGTCGACATAAAAGCAAACTAAAACAGTGAGTTTAGAAAATAATTACATATTTTAAATTAAAATAAAATAGTCTGACGAGTTTATATAATATTGCTTCTGAACCTTCTGATTCCAGAGCAACATGCTCTTGGTCATCCTAAAGATATTCAAAATATATATTTTCTTCTAAAAGCGGAGATGGTTTGATGATTTTATTTCTTAAAATTATTTATAAAGGTACATTTTATATTAAGTATATAATAACTTTTATATTGACAAGCAAAGCGACTAGAAGTCATTATATCATGTATTGTAAGAAAATTTCAATTATTCGTAAATTTCTATATTTTTCTCCCCATATTTCCTGAAATGACCTCTGGCAGAGACCCTTTGAAATAGGCCCCTTGGTGTATCGGACCCCGACGATCGCGGGCCTGGCTGTTGTCATCACTAAAAAAAGTTATCTGTATTTTATTGTTTCAATTTCTAAAATAAAATTATTTGTTCAATATTTTTGGCCGATTAAAATATAGTGAAATATAAACTACAAAGTATAACATATGTCATACCTCTATTTAAATGTCACTTACTGACACAAAGTGACCTACTGATATACTGTAGGTGCTATGAAAGCATGACTAGTACCGTAGGAATAAACTTTATAATTAATGATATAGTTTGAAAAAACTACTCTACGGTCGGTATTGAATTACACCCCCAATATCCAGTAGATAGTCAAGATAATTTATCAGGAGAGTAACTGGTCTCGAACTTACAAATGCTCGTCAGTATGCCAGGTGAAACAACAGATATAATCTACAAAGTATACTTACGTACCTATTATATGTTATATCTGTCCTCAAATCCTAAAAGATTTTGGTCCCATATTAATTCAAGATCTAATTCTATCTCTATTTCATCTTGTAGATATTCTTTATATGTAATAATCAAAATCTCCTTACCAACAAGGATTTATGAGTGGTCCTACCTCAAATCTAGTTGAGAAAACCCATTTTATTGCTGAAGCTTTGGATGCAGGAAGTCAGGTTGATGTTGTGTATAGTGATTTTTCTAAAGCTTTCGATCGGCTTGATCATAATCTATACATACAACATATACATATACAACATTGAAATTGGAGTCATATGGTATATACCCTGCTCTATTATCTCTGTTTAAATCTTATTTTAGTAATAGGTACCAATTTGTGGAGTATAGAGGCTTTCAATCATGTAAATTCCATCAATTTTCTGGAGTTCCACAAGGGTCAATCCTGGGACCACTATTATTTATTATTTTTATTAATGACAACCTGTTAATGACTTAAGTTGGTCTTGGAAGTTAAATCTTCTACTGATTGTACTACATTACAAGATAATCTTGATATATTACACAATTGGTGTTCATGTAATGAATCTACCTAAGAATGTAAAATTATGTCTTATACAGTCGACCCAAAACTAATCTAGATTTTGATATAAAATTGGTGAATCTTTTTTAAATAGAGTTAGGCAATTTACTGATCTTGGTGTTACATTTGATACTAGATTATCATTTGACGAGCACATTAGTTTAGTAACCAAATCTGCTTATAAGAATTTAGGCTTTATTTTGCGTAATTCTAAGGACTCTCAGAACGAATGTAGCATTTGCGCATTGCAAACTTGAATATGCATCGGTTGTTTGAAGTCCCATTATTTATAATGTTTATAATATTCAATTAGAGAAAGTACAACGGAGATTTTTAAAGACTAGGTATTCATTTTATTAGTTATGGATTTTATCCTCCTCGTGGTACACCTCAAGATTTATTGCTTTCTTATTTTAATTTTAATAGCCTCTGTCGTAGGCAGAAATAACACTTTAAATGCAGACTTGTTAGGATTTTATACCATGTTCCTAGACTTAATTCTAGATTTCACTCTGCTTTATAATTACCTACACCTCGTACCAATTTACTAATAGCATCACCCTTATATCAAATGATTTCCAATTACCAGAAGTATGAAGGTCGACTTGATTTTTTTTTATTCATGAATACATAAAAAAATTATTTGTCTAACAACTGCAATCCTTATCTTTTATATGTTAGTTAGCTAATTTGTTTTGTTTGTCTGTTATTGTTTATACTTAAATTCTTTGTCTGTATTTTATATTTTGATTGCTCTATTTTATGTAGTACATATTTATATTTTTATATTTAATGTTAGTTTGTCTTTTTCTTTAAAATTTAGTTAAGGTTTTCTATTTTACCTTATCCTGTAATTGGGACTTTGCCCCGTTGGATATTGTAACTTCTAAATACCTAAATAAATAAGCAAATAAATATCTTTAAATGTCATTTCTACTATAAAGATATGTCATAATATGCTTTGTAGGTTATATCTCACTAATACTCAAAATTTGTTTGTCGATAGACATCCAAAGATAGAATTCTTTATGTTCTACATTCAAATTTCTCTCGAAAAATTCGGAATAGGGAAAATATTTTCTATAAGTGTACAGTACAACGAAAGCGAACATTTGATCACGTTTTGTTGTAGTTAGAGGCAGCTGACACAATGGCAGAAGATATAATAAACAATTCAGAGACACGAAGAAACGTACCTTGTTGGTTCAGATTGCCAATTTACGCACAGACTGCTTCTTTGGATGTATTAACGGTGGATATTTGTACATTCAATTTATTAAAAATCTACTTCTCAAAACATCCCTTCTATACCCATATGATACATTTCTTCCGTACTGTGTTTAATAGAACCGCCGCTGGAAGAATTCTGGATTCTCAGCAACGTAAAGTTGACCAACTAAATATAGACGAGTTCCATAGATTAACTGAATACAAAACCGGTTACGATGTTTTTCATATTGGCGTTACTTTGGGCATGTATCTTTCCAGAATATACGACCCTGGGTTACATACACAAGTTACGCCTTTGTTAATGGATATGGGCAGGTATTTTCAAATACGGGTAAGACTGTCAGACACTTGTACCATTAATATGTATCTATTATACATTTTTTTTAGAAATACGTACAGGGTTCCCTTGGGAATGCTACCATGACAGAAAATCTTAGTAAAGATATTGGTGAAGGAAAATGTAGCTGGTTAGTCGCAACAGCTTTACAAAAATCTAATCCTTTTCAGAGGAAGATAATAGAAAAAAACTATGGTAGGAGGGAAGATGAAGCAATTGAAGAAGTTCTAAATTTGTATAAAAGTCTGGACATGTCTGCGGAGTTCTGTGCATACGAGGAAGACAGCTATAAGACACTTTGTATTAATATCGATAAGTTAGAAAATATTCCCATCCGTAACTTACTTAGTATGATTGTCAAACAGTTATATAATCGTTAACAAAATAAAGCAACATGTATTTTGGTTCCATGTAAAAATTGTACTTTTAAATCTTTAAAGAGATCTAATCAAAACACACTAAAATATTGATATGAAAAATATAGTGTACTAGCGGCCCGTCCCGGCTTCGCACGGGTGGACATTTATTTTAAACATTTTGGGATATAAAAAATATAGCCTATGTTACTCAGGAATAATGTAGCATTCTAATGGTGAAATAATTATCGAAATCCGTCCAGTAGTTTGTGAGTTTATTCCTAACAAACATACATACATACAAAAATACAAATCTTTCCTCTTTATAATATTAGTATAGATTAAGTATTAAGGTCAGTAAGTGTTCTTTACTGGTTGAGGATATGACCAAAACCAGAAAGGTGCAATGACTGCAGTACCTACTTATTACGTTTTTTTTGCGTGTTCAAATAGGTATTGAACAAATTTAATTAAAATTATTAAACATTATTTAAATTTAAAAATTAACTCTCATAAATGTGTATGTAATATATCTAGACTAGGCGGTATCTGTTTTGGTTTGGGTGAATCGTATATCCACGGAGATTTTTGGCTTTTTGGCTTTCAAATATCACTAGAAATGAAAATTTTTCTATGCGCATAAAAAAAAACGTGTTCTTAATTTTTGGCGGCACAATATGTTAAAAAAATTCGAAAAATGTCATATTTTTCTTCCTATTTAATTATGTATCTTTTCAAGAGTTGAATTAAATTTTACAAAATCTGACTATGTAGTTACAAATCGAATGAATTATGATTATTATTGTAAAAATCGAGGGGTTAAAAAACATTAATTTTTAGGGAATTTTTTTGGGGTCTTTAAGTTGGGTATAGGACCTTCATACTTGGCTCAAGAAAAGTTCCTGTTATGAAGAATCATCACACTAAATTTTATCAAAATCGGTTAAATAGATTTTTCATAATAATTTTGCAATTCAGATTTTTTTTAAAAATTTGCAAATTTTCAAAATTTTCATTTCTAGTGATATTTGAAAGTTAAAAAGCCAAAAATCTCCGTGGATATACGATTCACCCAAATATGGACTCTTTGAAGCAGATACCGTCTGGACTAATCACCGATAAAAATTCTTTAAAAAATCTCCTCTAAACTAAACTATACTTAGTAGGCGCACGTCAGTTTAAAATGTTTCCTGTCATTACAATTATTAAGTATTGTTGAAAGTGCGAGTATAAAATATACCCACATAATATGAGTCGTTTTAGGCAAATATCGACTGAACAAATTGGAAAAAACAGAAAAATCAATTCCACAATCTACAGAAAACACTAAATCGTCGATATGGAGACAATTTATGTAGTTTTGTCAAATTTGAAATTACGAACTGTCAGAAATAACTCCATTAGAAATTATAGCGGATAGAGAAAGAGACAATTTGTAGAGAATCGAAATACGAATAAAACTCGAGGACGATCGATACGATCGGATAATTAGAAAAGAAGAAAACTCGGAAAAATCGTAAAATTTAGCGTTTTTTAAAAAATCCATTAGTACTTCGTCATTTTTTAAGATCTAGAGCTGACTCTGTGCACAAAAGTAATGAATTATGTATTTTAAGTGTGCGCAAAGCAGGCGCTGTCAGACCATTAGTTTTGGCACAATTGCAATATGAATTTTTTGGTGCACTATTTTGCTTCTGAATGCGTTGGAGGTGGTCCGATTTTAACTTTTCAGTCGGATTTTATTCTAATTAATGATGCGAAATAGGTGAAAAATTCCGCCAAACATGCTCGAAACCGGCCGAACGCGCGTACGCGGTCGAGTAATGGGAGATCGGGAGATGAGGGGCAGTGGATATACAGGGTGGGTCATTAGTGTGAGAAAGTAAAATAACTTCCTTGTTAATCGTAATACAGAACAAAAGTTTATATAAAAGTTGTATAGAATCAAAAAACCTAATGGACAAAATTAATTTGAAAGATACAGTGCGATGAGTAAAAACGGGACACGCCAAATATTACATTTTTTAAATGGCATACCCTGTATATTTTTAAACATGGATTTCTGAGAAAATTCTATATATGGCAATATAAACAGTTTAACATTTTACTGCGGGGTTGCCAAGTTATGTAGTTTTGGAAAAACATTACTTCGAAGAAGTTGTATTAACTTTCAACTAACTTGGCAACCCCACACTAAAATGATAAACTGTTTATATTGCCATATATAAAATTTTCTCAGAAATCCATATGTTAAAAAATATATAGGATGTTCCATATAAAAAATGTAAGATTTCGCGTGTCCCGTTTTTACTCATCGCCCTGTATGTTTCAAATTAATTTTGTAGTTTAGGTTTCTTGATTCTGTACAACTTTTATATAAACTTTTTTTCTGTATTATGAACGACAAGAGAGTTATTTTACTTTCTCAGACTAATGGCCCACCCTGTATAGGTACCTATACAATTTTGATTTTTGAAACCTGTGGACATTCATTAGTTCCTGCATTTTTTGTGACATTTACACGAAATCTTGACATCAAACGTGAATTTGAAAGTACAAAAATGTACTATTCTGTTCCAAAGAATACATATTTAGGTGTCTTTGTATACCGTTAAGGACATTTTCTTACATTTTGTAAGTTGTTTATGAACGAATTTACAATAAAAACTCTACTATAACTAACAATGTTCAAAATTGTACAATAATATTGCACATTGCTTAAAATTGTCGAATCCCTCAACTTATTCCGGACACACATTCTGAATGGCACGGTGGGTGGCGTTCGTCCTCTGTAACTGATCAATTTTCAAACAAGATTTTACATGGAAATCATATAAATTGTACGGTCACAGAAAGTGATATCGCAGCCGATAGTGTCATTACAAAATGTGCAGCAACTATAGCATCATCAGAAGAGAACGTTGTTTTAAACCCGAATTCTATTGCTCCAATAAATTTTAATAATTATCCAAATTGTAATTTTAATTTTGTCTTTTAAAAAAATTGATTTTTAAAATTCTACATTATTTATTAGATTATTTACCGCCTCCTGATCTGTAAGTAATCACTTACCGATCGCTAATTTGTCTCAACAAATTTAGTAAAGGTGTCAAATTACTTGAGCGAGCAAAAATATGTATTTTTTTAAATATGTAATCATAGGCTACATACTCATAAGGCAAAGGTTATGTTTTTTCCCACATATCTGGATTGAAACCTAAAGAATAAATTTGTATTTTCTTTTGAAGTGCAGTATTTGTTGTGAAAACAATATTATTTGAATACTACTATGGAATAACGTATCGTATACTTAATATCGTAAATTATGGATTTTTTTATTACTCAATTGAGTCAAATTTTTTGAAACAAATACAGATAAAAGTATAAGGTCTTTATACAAATTTGGAGAAGCTTTATTAATAAATATTTCGAAACTATAAAAATTAATAATAAAAATTGTTAAGAACTTCTGGAATCGTCTCCCAATCACATATTATTTAAAAGATGAATATTTTTTTATCCTGCTTTTTGTAGTAAACAGAAAAATTGAATGTGCAGTTTTAGGTAATCATCAGTTCTGCTTTAATTCTCAATACAGAAACACATGCCTTTTATTGTGAAAATGAATTCACTATTCATTTTCACAATAAGCAAAACGATTTATTTTTCTAAATTCTTAAAATGTCTGCCTTTGTTGTGTGGTGTACATTAATAAGTACGAATATATACTTATACTAAAATGGCTGATCAATAAAATGAATTAATGGACATGGCAGTAGCCTATGGAAATGCTGATGAAAACTGCAACTTAGTAGTTCAAATTTATATACAGCAATTTCCAAAAAGATATATACCAATACTTATAAACATAGGCAGAACTTACGGTGAAGTTAGCAGTTCCAAAAAAGTTTTCATTGTATCATGTGATTAGATCAGTAGGTATCAAAAAAATATATACAATATTCATAAAAACTATTTACTCTTCAAATGTTTTTTTTTCAACTTTGTGAATACCCTGTACAGAGAAAGAGTAAAAACAGAAACATATTTGCTTTAATACTAGCTAATACACAGTGCAGACAATTTTATTGATTTTATAAAGCCACAGTAGTTAACAGTTTCTTCTGCTACAAATTATTTTGTAAAAAATCCAGAATTTTTATTTTTGTTTACAGATAACACAAATCACCAGTTTCATGCTTACTTCTTTGAAATTCATAATGAACAAGGAATGCTTCGTTTGGTACCGGTCAGCTTTAAGGAAACTAGATATCAAATTTCATAATCATTTATTTACGTAGCAAATATATAATTATTGTCTCTCTTATACAAACAAAATACTACTTTACTTTTACAAAAAACAAACACAGTATACCCAACAATGAAATCTACATATAATATTGATATTATTGTTTACTATCAATATGCAGCTATTACCACTACATTTATTTCCTAATGATCTTTAAAGTTTGATTATCTAAACCTATTAATATCTCATAACCAAATCGGGAATCTAGCGCTTCAACCAATATTTTCATAGCGCTCTTCATTCCGTTGTAGTTCATTTTATAGAAAATTTCTCTGGTTGTAATGTAGCACAGCCTATTTGTTATGTTCTTTTTTATCAATTCCCTGATATAATCAGCCAAATGGGTTTGTAGTTTTCGTTCATCTGGCCCAAGAATAAGATCTGGATGCGTCTTTCTGTAAACTCTATATTGGTGCAATCGCAATTCGTTTTCTACCGCTTCGAAAACCGTCACGTATTCTATTTTCTTCTCTTGCTGTTTGGTGGCGAGATATTGTGCTTTCACGGCATCCCTGTCTTTCATCATCTGTTGTATGTAACATGGTAATTCCGGATATCTCAAGCGAATTCTCCTGATTTTTTCCACTATTTCTTGATTGTCCTGTTGAGGAGGTATATTCTCTTTTGCATCTTGCTCTTCCATCCTAACCTGTACAGTGAAATGGAAGGGTATAGTCAGGTAATATACGCTAGTATGAGTCAGGTAAAAGATATATTTATAGACTAAAAGCTTAAGATTGTCTTATGGTGAAATTTCCCATTATTCTTAATTGCAATTTAATGCATTTTAAATGAAAAGTTCATGGCTAAATAGTAAATGTGCCAATTGTTCAACTAGGTTTGTTCAGTTTGTACCAAGGATACTTTAAATATATAATTAGTAAATAATAATATAAAAATATACGAAGAAAAATTCTTGTTTTGTCTTTTTCATTATTTATTTTTTTTCTTTTCATAGTACCTACTTATATCTAATTCAGGAAATAGGTAAAGAATTTAATAAAAAAAGCTTTAATTACATATTTTTAAAGTAACTCGGATCATTTTTTACCACATCCGTTAGGCCTCATGTTAAATTTTAATAAAACCAGCAGTAACATTTATGTTCGTAACCTTTGGGCTGGTAAATATTTAAAACAAATAATTGATTGTAGATAACATATATTTAAATGAAATAAGTAATCAAAATATCTTTTAATTAAATAGAGAGGTGTTACGGCATTTTTCTATTTGCTAAAAAAGGAAATTTTAACGTCAATTAAAAAAATTAGAAAAAAAACAAATTTCCCCCCATAGTTTGTCAAATAATAAAGCAATAACATATCTAATACTAAAGTAGGGCTACATAGTATTAAGATAATTATATTTTTATAATAATTATATTATAATAATAATATAATACTATATTATTATATTTTAGTAACACTTTTTTAAGAATTTGAATACCTATATATGATTGATTTGTATCGTCGTATATTAAAGTTTACTATACGTACCTACACAGAACGTTTTATAACGAATTACAAAATGGATCATTAAACATCTAGATACGGTGTGAACGTGAATCAATTTTGGTATATCCACGTTAATTAATTATTTCACGTTAATCATGGTCTATACTGATCTTTGACTATGTATACATAACATTACAATCATTATAACTATTTAATAATGTTGTCATTTGTCACAGCTAACGTTCACACTTATAACATACTCCACAGACTCCACAGTGCACATCGAACATATTTTCTTACGTTAACTACCCGTCATGTTAAATGCTATTAGAACTAAAAATTACGAAGTACTAGTCTCTGCTGCCTGTTAAATGCCAAGTGCTAAGAGCGCAAGTTAACGTTATAAGGGAATACCGAAGAGTAAGGAAAATCCCCAAATAATCAACAGTGTTGCCAACAGTCCCAGGGCTGCTTCCGCTAAGTTTATGGTTTGAAACCGCTAAGAATCCGCAAAACTTCAGAATAGCTAATAAGTAATAAATACAAAAGTATGTTTTCCATTTAATAATAAAAACAAAATTGTAAATAATTATTTAAATTAAAAAATAGTTATTAGGCTACATAACTTGCAACCGAAAATCGTACATTTCTACATACCTAATCGATATCAAAATCACGATCATATACATACAGAGTGGTCCCGAGAAATGGGCCAAAATTCATGGGTAGATTCCCCAAGTAAAAATATTTCAATTTAGCCGAACTTACCTTAGTCCAAAAGTTGATAGTTAAAGAGATACAGGGTGTTAAATGTAAAATATTATTTCAGTTTTCTTTAATTTATTTCTTAACAAATGCAAATATCCTCACAAAATTTTGAGGATTGGAGTTCTTTGAGTAGAGGAATTGAAATCTGTTCACATTCTGGTTAAAGTTCATAGAGGGCGCTAGCTGCAGTAGATTGAATGTGTTAAAAATGACATAACTTTTTTGTACTTTAAGGTATCTCTTCTTTGGTAACAAATTCTTATTTTTCAAATGTTTTTACACAAAAAAGGTATACTTTATTAAAGTAGCTATCTCGCACCGTTTTCGAGATATTTGGCTTTGAAACTTCCAATGCTGTTGCATTAAATTACAATTAAGTATTACAGATAGGTATTATTAATTTAGCGGTAAAATTTCTTAAGTAGGATTTGGACGAAAATCAAATAATTGACGTCTTCCACTTGTCTTATTGCTGTCATTTGTATGCTAATTTCTATTAAGTATTATTCGTATCTAATTAAAATTACATCTTAGCTTACACATTAAATTGTATACTCGTATACATAAATGTGAGATAGAATGCTTCGTTTTTGGAGTTACATGAAATCAGTTGTTTATGGAGAGACTATAAACACTTGAGAAGAATTTTAGTAGTAGGTTTTAAATGCTGCAAAGTCATTTCGCATTAAGGATTTATACTTTTAAAATAAGACAATTAATAAACGTGTTGATAAATGTATTGAAGTTAGAGGTGGACATTTTGAGCAATTATTGTCAAAGAGGCATATTTTTTAGTAATGTTTACTATTTTACTGTTCATTACAATTTTTAATTCTAAATAAATCCTTGTTTTTGACATTTCTAAATTATTTTAATTATTTCAACTATTAGCATTGGAAGTTTCAAAGCCAAATATTTCGGAAAGGGTGCGCGACAGCTACTTTCATAAAGTCCACCTTTTTTGTGTAAAAAGGCAGGAAAATAAGAATTTGATACCAAAGATGAGTCACCTTAAAGTACAAAAAGTTATGTCGTTTCCAACACCTTCAATCTACGGCAGCTGGCGCCCTCTATGAACTATAACCAAAATGTGAACAAATTTCAATTCCTCTATCCAAAGAACCCCAAACTCCAAAATTTTGTGTAGATATTTGCATTTATTAAGAAATAAATGAAAATAAACTAAAATAATATTTTACATTTAACACCCTGTATCTCTTTAACTATCAACTTTTGTACTAAGGTAAGTTCTGTTAAATCGCAATATTTTTGCTTCGGGAGTCTACCCATGAATTTTGGCCCATTACCTCGGGACCACCCTGTATATGTTTCCCTAGTTTTAATTTTTTATGATAGCATCTTCGAGCATATACTATTGGAGGTAGAATGTGGCCAAAAAGGTGTCTGAGTGTGCGAGAGAGACATACGGTATCTCAGTATATGTATGTTGTCTCACTCTAGCACGCACGTATTGGTTGGAAATGAATGCTCACGCTCATTGGCTCCCGCAGGGCTCCCGTCGCTGAAGCGAAGAATGAGGCAGCATGTACTGAGATACTGTCTGCCTCTCTCGTACACTCAGCCACACTTTTCGCAATGGCATGTAGTATATGCTCGAAGGATAGCATTAAACATTTCTAGTGACATGGGGTTCTGTAATTTATTTAATCGCAAAATATATCAATTCTTTAAAAACTGTTTTTTTTTTTAGGACTTTTGGAGCCTATAATTTAAATAAGGCATATGGCAACCTTGCCAAGATCTCTTGTTGGTTTAGTGGCAGTTACAGCGCGCTGACAGTTTGACCAACAGATACATTTAAATCTGAGAGTGAAAATCCTCAAAGAAGTTACCAACATGCTGCAGTGTACAGCAACGTATCGAGTATATTGTCCAGTGGTAGGTATATGTGCGGCAGCAACCAGCAATCCAGAGACTACTACGTACAGCAACAGCAACCGCAACCGCAGAGGAACCAGCTTCCAATCCGTGACGATTCGCGAAAATTAATGTGATCATATTTTAATAATGAATCGTGGGACCCTTATTGGTTTTTAGGAGATGCTTTCCAGGTCCACACAAAGAACATTGCTGATGAAAAAATTTCTAACGAAATTTGCGAAACAAAAAATTCAAAAAGGGTTCCTGAGTTCTTGAAATGAATTGAAAAATATATATTTTTATAATCAATTGATAGATACAAACAGAAGATTTCTTGTTTTTCGCAATATCTTCATCTTGCAGCATTATGAAATTCGAAAAATTGAATATATTAAACTAAAATTTAAATAGATATCACTGCAACGAAAATAATTTTACAAAAAATAAAAAGATGTATGTATTAGGTGATTACGAAAAAATATATTTTGAAAATACGGGGTGTCTCATAATTAGCTGCCAACCCTGAACGGGCCGATTCTATGATCAAAACTAAGTAAAAAAGTTCATATCTCTCAATCGCGTTGTGATAAATGAATGAAATTTGGTATACACAGCTAAATTTCGATGAGCAATTTGATGGACTAATCCATTTATTTCCACAAGGTCCATTGGGGTGGGTAGGGGGGGGGGCCTTGGTACTTTGCGTGTGTAACTTTTTCATCTGACTTTTTAACAAATTGGTCAGCAAATTTCGTTTTCCCGAACTGTTTTACGTTAAAAAGGTACTCTTATTTCAAATCGTTATCTTTAACGGTTTCTGAGAAAATCGCTCTTGAATTAATCCCACTTTGGTCAATTTCATAGTAATTTAAACAAAAAATAATAATAATAATTTTCCTTTCCTCTCTTTTCCATTTAAAGGTTTAATTTTTATTTAATTTAATTTTTTATTATTTTTTTTATTAAAATTAGATTAAATTTAAACAAAAAAAATATTGTTCTTTTTATTTAATTCTGAAAATGTTGCACTTTTTCTTGTTCACTGTCCTATTCTTGTAGCCAATTTCCTCAGGAACAAAATCGATAAGTATACCTCATGTAGATTCGAGTCTTATCTTCGGATCAAAAAACTGGAAAAAGAGCATTTTTTTTCTTTTGTTATGAACAATATGACGATCGATCTCTACAAATACACAAATGTAGGCTTTAGTTTTGTGTATTTTTTGCTTAATTTCAAATCTATAAAATTCAACTTTTAGCAAAAAACCTAATTCCCAATTCTCCCCGGCCTATATCTTAATTTATAATTTCGCAAATTTCATTAGAAGTTTTTTTATTACTAAAGCCATCATCACCACTGTGTGGACGTGAAAATCATCCCCTAAACACGGTTGATTCCCATGCTTCGTTATCAATATGTTACCACTTTTGATTGATTAATTTCATAAATGATTATAAGCCACGTGACCAGTAATTTTGTTTGGAACAGTAATTTTATTTCCTTCATGTTGGCCATTAAATTGCGGTAAAATTAAAAATCAGCGATCGTATTATTTGGAGCGTAGACGTAACGGTTTGTCATCGTTAATTGTAAACGAATCATCAATATTGGTGACGTCAAGATTTAGGGAATTTTCGTTACCAATACCAGCCTTGCGATGTTGGTTGCCTAATCTCGAGGTTACGTGGCTTGTAAACATTTATGAAGGTACTGTGTATGGAATACTGGGACGCTCTGATGATAGACATTTTGACGATTATCATATATCACAAACAATAAGGTTCCTAGAAGCTAGAAGCCATCTAGCATAAAGTCATCTTTGTATTGTTCAATTGGCTGATCTTAATTTTTTTTAATGCAATTTGATTTAAATTTATGAATAACAACAAAATTAAAGTGCCCCTTATTTAGGATGTAGGTGTAAAAAAATAAGTAGCTAGGTACATAAATTTTATTCTAAGAATATCATAAAAAATCATATAAAAATAACGAAAAACATACTTATTGCCAATCAGGAAAACTAGAAAGAGAAATTATTTCAATAACATAACTATTATATGTAAATAAATATTTTATTACTATACTATCTAATCAATATTTATATTTACTAAATAAATTAGATTTTTCTTTCAGTACACAAATATTCATCCTCAAATTTACGATAAAAAAATATTATTCATTTTCCCCTCCCCCATCCAACGCCCATAACCTCAAAATCGGAACAAAATTTAGAAGTCGCGTTTATATATTTGTTTCATAAGTTTGAAGAATAAATCATGAGGCAACCCCTTGGAAATTTGTTGAACTTGGGTACGAATTAAATTAAAGCTTTCCTCTTCGTAAGTCGCGTAAGTGGAAGGAAGACTCAGTTCCTCGTATAAGTTGCGTATAATTTGAATGGACTGCTGTTCATCTCTTCCATAATGCTCCTCCATTAATTTCCGTTGGGCAGGGTTGGCTCTTTGCAAAGCGACTACTGCTAGCCAAGAGCATTTGCCTTCTTTGATGTCATTCCCCTTCTTTCCTGTCACTTCCGGATTGCCAAAGCAATCCAAAAAGTCATCCTGAAATAAAGAATTTCTTTTCAAGGTGTACGAAACCTAAGCAAGAGTTTTAGAAACGTTCAATTATAAGGTCTAACAGCGATGTGGCAACAAACTTTCAAGGTGGATTTCTGACGACAAAAAATAAAACTTTCCAAAATGCTCTATGATCCTACAAAGATTCCACAGTTTTTAATACAGACTCCAAACTATGCATTTCAGTTCTCGCATAGTAGCTATCTACATGAGAAATTTGATTAAAACTAACCACTGCCATCGGAATCAGAAGAGATCTAAGAAGTTCTAACCGACAAAAAGTTTTTTTTAAGTCTCGGAGATTTGGTTTGTCTGTTTTGACGAGAATAGTCAGTCTTGATGATCGCTGCGATACGGCTGTTAACCATGCAATACACCTTAATATCATATATAGTTTCATTTTGCATTGAAGCTTATATGACATGCTTATTAGTTTCTAAATCAACCAACCTGTATCTGAAAGAATGTTCCAATTTCCAAAAGGATTGTCTTGGCTTGACGGTGTAATTCTTCGTCAAATATATTAGCTAAGAACAGACCACAAGCAACGGGAAGTTGGAATGTATAATATCCGCACTTATATTTTACAGTTGTTAAATAGCGGTTCATATCGAAGACATCCAATCTAGGTTTGTCATCTTTCATACTAAGGCCGTCCAATGACTGCCCCATAGAAGTCTTAAAGGTAATATCGTGGAACAATTCAAGGATAGGGACATAACAGGGGAGGGAAGAGAAATGCTTCTTTAGTAATTGGTATAGCCCACACTCTACGAGGATAGCGTCATTGATAGCTTGCAAGCCGACATCTGGATTTCTGAACCAACAAGGAACGCCACGCCGATTTTCTGATTTATCCATAATATCATCAACGATTACGAAATTGGTTTGCAGCTAAAAAGAAAGATAATTGGGAATTAGAAGTATCAATTAAACTTTACCTAACAATACTTGTTATACAAATTAATTATGTCAAACTTGTTGTTCATTTTTTCTTTCTGTCTCCTATAAATTATTTGAGATTTAAAATTGTTTGAAATTAGTTTTCATGGTACGCAACTCATCATACTACAGTAAACTAAATTCATTTGAGCGATGCGCAGTGGTTACCTGCCTATATTTCCATTTCATCCTGCTTCAAGTGCACTGTTTCTGATTCGAGTATTCAGGGCTCAAATGAAATTTCTCCAGTTATACAAGCATATTAACTGAAGCCTTTAACATCTTTAATTTAGTTTTAGTTTTAGGAAAAAATCCTAAATTAAAAAGTAGTAGGTACCAGCTTGAAGTTTTGTTTGATGCTTTCCAAAATAATTTTGGCAACGTGCGAATGTTAAAAAAATAATGGTACAGGCAAGTCGGCCAATATTTTTTTTACTACTTGTGTAGGGACTACACACAATTTTTTTTTTTTTAGAATAGCTGATTTCATTTGGAAACTTTTTTGACTGTAACTTAAACTATCATTAAAAACGTGAAATTGTCTGTTAAATCTTAATTTGTCTACAGTGCGTCAATACGAACGGTATAGAGCAGCGGTATTCAAACTGTGCTGTGTGCACAACCTCACTGAGGTTTCCGCGATTCAGTCAAAAATACAAAATTTTGAAATTAACAATATCTATCGATACTACAAAGTTAAAAAAAATGTATATTCTTACTTATAACTAATATTTATAAATATATTATACAGGGTACCCCTCGAAAACGTACCGCAAGGCATTACAGGGTAGTAATGAACTTTTCGGCAAAATCCAAAAACAGGTAAAGTTTGCTTCTGAGGGGGACAACTTTTGGCGCAAAAAGCATAGCAAAATCTTCAACCACCTAAGTGGGGGTGCCATCCCCCAAATTTTTTTAAATGGGAATGGGGGTCAAGTGGGGGGTCATTAGAAAGGGCTTTTAATTCTCTATACATCGATTCTTACTTTTTGAAAATCGATCCATTATTTTAGAAAATATGCAGCTTTGAAAATACGAACAATATTTTTGACGAGAAATGCGAAAATCGATTTAATTTTACTTCAAAACTTACGGTATTAGCTTGGTAAATTCCTTCAAAAGAATTCGCTTTTTTTTTTTCTGATTTGCGAATTCTTTAGCCTGATTTTGGTGAGCAAAAAATTGTCCGCTTTTTGTTTCGTATTTAGATAGGCCACAAGAAGTTGCTAGATAACTGTCTTGTGACTTGTAGTTGAAGAGTACCAATACTGCCGAGTCTTTTAAATTGATTAATTATGGTGTACTCAATTCCAGAAAGAGTAGAAATTATTGAGCTTTTTTTCAAAAACAATGAATGCGGAAATCGGGTCGCCGAACTGTTCAACCAACGGCATCCTGAGAAACATGCGTCTGGAAAAATTGTTCGCGAATTGGTGGCCAAATTTCGCGAAACTGGCTCCGTTCATAACAAAAAGAGGCAGGTTGAAAATCCGGTACTAAATGAACCTACGGAAATAGCGGTATTGGGGCAAGTGGCAATGGATAGTACGCTGAGTACAATGCAATTGGCTACTGCGACAGGAGTGAGTCGTACAAGTGTCCAACGAATATTAAAAAAATACAAATTCCATCCTTATAAGATTCGGCTAGTGCAAGAGCTAAATGAAGACGATTTTGATCGTCGTTTGCAATTTTGCGAAATAATGACTGAACGAGCGATAAACGATAATTTCCTCTTTAATGTGTGTTTTTCGGACGAGTGTACGTTCTTCTTGAATGGTTTAGTGAATCGCCATAATTGTCGTTACTGGGCTGATACCAATCCAAGGATTTTCCATGAGACACACTCCCAACACCCCCAGAAGTTGAATGTATGGGCAGGTATTTTTGGAAATTCCATTGTAGGTCCTTTTTTCCTTCCTGGAAATTTGACAGGCGATATGTACTTGGATTTACTACAAAATGTCATCGACCCAGCTCTAACAAATATCATAGAGGACGACCCTGCTTACAATGAACACGAACTGATTTTCCAGCAAGACGGAGCTCCTCCACATTACTCGCTCAATGTGCGCAATTACCTAAATGAGACGTTTCCAGGACGCTGGATAGGACGAAGAGGTGCAATTGAGTGGCCCCCTCGGTCACCCGACTTAAATCCTTTAGATTTCTTTCTCTGGGGGCACATTAAAAGCAAAGTTTACAGCACTCCACCTGATACCTTGGAAGATCTGCGAGGACGAATCATTAATGTATGTCGCGAAGTAACACCGCAAGTGCTCCAGAATGTTCGACAACGGTTTGAAGACAACCTGTATCATTGTATGCAAGTTGGCGGACAACATTTTCAGCATTTACTTGACTAATACCGTAAGTTTTGAAGTAAAATTAAATCGATTTTCGCATTTCTCGTCAAAAATATTGTTCGTATTTTCAAAGCTGCATATTTTCTAAAATAATGAATCGATTTTCAAAAAGTAAGAATCGATGTATAGAGAATTAAAAGCCCTTTCTAATGACCTACTTGACCCCCATTCCCATCTGAAAAAATTTAGGGGATAGCACCCCCACTTAGGGGGTTGAAGATTTTGGTATGCTTTTTGAGCTAAAAGTTGTTCCCCTCAGAAACAAATTTTACCTGTTTTTGGATTTTGCCGAAAAGTTCTTTACTACCCTGTAATGCCTTGCGGTACGTTTTCGATGGGCTACCCTGTATAATCAGTAAAAAATTTGTTGGAAATTTTTTTTAGGTGTGGTGGTACCTCAAAAAAATTGAAATGTTGACCGGATTCTGCAAGTCATAAAAGTTTGAAGATCGCTGATATAGAGCAAAGATCGGACTATCTACGGCGCAGAAATCCCGCTAAAACTACAAAACCATAGACAGAATATCGTAGACGCTACAACGCATATCAGAAGGTGTAGGTAGCACAGGCAAACGGAATTTCGCGCGTTTCCAAAATTTCGGGAAAATCCTCTACGAAGCCCTGATTGGCGCCAAAAGTTATAGCGCATACCCTTAATGGCCCAGCCGCCACCGACATCGTAGGAAGTAGCGAAAATTTTCATCACAGTTTCGAATTTTCGGTACTCCAAAAGGCAGTCCAAATTTTACCAAATTCGCAACAAAGCAAGGCCTTAGGGTCAACATGAATCAAGATAGTTTACAAATCGTCAATTAATTGGGACTGCCACAATTCAAAGAAAGGCGTTTTTCAAAAGTGCCACTGTTCCTATTCCGACGCAGATCTCGCTACAGGACCTTTGCGAAGCCAGCGTAAACTGTTTGGTCATTCACCCAAGTAACATGCAGTTCGATAACCAGTGTCGGATCCTGGCCGATACTTAAATTTTTATACTTTTGTCTTATGTTGTCTTAGATGTTATTCAATTTATTGTAAATTAATACAAACATTTCAATAAATCGAACAAAAAATTCGCAAATCAAAACCGAGATAAAACTTTCATACAGGCATTCCAAGGAGGCTTCGCACATATTTTNTCAAGGTCATCGTACTTCCGGTTATACCGGAAGTCGATACTAACTTTCTTATTTTAAATGGAACCCCCTACATATTATTGCATTTTTGGAAAGAACATCTATTTTTAAGTTGAAAACATATAGCACACTCCATACTTAAGATTGACCGTTTCCGATATATTTTGATTTTTAAGCAAACATTGACAGATGCAGACCGTCAGCAAAATTTAGTTTTCCCGGAAACATAGGTTTATTTTTTATTTGGACAAATAGGACATTTTGTAGAGGAAGACCTAATTTATCGAATTTGACATGAAAATTTTCCAGTTTTTATACAGGGTGGTCAAAAAAAATATCGAATATGAAGTCCAGAAAATGTGGAAAACTAATTTTTTTAACGTATTCGTATTCTGTACTAAAATTAAGTGTAACTTTGTTAAAGTTTCTCTATACCTAATCCCAGTGGTTTTCATTTTATTTACGAATAAACATTTTCTTTTTCTTAAAATGATGTTTCCACCTGTTTCGCACATTTTAGGTTGGCCGTGATAGGTAAGTAACAATCAACATGACAACTGTCACAGGTTTTTAATTGTCAAATTTGTTTAGTTCCTTGTGGGTCGGTGCTCTAATAGAATCCGGTGATATATGCTATTTTATTTGGGATACTAAAAAATGGTGTGTATAGTACTCCAGTAACAGCGAAGGAAAATTGTATGCATAGAGTAAGGCAAGCGTTCGAGCATCTAACATCGAATTCTATTAGAGCAGCGACCCACAAGGAACTAATCCGAAGGTGTGAAAAATGTTTAGATGTTGGGAAGTTGAAGACATTTTGAATATTTATTGAAATAAATTCTGTATCTTAAAAACAAGACAAAATATCGGCTCACGACCCTTGGAAAAAAACATCTATAGCGCTGATGAATAAGTTACAAGTAGAAATATAGACAATTTGATTATCATTTTTTTCGCATAGCTTTACTTTTACATTATGGAATAAGAAAATGGTAATAATGGCATATTTATCTTATTCAGCACAATTTTTAAAAATAGTTTGTACAACCGTAATATTAGCGTTTATTACTTAAAATATTTTAATGATTTGGATTTATCACAATCTCAATATTTTGATATTTAATAAAATTACATCATCGCATATTACATAAAAAAGCATAATCCCACGTAATAAAGTAACAAACAAAGATAACGATAACGAAATATACATTTAACATAATTCACAATCATTTATTTGTTAGTGTCAACATGATTCATGTTTGTTGCCTACATATTTCCTTATTGGTGTCTTTGAGATAAGTTGAAAAAAAAGTCTGTCTCTATTGTATCTTGAAATAATAGCACATTGTGTATCTAGTACTAAAAACAATACATTCGGACGATGTAAATGTTGGCCGAAGCCTTAATCCGAGTTCAACAAACATGTTCGGAAATGTGCTTTTGCAGGAGGTAT